TTTAGTCGGTTACAATGTGTGTTTACATGTCCTTCAAACTAATGCCTGTTTTCATGCTCATTACAGACAAAAACTACAGAACTTTATATTATTTCCTGTAAACACCTTGACCTGCTCTGGTACAGTAGGTTGTTCCTGGAAAGCAACCTATTTTCGTTTCACAGCTATGACACACACAACATATTCTATATCTATTTCTTAGGTTATTTAACATATCTACAACAATTCTACTTTCATGTGTTATCACTGCCACTGTCATTTTGAACGAGAATGTCTTTAAAACATTGTACAAACCACGCTGAACAAACAGAGGTGTGATCTTGTTTTCATCACAAGGTAAGAGCAGGTTGATCATATTATAAAAACATAGTGTGTAACTTTTAAATGAGCACGCTGATAGGCTTTAATCTTCTGAACATTCCACTTCAGGCGGCCACAACAAGGTTTATAAGTGGACTGACCTCCAACCATCCTCACCTAATGTAAAGAGGACCATGATAATAAATGAGGAATGCACAATGAAGCTGGTCTGTTATTTCATGTTTTTCCATTTAATTCCTCCAGGAGCCTCAAAGGAATCACGAAAAGGAGCAAATAGTCGACTTTTGAACTGTGATCCATCTGACAGGTACTTCTCTCTTCTTGTAGTCATATAGCGCCCTCTTGTGCATCCCAGAAGTCAATACAGGAACATTTATTTTAGTGTTACAGGATATATGCAGGAATACTGAAACCCTGATCAAAATAATGTATTAAAAGGTTATTCTATACTATGACACTTTTCAGACATACTATATTATAACTGTTTTTCCAAATGTTCGACCTACATAATTATATATTTGTTCATGTTTTTAAGACTTTTTCAGTACACTATAACTTAGTAAGACGTTTTTTTGAACTACTATATATTTATTTTTACATACTATAATATTTTTCGACATACTATTTCATGATTTTTTAGACTTACTTTATTATAAATGGACATACTGTAAGATAAAATCAGCTTTAAACTTTTTGTTAAGGCCCTGTGGAGATATGTTCTGACATTTTCTGAAGAATGGCAAGCTATTACTTTTTAATAAATAGCAATTAGGTAGGAGAAACACCACTGAAATCCTTATAGAAGTAGTTGGTCTGAAGTTTTTGCTAATGTAAGATATTGGGAATGTTAATTGTCTTAAACTTCATTACGCAGCAGTGGTTGATCTAGTCAGAGCCTTTTGACAGCTTGGAGGTGTCTCTATCATAGTAGCTGTGAAGTAGCACCACCTGGTGGAGCTTGAGTAAAAAGCAGCAACAGGTTTGTTTTTCAAGCATCTCTTGAATCGTAATCTTTATCAAATCAGTCTTAAAACCACTTAACTTTAAAGACTACTCTCATCTTACTTTTAATCCTGCAAACTTCCCCTACTAGTCATATTCTGCAGTTTTAAAGAAGGGCAGGACAATATGTTTGATGCTATTAAAGGTGGGGTAGGTAAGTTTGAGAAACCGGCTCGAGATACACTTTTTGTTATATTCCATGGAATGCTCTTAACATCCCGATAGCAATGAATATCTTAAGTGCTTTGACAAAAAATCCATTAAAAAAAATGTCATCTGTGGAAGCCGTAGTACTGTAAAAAGTACGACCAATCATTTTAGCCGGACCGGCTAAAATAACTGGATGGATTTACCTACCGCACATTTAACCTGTTAAGCCCTAAGCCTGTTTTTCAGGTTTCAGGCTCGAAAATGCCACTAACACAACAAACACTATATCTTCACTTCTAAAAGGGGTAAATTAATATGTTTTCTCAAAGCAAGGTTACATCTGTGAGTTGGATGTAGAAGTGTCAGAATCAATATAGATGCTTTTATTTTAAAATAAATTCATATGGAACGTAGTAAAAACATGTAAATTCTATCTCCGCCTAAAAAAACCTCATTACTTATAGTGAAAACCACCCTTGAATGATGGGTTAGTAGACTAAAAGCTTTAGGAATCCAAACTATAACATAATAAGTACCCTGTATCAAGATTGATGCAAAACAAGTGACATTTGACCTTTTTAGAGAGGTTTAGAAAAATAAAGTCCAGGCGGACTCACCTCTGGGTAATTTGGGAACCATCAGTTCCATTTGACCTTTTTCACTGTAAAAATCATTTTATTACTTTGAATTATCACTATAGGTATTCATTCCATCCAAATACAACTGTTGTAAAAAAAACAATTAAAAAACAAAAACATACAAAATGAAGTTTGACTCCAATTGGAGCAGATTTATTTAAAACTTTACAATGTTACAACTTAGGCATGCCACTCCTCCTAACAATTTTTTTTGGAAGTGAAGCACAGAGGGACCTCACACTTCCTGCAGTACACAGCTGTCTTCACCTTCTTTTTGCCAGCATCATGGCAGTTCCTGCAGTTCTTCCTGATACTGACATCTTTCCCATAAAACTTGGGCCTGCATGGTGGTGGTGGTGGGGGGCCGGGGGGGGGATCGTGGGTGGAGGTGTTCCAAATTCCAACATTTCAGAAGCAAGCTGCTCCCTGAAAGTCTTCTGTGTGTGTGGCTTTGTCCCGCTGGGGTCACTCGTCATCTTGTGCAGCTCCTTGTGGAGAATGAAGCTGTTCATCACGGCAATGTCCACAAAATGGTAAAAAAAAGTCTTGTACCATTTCATCGTTTTGTGGAGAAGGCTGCGTTTTACACATTTATCTGATGCTTTTCCTTTTCCTGGCTGAGGAGCGGGAGCCCCACCTCGGCCACGCTTCCTTTGGTTTACAGATGCATCTGACGCTGCAGAAAGCTGGTAGAAACCAGACGATGGTAGCTTTGGAAGTGAGTGCTTTTTGGATGCAGGCTGAGTGGCCAATACTGGTGCAGATCTCTTTCTAGAAGTTGAGGAATGTGAGGGTGTGGCAGGTGTGGGCTGGGTGAAAGTAGGCAATGGTGAAGCCATTTCATCCTCATCTCCATCACTATGAAAACAATGTGGAAAAACAAAGAGATTAGATTAATTCCTGTAATTCCTGTTTCCTTGGCAGTAAACATGCCATTTTGAGTGTGTGAAGGCAATACATTAGTGACTATAGATGAACACTGGCCTATACTTTTAGTAAATGTAACAGACAAGAAACACTATTTGGTATTTTTGTAAATAATCCCTCTAACTCCTGCCAAACATGCCATTTTGAGTGTGTGAATGCAATACATTTAGTGACTATAGATGAACACTGGCCTATACTTTTAGTAAATGTAACAGACAAGAAACACTATTTTTGTAAATAATCCCTCTTCCTGCCAAACATGCCATTTTGAGCGTACATTACATTTAGCAGACGCTTTTATTTACTATATGAATAATCGTACACCAAATAAATAAGTAATAGATAAAAACAGAGAGATTACATACCTTTCCCGTGGTGGAATTTCATCATCAGAGTCACAACGCTCCGGGTTCCGTTCTGGCTGCAGGAAATCCTCGTCGTCTGACTCAGAATCAACGGGTAACATATCTGCATCGCTGTCAACATTAGTCACCATTTTCATTGCCTGTAAAGTAGTAAGCATCTCTTTCCTGCAAGCCATTATTTGACAAAAGTCAAAGTATAGAAAAAGTCCTAAACGCCAATCTTTTAATCTGCTCCGTTATCTGCTGTCCGCTCTGTGCGCTCTGGGTCCTGCTGCTGCAATTCCTGTTGTTTACGTAGTAAACACGGCGTAGAGTCTGCTGAGTAATGGGTGTGCCGCTGGCATTCACAATTTATACTTTACGCAGGACCATATCTATTGAACCCATTGGTCGATTTGAGTGATTTACACCTTTTTCTTAACCATTAGATCCAATAGAATCCGATGGGCAGTTCCCAAATCCACGTAAACATTACCATTGCGGACGAAGCATATCTGAAAGTAAGCCTTGACTGCAAAACTTTATACCCAGTTTATTGCCATAAATATGATGATGGATTATCAGTAAAACATTCTACGTGACACAGACACATTGGATTAACCTTGAGCGGCGTTTTTATTCCGTTGAACACAACTTTTGATCACAAATCAAAAAAGGTAAAATGTAATTATTGTAATATTTTTGAAACCGGATGTTGTTTACTTTCTCTTTTCTGGCTGAAAGCTCCGCAAATTCGGGGTCATACAGTGATGACACTACATGTATGGAATATGTGGAGTCTCAGCTTTAATAGGATATCTTGTTTGTGCAGTTACGATAAGTAATAAGGGCATTTTGAGAGTGAGTGCTGTGCAAAACTCTGTTAGCATTTTTTTGCAAAATGCTAATTCAAAGGCTTGGTATTACTCTTGTGTTTCTAAAAATGGTTCATATCTTCAGTTAGCTGAGATTCTTACCGTTAATCTGGTGCTACACATTAATAGTTTCATAAATGTTAAGAAGCCCTGAGACAGTGTCTCAAAAAAAAAAAGTGGGAGGGGTCCAATGGGGGGATCGCCGTGCTTAGAGGAAGGTTATATTTCAGAAACAGCTGCTGAAGTATTATTCAGCCACACCATGCAGAAAATCCACTGCCATTAGTGTCCTACAAAAACCTTGTACCTCCAAATGGGTACCTCAACATTTCAAGATCCAGCTTGTTTGACAATTCTCCATTATAGTTATTAAAGTCATTGATTAAGTATGGAATGTCAAAGGTATTTAAAGATATCTGAAAAGCAAGTTGACAAGAAGTCCAACTTTGTCTATTGTTTTGTAAGTGATAAGGTAATGACTTTACAATGTGGATTGAAAACATTTACAAATTCTCAGCGAACACGGTTTATGAAGGACACACTTTTTTCATCCTTTCCAGAAAAGTCTATGTTACAAGGGTAAATATATATATTATATACTTTAACTAAAACAAATCTAATATTCTCCTAATCATACCACACATATAATTAGCTTGAATACTGTGAGCACAGGTCTTAATACTATTATCTTTCTCTAAGTATACAGTTAATTAAGAAACACATGTTAAAACACTGAGACCTCAATGTGTAGCCATGATAAGATTTATTGTCCAGAGTCTTACAATGTACATTAAGTCAGGGTCTCTGAAAATGTAAGGGTTAACGTTTGGAGGGTGCTAAAACGTTGTTAAAAGTCTGTTACCTTCTTCAAAACTGCACCAGGTAACTTGCAAAGAGGGCTTTACACACTGAAATAAAAACATTGTGAAGTGCAGGTTTAAAGGCTGAGGGCTGTTCTCATTTCTCTGATTGTGCATCCTTTTCTTGTGTCTTACTGAAGCAACAGGAAGCAAGGAAGAGACATGAGGAGATAGGAGTCGAGGCAACCAAAAAATAAGACATCTATGCTTTGGAGCAATCATTTTAGTCAATTAAATGTAACTGTAATCTGTCCATTGTCACGCCACTTTCTATGTCAACGATTATGAAAGAATACACCTATCCATACTCTGCTCGAGACATCCTTCCTTCAAAAGTACACTGAGATACATTTCTGGGTCAAAGGCAGGGCGATAGAGGAGACCAAACAAAGAAATGAGAAGAGCGGCAAGATTTGAACATGTGTAGCCCCTTGTTGAGTGGACAACAAAGGGGAAGCTCTAAGGTAGCAGTTATGCAGCTGCAGCGGGACAGGAGAGAGGCTGCACTCCTTTAATCTCCAGAGCCTTGTTGAACTGCACCTCCATGGTCTTAGAAGCTTTGGTGATCTTCAGGTTCCTCATACAACCTCTGAAGGAAGTGCTGGTGGAGAGAGCCGCCTGCCGAACTCCACCTGAGAGAGAAAGAAAAACAGGACCTCTCACATATTTGTATTTAAAGGTCCCCTATTATACTGTTTTTCATCAATATATTATAGGTCTCAGATATATACAAACATGTCTCTGAAGTGTTTGGCTCCGAATACCAAACAGATCATTGCAGCATTACCCATAATCCCCTCTGTTTCAGCCCTGTTTCAAAAGTGCTGATTCTGTGTCTGTTACTTTAGATCAGGGGTGTCAAACTCAATTTCATCCCGGGCCACATCAGCATTATGGTTGCACTCAAAGGGCCGGTTGTAATTTGTATTATATATAAATATATGTAAATATATAATATATATTAAATAATGTATTATATTACATTGTTGGCCCTGGATTGGATTATTATCAGTTCTGGTAATACCTTCCTAAATAAGTACGTCTGAAAGCAGAACTCTAGGGCAAATAATTGAAAGCAAATATTCAACAATTACACCAATTGTATTGTATATTATATTCTTTGCAAGCTCTTGCGGGCCACATAAAATGAGGTCGCGGGCCGGATTTGGCCCCCGGGCCTTGAGTTTGACACCCCTGCTTTAGATGAAAATAAAGAGCCCCTCCCCACGCCCCTCTGAGAGATATTTGGTTACAAAGAACACAATGGTGCTCTAGGAGGAGATTCAGGTGATAAGGTGGGGGGGGGTGTTACCTTGGTTGGTGATTGGCTAATGATTACTCAAGCCAAACAATCGTTATGACATCATAAAGTGGCCAAAATCTGATCAGCTCATTTTCAGACAGGTTTTTATATAAATGGATCAGGACAAAAAGTGAGAGAATCTTTTTTCCTGAAACTTTCAGAATCTCTTTACACAGAGGGGACACATGTTGATGTAGAAAAGACATGAAAAAGTGGATTTTGCATGATAGGTGACCTTTAAAGTTGCTCTTTGATCCACAAAATGTACTAATACTAATGTGTTTTCAATGTATACTAAGGTATAATACTGAGTATGTGAGTTAGAAAGCAGTCGTACCTGGATATCCTCCGACGTAGATGGGGTCGTTTGTGTCACACGTGTTGGAGCGAGCGTTGGGGCTCTCTGATTGGCTCTGCTTCTCGTCCACCACCAGCTCCACGCGGTGCCGCAGCTTCTTGGCAGTGACCGAGTGCCACTGGCCGTCGCAGAAGCCCTCGCCCTCAGGCACGTGCTCCGCTGTGATTCGTCCAGCTCCGTTGTCAACGTGGAAGAGCAGCTGGTGACAGGAAGGGGAAGAAATGCTTGTTTTAAACGATATTTTTGAGATGTTATGCATATGTATCTAAGTACATGTTTTGTTCTGTGATACTTTAAACCAAGTTATTGCTAGGAGAAGCTCAGTCGTTACTTCTAAAGTAGATTAAAGGAATAATTCACCCTTCACACTTATTTGTTTTCTGGTTAAGATTGAGATGAGAAAGTAATACTTCTTGTATGATAGGTTGGACAGGACAGCTGTTTCCAGTTCTTTTGATCTATTATTTAACAGTCGCTTTTTCTTCTCAATTTCTAGTGGAAATTGAATAACTATTTCGTCAATGTTACGTACCTTGCCCTCGACAATCTCTAGTCCCAGTCCATCGTTGGCTTGGTTACTGATGCCCAAAAGCACCCCATTGGTTCTGCTGGTCCTGAACTCTAAGGCTATCGACACATCCAGACCCACTCTGTAGGAAGAGACTAGAGAGAGGGAAGGATGCATTAATGTTCACCTTTCATAACAAGAACATTACATTTTACCTGAGAAAAAGTAGAATCAGATTTTTGCTGAGGAACAAGTTTGCAAGTGACGTCTCTGTGTCTCCTCTCACCTGCTTTCAGGAAGCCAGTGCCTTCAAAGTAGGTGCCCGTCTCCGTAGCAACAAAGCATCTTCCCACCATGTGACTGGAGGAAGGCGTGGCCATGTCCAATTTAAAGTCCTCAATGACAGCCTCAGCGCGGCCTAGCAGAGAGACAAAGTAATCAGTTGAATACATTGAAAAGTATTAAAAGGAATGAAACTTCAAACCTGGATCATTACAATTGTAAATACAAATGTCTCACCTGTAGCACCTGGCTTAGCGCTTACAGCACCTCCAACCATCTTCATGTTACGAATACATCCATTGATACTGTAGAGAATCTAGGAACAGAAGAAAAAAAAGGGATGGTTCAAAAACATTGGACATTAGTTAACTGTTCTTAGTCGATTATTGCAAAAGTACCAGGGGAAATGAATTGTTTGAACAAAAACGAATTGAGTTTAGATACTAAATAGAAATATGACATTCTTGGGCGACATGAAAATAGGTTTTACCGGTCCTATTCTCTTGCTTGTGTAGTTTGTCGGAAATCCACCAACATACAGGAGTCCCACCACGTCCAACAGGTCAGCCTGGTGAGGAAAAGTTGTTATTGCCACAATAAAATAGTCCTTTAAAACGTGATCAACATATGTATGGCTATAAGATCTGAGGTTTAAAACGAGGGTTATTTTCTTCTTCCGTGTCTGCCATGTACTTATTTGTATGTGATAGTACTGTATATGGAACAAATAGTTAGAATAGAAAACAAATGTACCTTCTTTGGACTGATCATCTGTTTGCTGTATCGCCCATCAACCATGAGAAGACCTCTCTGCTTCACACGGCTCACACGGATCTAAAGGAAACAATAACAAATAAAAAACGGGTCAGTAAGACATGAGGAAAAAGGGAATAAGGAGCATTTAAACCTAAATATAAGTACATTCTCTTGACAGTGTCAACAGAGACTAACTGCTGTCTATGATGTAGAGGGAAAATGCTGCCATCTTGTGATTTAATATTCAATACATTTGGGACTTGTGTAAAGTGAATCTGAAGGACTTAATGTTCTGGATGGCAAAACATGTGACTAAGAAAATGGTGAAACTATGAATATGACGACAGTATCTTAATATCTAGTTAAACTCTAAAAGTCGATTGTCACAAACAAAGAGAAGACCAGAATTGCCATCAAACATCTACTAACATCAGTGCTTAAAACTTTTGTTATCCTCAAATGACACTGAAGCTAAGCTGAGTATTGTCCTAAAAGTCTTTTTCCATTCAGAGTATATATTAAGAATCTAAAATATTGCAAATTGCAGCAAAAATGAAGTAACAAGTATGAATGAACTTACCTTGTGCCAGTTCCCATCATTGATGGAGAAGGGGACGCAGCCAGAGATGTTTCCATGACCGAGATCATACCCCAGACACACCTGTCCGTCTTTGATCTGCAGGAGGAGAGAGACAGAGGGTCATGATACAATGAGATGTCTAATGTGACCATCTATGGACTTTGTCATGAATATAAGGACATTGGTGAGAGGAATCCTGTGAATAAAGATGGGGGAATAAACGACTCAAATACTCACCTGTGTCTGCTTTTGGATAAAGTTGTCATAATGTGTGTGTGTTTTACAGCTTTATGTCACAACAGTGTGTAAGAGCTTTTTCTTGTGTTGTAAACAGAGCTGAGCCTTATATAATGAGTGAGACTGTGCTATAAGATACAAAGAAGCAACCTCTGTTTTCCTAAAGCATTAAACATTGGGACAAATGGGAGGGAAAATAAACTTAAAGCAGTAAGTGGATACCTGGATGGTGACAAAGTCAGCATGGTTGATTCTTGCCATGTAGAGAACGAGACCAGACTCCTCCTTCGTCCTCAGCTCAAACTCCAATATTAACCTGAGACACACACATATGATTAACATAGTCTGTACATATGAAAAACACCAGAGGGCACAGTAAAACACACAGGCACAATATTTATATGTGATGTTTTGCATTTTGATCAGGATACTGGATTATCACATCATTGCAAAAAAAAAAAATAAAATTATTTCCTCCGAGGGTAATAAAACACTTACAATTTTCCAACCAATGGATGCAATTAGTTCTCGTCGCTGTTGATTTAAATGGCTGGAATTGCTTCTCACAAAAATGATATTATTCATTAAAGGCGGAACAAGTAAAATGTCCTAACCAAATTAAATGAATAAGGCATAGCATGGAATAATAAGTAAACAAAAAGAAAGAAATTGCAGTTTCAAGTGAGTAAGACAGCTATTTGATCATATTTTCTAGCACTGACATTTTGATATTAAAAGCAAGCTATCTGGATGTAGAAAAAGGCCCAGTTAATGAATGCTACAAAGTAACATTATGTAAAAAAATTGAAAATAGTCATAGAATAATATGTTGAAAAATATTAAGTTCTATAGCATTTCGAAAAGAATCAAAACCAATTCATAGTATATCGATACATAATTTAGACCTACAGTAAGATAGTATGTGAAATTAACATTAAAAAAGTCATACATGTCGAAAATAATTATACTGTAGTATGTTAAAACGTATGTCGAATATGTCATGAAAAAAGTCAAGGTATTAATTAAGTCATTGTATAGTATGTGGATAAATACTTAAAAAAATCATACGAATATGTCGAAATAAAATAAAATAAAAGGTCATTGTATAGTATATTGAAAAAATAAAAATAAAGTAAGTATGTAGGAATTATAAAGGCATAGTATAGTATGTTGAGGAAACAATTGTATTGTATATACAGGGTTCATACACTTTTTCACCAATGATTTCCATGACTTCTCCATGACCTTTACCTAATTTTCCATGACCAAAAAAATTACTCTTTCTCAGCGGTACCACTGACATCTTTTTATTTTAACATGATAAGCTGGAAAATAAGGTCTGCATATGAAACATGTTGTGCTAAAACAAATCAAATAGTAGGCTTACTAGCTCCTACAGACTAAAGCACTGTAGACTAGAGGGCGTGATTGTAAAAATCTCTCACCAGCAAAATACCTCGACAGTTAAATGCCATTTTACGTTTCATTACTATACGATACAGTATTTATTATCATTATAGTATTACTATTTCGGCGATTAGATCAAATATAAATTATATTTGATGCAACTTTGGTTACATTTCCATGACTTTTCTAAAACTTTGGGAAAAATATTGTTTTCCATAACTTTTCCAGGGCCTGGAATTTGCATTTTGAATTTCCATGACTTTTCCAGGTTTTTAATGACCGTAGGAACCCTGTATATAACAGTCATAGACTTCAGCGATTGTTAAGAGATGTTTTGACTCTACTTCTAGCCAGCCACATCATTTAACATTGAAAAGTTATTATATTGTCATTTTTATATTGTTTGTAAGATATAAATCCCTCCCCGGTCGACACAGAGCTGACCCACATAAAAGAATCCCAATTTCATCCCCCCTGTTTCATACCTCTCTCTGACTTTGGCGTCTTCAAAGGCAAAGCTCATGTGGCTGTTCTTGGTCAGTCCGAACTGATAAGCCTTCTCCAGAGCGGCCGGGGCCACAGCTGACGCACACGAGTCCTGCAGATTGGAAACAACACGTCAGGTACAATGAGAAGGTTTCAGAGCACGGCTCCCCCTGCCTCCTGTCAACAGGAACCTGAGCACCTGAGCACCTGAGCAGAACAAGCCAATCACAACGATAGGGTTTCTGCGTCTGATCTGCAGGGACTTAACAAAGACTTCTAGGTCACAAGCAATAGTTTATTATATGAACACAGACAAATGAAGAGTTCACAGAAGAATATATACAATAGATGTCTAAGTGTGCCTTGGATGTGCAATGAAAAAGATTACCATACAAAGCATTAAAGCAAGTTGTAGCATTTTAAAATTAATTCATTTGCCATCATCTTTCATCACGGTTTGTCTATTGCCTCTTCATCTCCAATCAGATACTGCCAAGGTGGATTTGGCTGACACAGTTTTTTTGACAATCAATGGTCCCTCCCACAGTTTGATCATCATAAATCCTGCCCATCTATCCTTTTAATCTTCAAACACCACAGTCTGATTTTCATTTGATCCTTGCTTCAGTTTGGCAGCGGGGTAAACAAGGCATTAGATCGTTTAACCCTTAGCATGTTCAGGGTGCAGTAATGCCGGGGGCCAGAAGATGTCAGTGTTGTAAAAGCAAAGGCGTTTCAGTTATGAGATTTTCTTTTTATTCCCTTTATACTACATTTTTCTTCCACTTGCTTTTAAAAAGAATTCCACCTCCTTCATTTATCTGTTTCCCCTTGTCCAAGTCTTCCTTCTGTTCTCCCATCTGCTCCTACTTCCTCTTCACTCTTTTTCTCTCGTATCCCCTCTCATCTCACTTTTCCCTTCTCCAGTCCTCTTCACCACACCTCTTATTATTTACTTCACTTCTTCCCTCCTTCAGGTGAACTTCTCTTTGCTCTTCTCAACTCTAAAGTCTCCTCTCCCTCTCGGCCCTCTAGATGTATTAGACTCCTTCCCTCTATGCTGACTGATCCTTTTCTTTTCACTTGAAGGCTTGTTTCCAATGGTTGTTATTTATTCTATCCACCACTATCTCCTCTTCAATTCTCCTGCAATGATCCCTCTTCATCTTCCTCACATTACGTACATTCCTGTCTGCTCCTCTCCTCCCATATTTACCCCCCACCTTCCTCTCTTGCTGCTTCCTCCCTCGAGTATCTTCCCAACTACTGATCTTGTAGACTCCCGTCCTATTTTCTCCTCTAACTCCATTCCTGTTACTTTCTCAACCTTCTTTAAGCCTCCTTTCTTTTACCACTCATTTTCTCTTTCTACCTTTCCCCTTTCTTACTTCTCTGACATTTGAAACCTTGCCAAATCACCTTTCCACCCATCATTCTCATCTATCCTCCTCTCTCCTTCATTCCCTGACCCTTCACCTCTTCTCCTCTCATCTCCTTTCCTCTCTCCTTTATATCTTAAGGTCTGATCTCCTCTACCTTCACCTACCATCTATCGTCTTATCCATTACCGACCTCTGCCTCCAGAAGATCTGGACTATAGACTATACAACCAGCACAGCCCCTATTAGACCCCCCCCCCCCCTCCCCTACACACACCACAACACAGACTATATCACCCCTTGCTGCTAAATACCAATCAACTATGTGCAATATGTGCTATATGTGCAATATATATATAAATGCCGTTAATAACTGTGTAACTTATAACTGGCTGCTAATCCTTAGAACCGTTACAATGTGTGTTTTTTTGTATTTTGTAAATTGTGTAACTTGCTGCAGTTAAATACCATCATACTATGTGCAATATGTGCTATATGTGCAATATATACATTACATTATATACATTAGCCATTAATAACTGTGTAATATATACCTGGCTGCTAAATCCTAAGAACTGTTACAGGATTTGTATTTTGGAAAGTATTTTTTCTATTATATCATAACTTAGTACTTTTTTTTCTTAACATAGGTAACATGAAGCTGTCTGTGGCTCTTTCCTGCTGTAACGATGCACATGTCCCCTCTGTGGGACTAATAAAGGTATTCTGATTCTGATCTTTATCCTTTCTCCATCATCACTGCTTCTCCATCTCCTTTCACGTCTTCTAACTCCACTTTTTGTCTTTACCTGTCCTCAATTAATCCCCCACATTTGACTTTTTGCCTCCGTTCCTCCAATCTGTACTTCCTTACTCATTTCTGGGCCTTTTCCCCCTGTCTTATTATATTTCTTAATAAGTACCAAAGCTTTTTGCCATACCTCCAGTGTCAGGGTGAGACAAAGTTAGAGAGAGAGGGACAGTGTGTGTGTGTGTGTGTGTGTGTGTGTGTGTGTGTGTGTGTGTGTGTGTGTGTGTGTGTGTGTGTGTGTTTGTGTGTGTGTGTGTGTGTGTGTGTCTTAATCTGCTCTCCTCTCTTGTTCCCTTTCAAGTGAAGACATTCTCCACACCGTGACCTTGCTTTGTTACAGCTGACACTCACCTCTTATCGTGCTCTGTCCTCATACCCTCTCCTCCTCCTCCTCCTCCTCTTCCTCCTCCTCCTCAACCTTCCTCTTTTTACTCTCTCTCTCGTTCTCCCCCTATCTAACAAAAGGGAGATGTCACTGGCTCGGGAGCTCTTTCCTTCCCTCTCCTTTCATTCTTCTGCCGCTTCCTCTCCTCCGTCTTTCCATTAAGCCAACAAAAGGCTCGCTCGCTCTGCTCAGAAAGACTCTCCCTCTCTTCTCTTCTTTCCTCCTCTTCCTCAATGGCTCACATCACCTTTTCTCTGTGCTCACGTCCATCCCCTCTCTTCCCTCCCTTTCTCTCATCCCCTCCGCGTCTTTCCATGAAGCGAACAATAGGAAGGCCGTCTTCCATTCACAGCGGCTGGTCTCTGGTTGGAGGTCACACCAATAGAATCTGAAGTAATTTAATCGGGATTACGTATAAGTGTGTGTGCCGTAGACACCACTCTGGAGAGATCAGAAGGCTGTGCTCTGCTTATTGTAGTTTTCACAGAAGCTACCCTTTTGACCTCTGGTAGTAATTAGCTCTAGCTACAACTGTTGTACTGCTGAACTCATGACCAATTTAAAGACGGTGCAGTGCAATGGTCCTTCAGCATATGCTAATAGTCACTAAATGGCTTAATAGTGTTTCAAAGACAGGTGTTGAATTCAAACAAGAAAAGCTTGAGGCCACTAATGCTGTCGATGCAAAAGCTGCACCAAGATCTTAAGTAGTACTCTTATGTAGTGAAAAGTACATTGCTGTGTAAACTAATCACCTGTAAAGCAATGCAAAAGCTGGAAAGAGAGTGGGTGGTGTGTAACAGCTCCTCACCATGAGAGTATTAAATGAGAAGGCTCTCACTTTTCTCAATAACCAATGTCAAGGGCTCTTGGGCAAAGCACTTAACCCCGAGCTGCTGGAGCAGAGCTGGTCAGGGCAACCAGCACAGAGCTGCTCAGGACAAATGTGAAGGAGGTAGATAAATAAAGCTTTTCTCAACAGACTTTCTCCTGGTGAAAAAGGAGTACATGGGTGAAAAATGCACCTTGCATGGAAGACAACACAAATGTATCTCCTGGGCTTTATGAATCTTTACCAGAAAGCTCTGATGAGACTATACCTGATTTTAGATTGAAAAGACAACAAGGTAAATGGAGGAAGCAAATGAAAAAGGGCTAAGGCTACAATGGTTGATGTTGTGTGTGAGTGTGAGTGTGAGTGTGTGTGAGTGTGAGTGTGAGTGTGAGTGTGAGTGTGAGTGTGAGTGTGAGTGTGAGTGTGAGTGTGAGTGTGAGTGTGTGTGTGTGTGTGTGTGTGTGTGTGTGTGTGTATTAAAGGACACATCCTGGGCTGTTCCATACTTGTCTTACTGTCAAAGAAACCTATGGAAAATCTAAAACTACAATGTATTGATCATGTATTGCTTCTGTAACCAAAGTGTGATAAGCACCTTCAGTGTTGATTTGAACATTGATTGATCACCATATATAACCAGCCTCATTCTTTAGACAGTGTGCATGTGTGTGCATGTGTGTGTGTGTGTGTGTGTATGTATACCAAGTCAGCGCTGGGCTCCGTTTTGGCGGTGGGCGGAGCTGCAGCAGCAGTGGGCGTGGCAGCAGGAGGGGGCGTGGCCTCCTGAGGGTCAGCAGTCAGGTGGAAAGGAAGCGCATTAGTGGCAGCCATGGCGACAGAGTTTATGACAAGCACACACTCCTCCAATCAGATACAGATAAGCAATGGTGTCATAAACGTGGAAGCTCAAAGAGGTTATTGAAGATATGCAGAACATGTGTGAGATTTTGTTACCTCAAAAAAGTCTGTTTTGTGGAGCTGAGAACGTGACCCATTTTACTTTTTAATGTGGATTTTTAGTGTGACCGAGAGAAATTAGAGAGCTGTGATTTAAAATGCTAATTAGATGGAGTTGTCATGATAACATCAATCAGATCAGGAAGTAAAATAAAATTACACTCAGATTCAGATTTCATGTTTTAAGAGGTTCACTGGAGCCTGTAAGGTCCTCCTAAAAGAGTCTCTTCAACCTCTACATTGGTGCCTCAAGAATCACAAGTAGAGAGTTTGTTGTAAAAGAAAAGTGGGAGATAAAGAAGCCTCTCTTTGCGAGCACATGCTGAGAATGTTATTTACTGACAGTTGTGCTTTTTCCTTCAGTCTGACAATATATTTTGCTGTGGATGAAAAATGCATGTTTACTGTGTGCAGAGCTGCGTCTCTGATGCAGCAGCAAAACAATACACATAGTAATTGTGTAAAACTCTGCTCTACACTGTCATTATAAAAAACTGTTTCATAATGATGTGTTTTAACTACATGATCCATTAAAGCACCAACATGCTGACTACTCCCTGCTGAAGGTGGACACTATTTCAAATGACTGTCAAATGAGTGTATCTGTCTCTACAAATCTAATCATAAAAGAAAATCGATTTAGATGTTATTAAATCACAAGGACTTCAAATTGGGTGATAATCAAGTAGTGTAGCCTGGTGTATCATCAGAGTAAGGCAGTGTCATATTTGAGACAGAATAAAGCAAAAAAAGAGACAATCTTTACAAAATGATACTTTACAATGGAGGCCAGCTTGTATTTGGTAAGCAAATGAAACATAAACCATAATTACTCACTGAAATATGGTGAACACGTACTTTCCACCTCAGTTTAACTATAAAGCTATATCTTCTCACAGCTTGTGGCCTACTCTATATCATAAAACAGAACTTACAGCCCATAAAGCAACAGACCACAGAGTTATAGCGGAGCTGCCCAAGCTCTCTGGCTCTGTGCTTCATGATCAATGTCCTTTGAGAGGTGTAGTTTAGCAGCTAACTGGGTAACTGATAAACTATGACTGCTTCAAGGCTTATCATACATTAAATATAAAAAAATACATCTCTTGTCTATCTCAATGCTAAGGGTATACATTGAATGACTCACTGCCCACCATCCTCTTAGCATAGTAGCTTAACGTTAGCGGAGAGTGTTTTGGCTCCTCTGGGCTCATAAAGCATACATGGCATGCACAGTTAGCGTAGCGTAGCGCCGTGGATCCGCACTGCATGACAGGCTGCCAGAGGTGGAGTTTAGTGGCTCAAGGCTAAAGGGACTATAAAGAAGAGTTAATGGTCTGTACAACTGCTATGTGATGAAGCGCTAAGCTAACAGGGCGAGGCCACGGCTGCATTTCATCAGAGAGAAATGAGTGTGCATTTGTGTGTGTGTGAGTAACAATCAAAGAAAAGAAAAGAAAAAATATGTGTTGGGAGTTATGTGCGCTTCTGAAAATGCATATTGGCTTATGTAGTTCCCTCACTGTACTGTGTATTTATATGTGACTTATGTGCATGTACTCTAAATGTGCCAACAGCTTAGAATAGGCCAACTAAACAAAAATATTGCCCAGTTAATTACTGCAAGTAAAAACCCTCCGGTGTAATATTAACATCCCTAACTTGCACATGACATTAAGTTTTAATACCTTAACACCTTCTGTTAAAAAAATATGAATGATGAAAGTTATGCCCATGAGTGTTTAGTATTCTAAGTGCGTGTGAACCCATGTTAATTTTTAACCACTTACAGCAGGAGGACCTGGGGCTGGTGTCGGGGTCAAAGGAGGACTGAGAGGCTTCGACACCTCCTTTTCCTCCTCGGGCTCCTCTTCCTCAGGCAGTGCAAGAGGAACTGGCGGAGGGGCGATGTTGGGGCACTGTCCGATTTCAGCGTTCTCAAAGGACACAGGCAGGGAGAAATCTGAGAGACTGAGAGATGGACCGACAATTAGATTTAAAATGACTGGGCGTTTAGCTGACACTGCAAGAGCACCAAAATAACATAGAAGTCCATCATGAAAATTAAAGGGACCTGTTAAGATGTGTTCAGATTGAGTGTTACAGTATCTTCATCAGTCACGTATATTTTCACCTTGCTATAAGATAGTCTCTTTGACTGATGTTTGCCCATTTGAATTTGATGCATACAGTGGATTTGCTGAGTATATTTATCCGAAACAAATTTGTAAGATTAAATTGTCACGCTTCACTGATCATCACCACTGTCACTGAGAAGACTAATGGTTTCTAGCAGTGGAAATGTGTGCCATATATGGGGCGAAGCCTGCGAGCTAGTTCAGGCAGTCAACTCGAGCACCAATGATACATTAACACGTGACGCGTCTCTCTTACAACCAACCAAACACAATCTCCTTAACTTGCCGCTCTATTTAAGCTGCCAGATCTGCCTGCCTCTGCCTCGCTAATGCTGCGGCGCTGTCACATTGCTGATGCGTTCACGTGCTGCTTGCCTGCCCCACCACCACCCCAGCTTCCACCTGTAGGCTCGGGGGATAGTTACAGTGTCTAATCATCACTCAATGTTCTAAGTAAATTACATGTCACTTGTTAGACGCTTTTATCCAAAACGACTTACATACTCAGTACTGTGGACAATCCCCACAGGAGCAATTTGGGGTGAAGTGTCTAGCCCAGGGACACAACGACATGCTGACTGCAGTGGGGTTTGAACCTGTGATCCGAACACCAAGGCTCTATCCACTGCACCACACGCCTCCGTGGAGTGATGAGGCCCGAGCCTAGACGCCAAACTCAACTATATGCTGCTCTAATAAACATATTAAGAACACGTGAGTTGCCTGACTGAAATGCTATATCTGCATCTGTTCATGTTTCCATCAACACAAAACAGACACAAACAAACATCCAAATAAAGGCCAGTCCTCATAGACCCAAGGTTAAAATGCCCAATTTTACAGCAGAAATGAACTAAGCCTGGTTCAAACATCTTAACATCTCAAAGTTATGCTTCTGCTCTGCCAGCGTCAGGCAGTGTTATTGCTGCCAACATTGAGCTAACAACAGCTCTTTAGAACATCCATAATTCATATATTCTAGGTTTTCATTCACTTTGTAATCAATCACAAAGCCTCTGAAATTTGTTTTGTGTGTAGTCTGAACACATCTTAACAAGATTAAGGGTCATGGCCACAGTACAGTGACTGACAAGGTTGCTATTACCATGGAAGGATTATGTATACGCGATAGAAAAAGGAAGTATAGTAATAAGAGTTATTTCAGATTCACTATAAGAATATAAGCTTAAAAGGACATTTAATAGAAATGAATGTAGTCCATCATCAGGGAGAGTGCTTAAAGTAAAACTCCAGAAAATAAATGGATTGATGAAGACTCACTGACAGATTGACAGATGTCTGAAGATGTAGAAGTTATAGTGTCAGGGTGATAGGGGTGAAGAGAGGTGAGCAATAGACAAACAGACACAAACATAAACACACAGAGATGAGAGTGTAATTTGAGTTATGAGTATGTTTATGATGTTGGACAGCTCTATTACTGCTGTTCGGGCAGAAAGAGGCACTGGCTTTATCATTATCATCATCATCACAGCCTCATTCATGACCTCCCGCAATCATATTAAGTACGTTTTAACCCAGCAGAGGATGAGGTCAAAACAAGGCCTGTCGTCCACTGCCAGAAAACGTAATTGGATAAACATCAGGAAAATGATGGAAAAATGCACGGTTTGAAGCAAGAGTATTCATACAGTGCATTTAAGGTGAACAGCTAAAGTTTAGTGAAGTGAGTTTAATTGGTGAGTTTTGCCTGTGTCAGTGTTTTAACGTGGTGAAATGCAAGGGCAGAGAAATATCCAACATCAAAAGCTGACTCTGTTCTTTTGCCCCATATTGATCTGGTGATGTCAGAGCCATATCACTTTGTGTCAAATTAAATGAATTGTTTCAGATAGTTCAAAGGAATCTGAAATGTAGTTCAGAGGGAAAAACAAACTGACTCGTTCATATTGCTAACAGATCTTTGCAAAAACACGTAAGAAAGGTGAGTCACTAGTATCTATGGTTGGATATGACATACCCACAGCAACATTAAACCTAATCACAGTGTTTCAACACATGGTAGTACAGTACAACCTCATTGCTAATAAAAAGGTTAGAAAACTGTCAAAAGAACTTTAATTTCACGGGAAGACTAGGGGTAGAGGAATGTGAGAATTTGGTTAGCGGTATTGTCAAATATCTGGTACAAACTACCTGAAGGTCCGCTGCAACTCTGACTACTTTTAAATCCAGGCTGAAGACTTTATTTTTGCTGCTGCTTTTAAAATGAACTATTCACATCTTACAGTGCACTGTAACTTTTATTCATGTACCTATATTATTCATGTTTTATTATCTTTGCCTTTTAATGTTTCTTAAAGTCTTTCATTTTTGTAAAGCACTTTGATTTGCATTGTGTTGAAAAGTGCTATATCAGGGTATATGCAGGAATCCTGAAGTCAAATGTAATACCTTTTAAGACCTTTTTTAAGACCTTTTCCATACATTTTAAGACCTCATCGCCACGAGTTTTAACCGGTTACATTGGCGACACACTTTACCTCACATTTACTATATACAGTATTGATTGTCCTTCCTCCTTATCTTCCAACCATTTGGACGCAAACTTGCATTTCCCCATAACGATGTTGTTTAACAACCGGCGTAAACGGACCTTCGCGCGCTATCAAGCAGTGAGCGTGCGATGTCCTGTTCAGATGACGTCAAATCCAACGGGATGCCATAAATAAACTACACAGAATCACACTACACACCTACGCAATGATTACATTTAGGCAAACTGTAGAATACAACCTCTTTGGACAAAATGTAATACCTTGGAAAATGCCGTTTAATACATTTTAATAGCCTTAATTTTCGCTAAATTGATTTATCAACTTTTAATACTTTTTAAGACCCCGCGGACACCCTGTATATAAATAAACTTGCCTTGCTAAGAGTTACAAGCTTTTAGGAAAAGCTTCTCTAGTTCGTTCTATTTGTTCTAATACAAGCATTTACATGCCCCTAAAACATATTGAACATTTTAATTAATACAATTAAATCTAATAAGGGAAACATGAAAAGTGCATGGCTCCAATCTGCTCTACAATATGGCAGTTTTATCTCTGAGCTTCAATCAACATACACCTGTTTTCAGATATAGAGAAGATAGAAGATGTTACGTACACAGCGTTGACCATGAGGTTCCATATGCATCCCTGGAATGGGATGTTGGCTCTGTTGGACGTCTGCTCTACTTCTGCAGGAATACCACCGAGGAAGACGCGCTTCAGGCTCACAGGCTGGTCGTTGGGGAGCGCTGCCTCCCTCTTGGCCTCCTCGTCCACCTGAACTGCAAAAGATCTGATGGGACGCAACGACCGAAAAACACAAAGTATTACATATATTTTTGCAGAGTAAAAGTCTTCAACAGGGACAAAAAACATACACAAACTCTGACCTGCCAGGCTGCCTCTCTATGCGCAGCGAGTGCTCTCTCCCATCATTCAGTGCGCCTTGCTCGGCTCGTCTGATGACACGACGCGGACTGTGGCTGCCGGTAAACATCAACACCTCCAGAGAGCCTTTGTTTAGCATGACTGAGAGGTAGGGCTGCAGGGGAGGGAGATTAAGTTTATCAGCTGTGGCAATCTGAACACACATACAACTCCCAGGACTCATAACTGGAGACAGGTGATTTAATGGGGAAGGTTGATGAAGGGAGTTGATTTGTAATATATACACTAACAGTATAACTTGAGTAAATGCCAATTCATCCAACACTAGTTAATGAAAAGGTTAGAGCAGAGGAGATATTAGATCGTATATATAATATTATATACTCGGCAAACAATTTGATGTTGAGCAACATTACCGCAGACGTTACCGCAGCATCCTGGCAAGGACAAGAAGATTCAGAGACAGTTTCTTCCCGCGGGCAGTGAGACTGTTACAAAATTGAACTGTTGAAACAACTTCAAACATTCATCTGCTACTCAGTAGTATGTATCTAATACCTAATATATATATATCATTCCAATAACTTGTATATAGACTCGTACTGCACTATTCCACATCATTACTTTATTTTATTTTATAACTATTATTATTTTTGTATTGCTCTTGCTCTTATTGTTATTATGTATTATGTTGCATTGTTGGAGAAGCCTGTGACATAAGATTTTCAACTACATAATTACTCTGTAGCTATGTCAGATTGACAATAAAGAACCTTGAACCTTGAACCTTGAACATTTGATATTTCCACATGTACTGAAAGCACTTTGTAAGTGTGCGTGTATTTGTTTTGAATATAACCTTTATTCAACCAAGACAACCTTGTAGAGATAAGGAAAAAAAAGTATTTTAAGGAGTCTCCTGGCCAAGGTACTGTAGGCAGTAAACACAGTGTCTTACTTGCTAGAAACATAACACTGATAACATAAAATGTCTAGCAAGGTCAGGAGTAAACAAAAATGCAATTATGAAATCATGAATAAAACTGCCAACAAGAAACAGATAAAGATCCCTCTTTAGAAAGCAGTCTTTAATGTGTCTGGAAAAATCTAGTAAGTGGACCTTGATAAGATTTCATAGTCAAACTTAAAAGACCAATTTAATACTAAAAAACAATAAAGGAATATGTCTGGAGTGTACACCCAAAGTCAGGTGTTTTCTTGTTGGTACCTGCGCCAAATGCTTTCAATTAATAAGGATCTAAATAATAAAAGTGAATCTGTTCCGTTTTTGTCCGACTATGATCACGCTATATTTATTTTGTGCCGGAATTTGATCAAACATTTCCACCTCTTGCAGAGCGCAGTACTTACAAGGTTTGTTTTAGAGGAGAAGAGAGAACAATAAGGACAAGGGGGAGGGGGGAAATATAAGAATTGAAGGGAGGGAATAAAGAGCAGAAAGTCAAAAGGTGAAAGGGGAGATGAGTGGGGAGAGGTGTGGGGCTATATTGAGTGAAATTGGGGGGAAATGAGAGCGGTAGGAGAGGAGTGGAGAGGAAAGGATAACAAGAGATGAGAGGAACAGAGAGGAGAGGATAATAGGGGGAAGAGATGAGAGGGCAGAGAGCAAAACAGCGCTGGAGACAGAGAGGAGAGAGGGAGACAGACAGAGAGGTGCTGGAGAGCAGCGGAGCAGGGTCAGGCTAATTTGAATTTTAATTCACTGTGTGCCAGAGGGCGAAGTGGGAGACAATTTACCACCTGAAAATGGAATTTCAATTTGAGGTCGGGGACAAATTGAACTGAGATGTAGCTACAACATGCCTCTCGCCGCGCCGCCTCGCACACGCACACATTTATACAGATACAAAAGGCACACACACACACACACACACACACAGACACATGTCACACATACAGACAAAGGCACACATTCACAGATAGACTCACACATGAATATATATAACGGAGGGTAGTGGCACACACATATAATCAGGAAGCCATATACGCAACAGAGTGTAGCTAACACATTATGCAAAGACCTAATACAGTCACAAGAAAAACACTCACACAGAAAGCAGACACACACATCCCTGCTACCTTTAGTATTTGATTATTTGTATTTATATGCATTTGTTTAAGCTTTGTGTTTTGTATGCCAAGTTCTGTGTAAGCTTGTAGGCAGCAGGATAAAAACGTTGTCTGAGATCAGCAAATGACGCAGGGTTTTTCTTGTTTGTTCAATATTTATGAACCAATCTAAAGACTTTATTGTAAAACTGTTTTGTAACGATACACCTTAGAGCCAACATCATGTTTTATGTATACTTTTGTGTTTTTCAATTTGCATTCAGAGCCAGAGGCTTTGTTAGGAGTTAGCAGCCGTGTGTAAGGCCATTCATAATCTCAGCATAAGAAAGAGCGTTTTAGGTTTACCAGGATACTTTTAGGGGGATTTGGGGGACATGTACACACAGTTTAGTCTGTATATTTAGACCACACGATCATAACAATAACAGCCCACAGAATATTTATCTGCAAATATAGTCATATTTTATTTTTGTGGTAGCTTTATTCTCTGCTCAAATGACAGAGGTCATCATTAAATGAATCAAATATCACTAAAAGACAGGACGGCACTCATGCTCAAGTTGATCCTAAGGTCTGGTTACCAAACATAAATACTAAATTGGAAAAATTGTTACTCAAATTGTAACCTTTTTTTATAGTTATAATGAAGCTTTAGAACAAACCTACTTCATTCCTTCTGGCTAGAGAAAGAAAAACAGGGTGTTTCTTTGTATAATGAGAGATTCTGGAGGTGTGAGTACCTCTCAACATCCAACATGGCGTCTTTCCACTTTATTTTAGTCCTCTCTCTTTCTCATTGTGTCCCTTTCTCTCTCCTTCTCTTTACCACACTCTTTCATCTTCCTTCTTTTTGCTCCATGTTTCCTTCTCATTTTCTTTTCCTCTCTTCTCTGTGACCATGTTCTCTTTCTGTCTAAAATCAACTCTCTCCATCTTTTCAGTTTTGTCCTCTCCTTTTCCCACATATCATTGATTTTATTTCCAGCTCTACTCTTTCCCCTCTCTCCTTCCTTTCACCTCTAAATCTCCCTCCTCTATCCCTCCATCCTTTGTCTCCGGTCCCCTTCTCTCTCCCCTGTCTCTGTGTCCCTCTCTAAAACATCCATTAGTCAGGGCCAAGTTGAGTTGATGGTGTTTTTAACCTCGCTTAACCTTTACCACACACACACACGCCCCACCTGCCAACATAGTTAGTAAAAATAGATTTATGCGCCCAACAACCAGTGATGATGGATAAGCTAGAGGTAACCCTCTGTCCTTTCCCTCACACACACATCCATGCACACTCATAAACCCCTACATACACTTCCAGTTTAGCATTCATGTGAGCAACACCCTCCCCAATGAGATACACACACACACATTATGCTAAAACACGCACGCACACATAAAAACATTGAAACAGGCACCCACACATACATGTATGCACGCACGCACACGCACACACACACACACACACACACACACACACACACACACACACACACACACACACACACACACACACACACACACACACACACACACACACACACACACACACACACACACACACACACACACACACACACACACACACACACACGTAATCATGTGCAAACAAAATACTTATGCACCAAATACATGGTGTTTCCAGCAGAGATAAAAGAATAGATTTGTTTATCCATCAGTGATTAGGATGAAAGAGGGCTGTATCAGTTAAGGGACTTCAAGCGTATGTGTGTGTGTGTATATGTGTGTGTGTGTGTGCATTGAGTGAAAGTGTTTTTAGCCCTAAGACAATCTAATCAGCATAGTTGCCAACAAACTCAAATCTCATTAATATGCACTCATGCACTTAAAGAAGAAATGTGTGTGTGTGTGTGTGTGTGTGTGTGTGTGTGTTTGTGTGTCTGCGCTTGCGTGGTCAGCAAAAGCTGAGATAGCTACTGTATGTATCTGTCAATGGAAATTTGTGAGTGTGTTTTGGATAAAAGACAATCCAATTAGCCTAGTTGCCAAAACAGTCAAATCTCATTAATATGCACTTATGGAAACGCCATCCACTTAGGGAGAGGGGTGCATTATTAGGGTGTGTGTGAGTGTGTGTGACCCACCTCTCCAGACTGCCTGCGTCTCCTCTTAGTGCTGAGGAGGTTTGAGTTGCGGGCCTGTGGTGGATCAATTATCAGAAAAAAAGACACACAACAGAGAGTCCTTGGTCAGTCTATCGGAATTAACAAAATCATTTGTTTACAAGCAAGTACACAATTACACTTGTATAAACAAAATATCATTCAATAAATAATTTATACTGATTGTATTTAATTTATTAAAATTATGATGATTTTCATTTCAAGAAAATCTAATTGTGGCCCAAATAATTACAACAAAATCACTAAGTTGGTTCCAAAAACTTCCTAAAATTAGAAGGATAAAATGGACAAGTAAAAAATAAAAATAAAATGCTGTGATAATGAGAGTGAGTCACAGCTTGGTCACATAAAAGATGGGATCCCGACCTGCTTGATGACAGGTGAAGCCCCGCCCACAGCCAGCAGGATGGTCCCAGTGTCGGCCAGAGTGCTGAACGACAGGCTGATCTCCGTGCCGACCGCCATCGACAGGCCGCCCAGCTCCATGTAGCCCGGCTTAGAGAAGCTGACCGTGTACAGGTTCTACGAGACAGAGATTAAAGGTCCCCTGTTATACTGTTTTTCATCAATATATTACAGGTCTCAGATATATACAAAACATGTCTCTGAAGTGTTTGGCTCGAAATACCAAACAGATCATTGCAGCATCCCATAATCCCCTCTGTTTCAGCCCTGTTTCAAAAGTGCTGATTCTCTGTCTGTTACTTTAGATGAAAATAAGGAGCCACTCCCCACGCCCCTCTGAGAGATATTTGGTTACAAAGAACTCAATGGTGCTCTAGGAGGAGATTCAGGTGATAAGGTGGGGGGGGTTACCTTGGTTGCTGATTGGCTAATGGTTACACAAGCCAAGAAATCGTTATGACATCATAAAGTGGCCAAAATCAGCTCATTTTCAGACAGGTTTTTATAAAAATGGATCAGGACAAAAAGTGAGAGAATCTTTTTTCCTTAAACTTTCAGAATCTACACAGAGGGGACATATGTTGATGTATAAAAGACATGATAAAGTGGGTTTTGCATAATAGGTGATAGTTTTAGTATTAGTAGATACATTGATTAGACCTAAACTTTACAGAGGATACAGAAGAAAAAGTAAAATAGTGTTTGAAAAGCAGTGAAGAAAGGTCAACCAAGTCAAGGCTTTACTCTTGAACTTATAGTGGAAATACTAACACAGAGACACCCACACAATCAGACACTCTCATCCTTGTAGCGTAGCAGAGCCATTGGTGAGGGAAAGAAAAAGACAGATAAGAGAAATAAAAAGACCTTCACTCTACATACAACCCTGGGCCTTTATCACCCTCTATACAGTCTTTATACGCAGCGACCATGGCTGCACGTTTGTACAAATGAATGGCACTAGTGTTTAGAAATCCTTGTGAAGTCCTTGTAAGCTTTTAAATCTGCAATGTAGAGTCAATGGTAGTGTTTATGAAGTGCATTGAGGTTCAAAGGATGTGCGTTCTTGTTAGGATTGTATAGATTCTAGATAGTTTGTTTGTTTACACGGAATAAAGAAAACTAAAAATGTACTGAAATGGTTTCGTGCTTAGGCCATTTGTTTACTGTGTAGCAAAAGCTTACAAAAAAACCAACTTGTATCTCTACGATTTACACAAAGATACTAACTTTATACAGTATGTATACAAAGTGTGAACCATAGGTCATACATGTCATGGGCATAAAGACGTATATCTATGTTGCACATTTATTATCCATGCACATGTTCACTCACCTTCTATATAAGGACATTATGAGGAGTTTACACACGCATGATAAATCACTTAAACAGCAGTATGCAACATTATAAGTAGACAATCTTAATACTATAATACAGAAAGGTTTTAGCAGATCTGTGCTATGCAAATCCACACTGCAGATGGTTCATTTTACATATGTGACATGCTCTACCAACTCTGTTAAAATATCAACTTTGAGAAACATTAACCCTCCTATTGTCTTCGTTTCCCCCTTTACTTTGGTGTTCGCGGTCAAATTTGACCGGTCCTGTTTTAACTGCTATTACATTAACACAAAAACCATTAATCATCACCAAATTTCATTTAACACCCTTTTAAACTGTAAATATTGATTCATATACATGAAAAACTGCAGTGAATATACAAAGAATAGACACTGAACATGTATTGTTGCGTGTGCCAGGTTTGATCCATGTGGGGGGATGGGCACATAAGAGCGGGACATGTGTCAAATTGTTCTGTGTGTGTGTGTGTGTGTGTGTGTGTGTCTGTGTGTGTGTGTGTGTGTGTGTGTGTGTGTGTGTGTGTGTGGTGTGTGTGTGTGTGTGTGTGTGTGTGTTTGTGTGTGCCAGGTGTGATTCACATGGGGGGATTGGGCACATAAGGGGGGGGGGGGAACACATCTAGAGTATGTGTGTGTGTGTGTGTGTGTGTGTGTGTGTGTGTGTGTGTGTGTGTGGGTGTTTGTTTTATCTGATCCGGATGGTTACTAATTCCTTTTCTTTATGGCGGTCATTTTTGACCGGGAACACCATGGGTGTTACAAAGTTGACTAAATCATCCAAAATGCAATGAAAGTGATGATCAGCAATTTGATATGTTCAAATGTCTACTGTGAAGGATATCATAAAGCCTTAATGCAATCGAATGTAAAACAAAAAAGTTATGATTGATGAAAGTAGTAAATCGGTCAGATTTGACCCGAAGACAACAGGAGGGTTAAAGGAATTTAATACTGTTTCCTTGATAAGTATAACAGTGCAAGCAGACAGTAAAACCTCTGTAATATAATCTGAGTGTCTTGAGAGTTTAAATACACTGTAAAGCCATCAAAAAGTGGAAACTCCTACCTCTGCATTACATCCTTTGGTGACCCCGGTATAATCTGAGCTGCTGAGGAGACTGTAAGGAGTCCTGGAGACTTCAATCTCCCGAAGACAGCCAGCATACCGCTTCAGAGTGACCTCTGACCTATAAAGAAATTATAATCATTTCAATAAAGAAGACATTTCAAACTCAGTGGAATTTCCTGTCTCTCGGCAGTGAAATGTAATGAGAAAAAAAGCAGGATTTCTGCAGCAGTGAAGCTATTGCATCATGTACCCAGAAGCAGAGTCGGGCGTCAACAACAAGAAGAGTTTGAAAATGTCGTTTGTCCATATTAATAAAGCAGGATTTATTATATTAATCAGTTTTAGGCAGCTGATTTGTGTGTGTTGTCAGGTTTTGTCCATTTGGCCGTATTATTCAACAGTAAATGGACGAACAAATCCATTTTTTGACTGTGATCACCCTGAACATGTCCTAGCAGTATAATGCACCTTTGTAATTGTTTTCTGTGAATTAGGGCTTTATTTTTTGTAGCTCAGCAAAAAACTGTTACTTGCAGTGACACTTTGATTTGCATCTCAAATACATTTTGAATATGATTATGGCGATGGGGCCTGTAGGGCAGAGTCATAAATGTGAGGAATCCCACCTAAATGTTGCTGAACAGACAAACGTCAAATTTAGATTAAGAAAGGAGCAAATAGAGAGAGTGATTTCCAGCCGCCGCGTGGAGGAGCCAAGATACAAACACACGCACGCACGCACGCACGCACACACACACACACACACACACACACACACACACACACACACACACACACACACACACACACACACACACACACACACACACACACACACACACACACACACCACACACACACACACACACACACACACACACACACACACACACACACACACACACACACACACACACACACACACACACACACACACACAATGGGCTGCACAGCGTCATTAGCATGGCTAGCCTCATGCAGAGGGAAATATACAATAAGTATTCACTACATGTCTGAATATAAGATGTATATATTCATTTATTTACCTGGCTGTCATGCTGTCAAGACAAAACATGATATTAAAACATTAGGACGCATTACAAATACAGTTCACCCAATGAATTGTCTAAACAAAACTTTTTTTTTAACTCAACCTTCTTGCAAATAAATGATACAATGACAAGTTAAATGTGTAAAAACAGCTATAGATTTTCATTTAAATACTGATAAAGACTTTTGCATTCGCAAATGTTCCAAACTGTGAATTTAATATTACAGCAATAAAAAATCTTACCTTGGGAGAAATGTTTTAAAAGGTCAGAATTACAAAGACTCATTTTCATTGTCTTCAAAAGATCCTGCTTTAAGAGGACAACAAATGACCCTGTATATGAAACATTTATACACATCATGGCCTTTGCAATAAAAACATCAAGTGCTGTGTATGCGAGTGTCTAAATGTGCACATTAGAGTGTTATAACTGTGTGTGTGTGTGTGTGTGTGTGTGTGTGTGTGTGTGTGTGTGTGTGTGTGTGTGTGTGTGTGTGTGTGTGTGTGTGTGTGTGTGTTTACCTATAGTTTCCAATGGTAGGCAGCCCTCCAAAGTAGATCTTCTGGTGTTCTTTGAGGTTCAGACCTGTCGCCGCGCCCTGAGACGTCGTCACTATTTTCTCCTCAGCACCGCTGTCGATGTCCACTACGGTCACCGTGGCTTTGAAAACAATTAAAAAGGAAAACAGTTACAGAAAAGGCAGAGAAAATGTACTTTAAAATTGTAAACCTATATATTTTTTTATTAACATTAAACTCAAGTTTTTTTATGTTGCTTGTAATTGTTTTCTTTGCTGTGGAACCATATCTGTTGTGCATGCAAATGTTGACTGTTTATTCATTTGCATTGGTCTTTCTTGAAGAAAAGAAGATAAACATGTATAGTTTGATGTTATCTAGGCTAATAATACAACACATTATTGGTTTTACACATTATATTTTAGGTTATCAGTTATCATTTATACTCTACATAATAATTAGCTTTTTAAGACTGTTGTTGTTGCTGTGCTTACCTTGTTTCTTGTTCCGTGACATGGTGAGGGACTTCCAGTGTCCGTCGTTGTGCCGGCTGGCTGAGAGGGCGCTGCCGACTCCTGAGCCAAGGTCAAAGTTCACCTTCACCTTCCCCTCGGACAGCTCCAGAGACATGAAGTCCTTCTACAGTCACAGCAGAGGAAAAAGGATTTTGACATTTAAAATCAATAACAGTCCAATAACAGCATTGTGCAGCAATAAGATAAACATTTGATTTAAAGTTTATCCTAGGGCTTAATATGTTTAATTACCCAGAAGGTTGAAAAGGTTTTTGAAATGTGGTTAAAACATGAATATGAGACAATTAAAATTGGGTTTTGTTATATAAAATAGGAGCACATTCTGGGTATTGATCTTAAAAGAATTATGAATTTATGCAGCTACAATTTGACTTAACTTTGTAAATCTAGACAGTTAAAGCAGCCGCTTACACCGACATATGGAAAGAAAACTAAAGTCTCTGGCCTCTGTGTGTTTGTTATTGTTTCTTGGAACTTTTGCTGTAAAAAAAGAAGGTGACTTTTTGCATATTCTTAAGGATTCTACACTAGGATGGTACCTGCAAAATATGTATTACATGAGGAAAGAAAAGTTTCTCGCTGCCATCAGCCCTGACATTTACATTGGTCATAATCACTTTAGTTCCTTTCACTTAGTTGAACACATACCATATCTTCAGTAGCCAGATACATGAGCAGGGATTCGGAGGAAAATGTGCGGAACTTAAAGGTCACGCTGGAAACATTTGGGTTCCACCTGGTGGGACGTCCCACCGCGGCGTAGCCCTCCCCGTCCAGCTGAACCGTCCCCTCCACATCCGACCGCTGGGGGCTAAAGGAAGTAAAGATAACAAGTATTTCATTTGACTATCGCTCTTTTATAACCGTGCAACTGTCAAAGGAGTTTGAAATGTAACATAAAATTAATTGCAAAGACGATGAATATTTACAGATCCCAAAAATAAAAGATTCAAGATTGTTTTCAAGATTCAAGGCTTTTCTTGTCATTTGTACATAGTACTACAGTGCAGTTATGACAATGAAAATCTTAGGTCACAGGCTCCTCTAACAGCGCAACACAATAAAACAGATAAAATAGTGCAAGTAAATAAATAAAATAGAATATAGTAGAAATAGTGCAGAATAGTCTATATACAAGTAATTGGAATATTGATATATATAAGTTGCAAACAGATGAATGTTATGGATAACTTTGTGTTGAAATGTACCTGACGACACATCCTTTACAGTCTCCCTGTCTCTCTCTGTAGTTCCACAGTCCAATAGGTTTCCCGTCCAGGAAGGTCTCCCCCATGCAACCTGTGAAGGTGTTTGTTCTCACTGCGTCCGCTTTCTGAAAAAGATAAGAGGAAAATTATGATTAACATTTTTCTTTTAGCACTTTATTTTTGAAAGTTTTCATTATAAGTGCTTTACAAAATAAAAACAAAAGACATTTAAGAATAAATACAGCATAAACACATTATTAAATGGCATTTAAAAACAGGCATTTAAAAGCAAAGATAATGACATAAATAAATAAAATAAATAAACACAGCAGGTACAGAATACATGAATAAAAGGCATACTGCAGTGTGAGTATGAACAGCTCAATTAAAAGCAGCGGCAAATAGATATGTTTTTAGTCTGGATTTGAAAATAGGAAGTGTTTCAGCGGACGTGCACGATTCGGGCAGTTTGTTCCAGATTGTCGGGGCATACTGTAATAGCTAAATGCTGCTTTTCCATGTTTAGTTCTTATTCTTGGAACAGAGAGCAGACCCGACCCAGAGGACCTGAGACTCCTGGATGGTTCATAGTTATGCAGGAGATCGTTTATATACCTCGGTCCTAAGCCATTTAGTGATTTAAAAACTAGCAATAGTATTTTAAAATCAATTCTTTGGTCGACTGGAAGCCAGTGTGAAGACTTCAGAACCGGACTGATGTGATCCAATCTTTTAGTGTTTGTGAGGACTCGAGCAGCAGCGTTCTGAATCAGCTGCAGCTTTCTGATGGATTTTTTCGTGAGCCCTGGGAATACACTATTGCAGTAGTCGAGTCTACTGAAAATAAAAGCATGGACAAGTTTTTCTCAATCCTGTTGCGACATTAGTTTTTTAATCCTAAATATGTTCTTCAGGTGATAGTATGCAGACCTACTGTAATGACTGTTGTAATGTGACTGTTAAAATGTAGGTCTGAGTCCATCACTACACCTAGATTTCTAGCTTTATGAGTTACTTTGTAGTCTGCCGACTGAAGCTCTGCGATTACTTTTAATCGGTCCTTCTTTGCTCCGCTTTTTGTTTGTTCAATTGGAGAAAGTTCTGAGTCATCCAGTCATTGATGTGCTCAATGCACTTGCTCAGTGTTCTAATCGGAGAGTAGTCTCCCGGTGTAATTTAAAATAAATCTGGGTGTCGTCTTCATAGATGTGATAGCTTAGATCGCTCTTTTTAATAATTTCAGCCAGTGGTAGCATATAGATATTAAAAAGCAAAGGTCCTAAGATGGAGCCTTGAGGAACACCGCATGACATATTTGTCAGGGTTGATTTGTAGTTGCCTATTGAGACAAAGTTTGTTCTGTCCTTTAAGTAGGAACTAAACCAATTTAGAGCTGTTGCTGAAACTCCCACCGAGTTTTCTAGACGGTCTAGCAGTATGTTGTGGTCAACAGTATCTATGGGCAGCGCTGAGATCTAATAATACTAACACTGATATTCTGCCACTGTCTGTGTTCAAATGGATGTCATTTAAGACCTTAACAAGAGAAGTCTCAGTGCTGTGGTTTGGTCGAAAGCCCGACTGAAACACATCAAAACCGTCAGTTTAAAAACATGAAATGACTCAACTGTTGAAAAACAACTTTTCAATCAATTTGCTTAAAAAGGGAAGGTTTGATATTGGCCTGTAATTATTCATTACGGTTGCGTCTAGGTTATGCTTTTTTAGGAGCGGTTTAATTACTGCAGTTTTCAGGGCCTGTGGAAATACACCCGAGTGGAGAGACTTGTTTACTATGTGTAGTATATCTGAGGCCAAGCAGTGAAAAACAGTTTTGAAAAATCCTGTCGGGATGATGTCGAGGCTACAGGAGGAGGATTTCAGATGTTGAATAATGTCTTCCAGGTCTTTAGCATTTATCAGACGGAATTGTGTCATGATGTCTGGATTGACTTTAGGTGGACACAGGGACAAAACATTTGCTGTACCTGATACCGAGGAACTGACTGCTTGTCTAATTTTCATGATTTTGTCAGTGAAGAAGGAGGCAAAATCATTGCAGGCCCTGGTGGATAGAAATTCAGAAGCTACCGACACTGGGGGGTTTGTTAATCTGTCGACGGTAGCAAACAATTCACGTGAGTTGTTTTTATTTTTGGTAATGATTTCAGAGAAGAACGATTGTTGTGCTTTTTTTTTTAAAGAAAAATCATACAGAATGTCATTGAGCAGTCAAGTACATATCAAATCAAATATACCCCCCACCTCCACCCCCACCCCAGCATGAAAGAAAAACAAATGAACACATACAAAGCAAACGACAAACAAAAAGGCAAAATATATACAACACCTACAATATTGCTTTAGAAATGTTAGTAGCCCAGATTTCAGCAACACTCAAATCTATACACAATCATCTTAAAAGAGTTAAATCCAGCTTGCGCTTCTCTACGTGTGTGATCAATGGCTGCCAGGCCTTATACAATCTATCAGTAGATCCCTTCAGAGTGGACCGGATCTTCTCTAGATGCAAAAACTGCAACAGATCTCTTATCCAGTGAGTATGAGGATTAACATGGTTTGACAGATTTCTTGGTGTTCCACACAGAGAAAGAGAGCGACAGTTACCTTGACGGTGCCGAGTATCCCTCCCACAAACAGGTAGGCGTTCTGGTCCACGTCCAGGATGGTGAAGGTCGTGGGCGAGTTGGCGCTGGCGGGGGTCGGCATCATACCCGCCATGGAGCCCTCCAGAGGATAAACTGATATGGTGCCATTCAACCCATTACTGAGGACAGAGAGAATTAGAGGGAATGTGTTGGGAAAATACTGAATGTACTCTTCCAATATCAGAGTAGCACATGATAACAAAGGCCCTACGTAGGTGTGCACGTAACAGGATGTAGGATTACCTAGAAGAAGCTCATGAGACACTGTGTTGAACATACAATAGCTATGTTCCAACGATTAAACATGATGATTCAGCCCCTAGGGAGATAGGCATATGACTGTCATGTTTATTGCTTACGTGGGCCTTAGCTAATCTGAACTAAACATTGTATCCTGCTTTGAACCGGTATTCCTCCATCTTGTGACTGTGTATACAGTATAAAGCATGAGAAGGACAATGTTCTGGGAACTAGTTGTACCAAATGCTCTGTATGTGATGACTACTTCCATTCTTGCAAGGATAATAAATACATGTTCCTGATTATTGAAGCTCAAGCCGGTGACGAGTGATATTTGTCTAATATAATGGGTTCCATGTTATTATGTTCTTGTATTTCCTCAGAGATATTCTCAGTGACTGAAGATGTTGGAGCCTCTTGGAATCAGTTTTTATGAACTCTCGGTGATAAAGATGAATGATAGAAACACGTAGTAGTCGTAGCAGGGGAACCTCTGAGCTGTAAAGTGAAATTAATCTCCCACCTTGGAGTTAGTTTTCAACGCAGAAACTGCATTTCTGTGTCGAGTAGGGGGACATTTTTAAGACTTATAGTCTGCATGCTCGCGTTGAAAAAACACATTTGGGAAATCTCTCAGATGTTAATACATAGTGCAGGTGGGATGTCGCCTTGGTGTGAGTGGTTCTCGTGTTGGATGGTCTGCTCCGTTTTGGCTTTCAGAGAGAGAAACTGGTTCCACTAGATCACACTGTATCTATGTAATGATGTGCCACACCGTCAAGGCCTCAGCTCTTGATCGCTCAAGTGAAACAACATGTTTTCTGCTGCAGCATGAATAAAAGGATGTCATATGGTTGTTGGGTTACGTTTACTTGTATCTGTTGTTGATTGTTAGATTCGGCTGTAGTGAAGGTTAGGTGAATATATCAGTTGTTTCATGAAATATTTGATATCAAACATCATTCCTAGAACTTCAAAACATAAAGGTAGAAGCAAAGAAAAACAAAATATGCAACCTTTGTTTTATATTAGTAAAATGTATACGAAATCCTTCATGTTAAGAGAATATTGTACAGTATTTCACTGTTTCTATCTTAGGCTCTAAATACATTTATTTTCGAGAAGCAGAAAGCCAAAAATAATAATTAAGCAAAAGAGCGGCTTAATACTCTCAAAATAATAAAGAAAAAGTAATACAATTAATACGTGTTGATACTGTAATGATTAAAGTGTATTTGTTATTTTTATCGTAATTGAATTACATTTTTGTTTGAACTTAAAATGAAAAATAATTAAATAATACATTTTGAGATGTGCATTTTCTTGGGCTGAAGCCAACATCAGTGTTTGTTTGAATGCCCTGTTTATGTGCCAGAGAAAGAAAGCATTTGCATTTATTTGAGTGTGTGCGTGTGCGTGTGCGTGTGCGCGTGTGCGTGTGTGTGTGTGTGTGTGTGTGTGTGTGTGTGTGTGTGTGTGTGTGTGTGTGTGTGTGTGTGTGTGTGTGTGTGTGTGCAAACTTCTTACCGAGACGCCTCTATTCTGTGCCAGTTCCCATCGTGGATGGTGTGATGGGGATATTCGACCCTCCCCACACCCGAACCCACGTCCCAAAGGAAATTCACCTTCCCCTTACGCATCTCCAAGGCAAGGAAATCAACCTGAGAAACACAGAACACAGACACTATGCTGAATGTACTGTATACAATCTGTTTACGATATGTTTTATTGTGCAACATGTCATGTCAACAAGGATCTGAAAACAGAGGTAAAGGAAAGAGAAATCATGTAATTGAGGCTATGATTAATGCAGTCTCACAAGGCCACAGTGCAGTATATACAGACTCACTGCATTTCTATTATGGCTGCGGTGGGTTTTATTGTATATATAAAAAATATATACTCCGTGAATTGTACTGTCACAAAGGAGTGTCTCACAAAAGGCAGTTTAAATATCCTGACTGTATAAGTTCCTAGTATAGGTCAAGGCCCAAAGACATTGCATTGTGTAAAATCAGGAACGTTACCATTTGAATGCAATGCAGTATACACAGAAGAACATTTCTCAACTAGTCCAACACTTTGTGAAGGTGGTTAGAGTAGAAATGTAACCAGAAATTGAATTGTGTTTGGAGGAAAAGACGGTTGGTAATCAGAAAGCAGACAGTTTAGGGTTCAAGCCAAGCAAGATATGCATACTATATTCGATAAACTAACACATTTAAGAAACAGGAAAACCACTCATGTTCCTTTTCCTGCTAGTTAGTTAGTTAATGGCTTTGTTGGGGTATTTTTTTTCTCCAAATCATGACGACATGTTTTTAGATAAAGGACCCAGTAGAAGAGGTGAAATTCTGACCCCTTTATTCACTGATGCCTGTGGTATAAAACATTGAAACCTTTAATTCAAATAATTGTATATCAGAGTCAACCAATGACAAAGTGTGTCCATAGCATTAACACAGCCTTATTTTTGTATTGTGTACTAAAAAAGCACGTGTTCAGTCTTTAGATGACGTCAACCGGGAGTTATGCAACACTGTTGGCAAAGATACAAAATGATGATGATAAATAAGTATCTCAATGTACGACTTATAGCAAGGAACCTTATAGAGTATTTATGATGTAGGGGATGGTGACTGTGTGAGCTGTAGAGCGACTTCGCCCTGCCTCGGTCTATTCTGAGGGTACAAAGGCGGGAATTTTCTCCATCTGTCTCTATAAGTGGATTTTCACTGGATCTCGCTGTATTTTGATTAATGGTCGTATTACTTATGTATGAGCCAAAAAAAATTAATAAGAGAATTTTGAGCATATGCTCTCATCCGGATTCTGTCACACACACACAGCATTATTATTCATATTGTATTATGCACAATTAGGGATTATTAGGGAGTCACATTCAAAGACACAAATGACACACACACATAACTACACACACTTATCTTTCTAGTCTCTCCAGGGAAATAGCGATTATTCATTAGCACAGATCACAGGGCAGCATCGTTATTATTCAACTAGCATTACACACTATTAGTGAAATGGTAGCGAGCACACACACACACACAGACAGAGCATTACTATTCATACTGAAACCTTCACTATTAGAGAAAAGTGACACACACAAACACACACGTGCACGCACATTCAAGACTTCCCAGTCAGATGAAGCAAAGCAGTGATTTCTCTGGGGAAATCAGGCTAAAGCAGATAGCAAAATAAACTTGTTGTTAATTGCTGCTGCTCCTTCTGACACACACACACATGCATAAACACACACATACCCACACATATGCACACTTAGGGATTATTAGTGGTACCTTTAAACAGCAGTGTGCTATGTTTATAGGGGTGTTAGTGAGTAAGTGTCAAGAAGTATTAATTATTCTCCTATTAGATAAATCACTCTGGGAATGCTTGTATGCTATGTGTGTGTGTGTGTGTGTGTGTGTGTGTGTGTGTGTGTGTGTGTGTGTGTGTGTATGTGTTTGCACCTTTCCTTTCTGAACACAGGCATTTTAAAGTATGATAAATGCTACACAATATAGAGCCGCTCAACATTGTATTCAATATGATTAATGCTTTAATATGAAACATTAAAGCATTAAAAAAGCAAAAGTTTCAACTGGGTTTGAATTTTTTTTTTGCAATAATATCAGAGCTATTTCAGGACAAAGTGACCATTTTGACCAGAACCACGAGACATTAGTAACCCAAACCGACTTTATGAGTGTGTGTTAATATGCGGCATCAGTATTATCATGCAAACACAATTCTGATTGATACCTCTAGGTCAGTAGATACACGAAGAATCACAGTTAAGTTTGATAATTGGGATATCTATATTTGTGATTGTGAATCATCCATTGCTGTAGTTTTGATAGGGATATACAGTATTTCCTTATTGACAATTCTACATATTTTTGCTCATATGTGCATTATACTCAGTATATGAACTTACATATTTGGCTGATCCCATGTAGAAGAGCAGGTTGTCGGGTGTGGTGGTTTTAACGTGGAGGATGATGGTGTTGTACCTCCCTTTCCTGATATCAGGGCGGTAACTACGGAGACAGTCACCACCTGATGACACTGACACTTTGATCTGGAAAGAGAGAAGAACATTTTAGTTTGTTTTTATTCATATATATTGACACCAAAACATTGGAAAAATGGGCTACAGATAGTCAGGTGTCTTTTACTTATCTTATCTGAGGACTCAAACAAAGGCTTCATTGCTTAAGTAAAAAAGTTTGGCCTGCATCCTTTTTTATAATTTGGCATAAAAACTTAATTTAACTTTCGTATTTTTATGTTAGAACTTTTAAATGGACTATTTTATTTACATGACAGAGTTCACTTAATTGTACAGTATACAATCAAATATCTGTAACAGTTTTCATATAAAGAAGCTTGTGTAATGGAAAGTGATTTGGAAATAAATAATTGATTGACACATCTAAGTAAATTCACAGGTATAAAAATGTGATGCCTACTAACCGAGTTAGCTTGTTTCCTGGCTTGGTTGATCAGTTCTTTGATTTGAGAGATGTTACGCCTCAAGTTGTCCTGCAGCTTTTTGATTGGCTGCAGCTTCTCCAACAGCCTATCAGCTTCATCCTCTAAGTCCTTCACTTTAGCTCCTGCAGCGTGGACTGAGGGGAGAGAGAACAGCAGTGATACAGAGCAGTAGAGAAGCTGTTAAAGTCAACATTATACAGTGGATTATAGCTGAGACGGCATGGAGAGTTAGCATGTGAAGAGCCAGGAAAGGATGATAAATGATGGCAGCTCAGGAAATCACAGATATTACTCAAGAAATATGGAGAAATATGGAAAAAGAACAATGGAGAAGCGAGCGAGAGCCGAACAATTAGTGTAGCTCAGCATTCAAAGAGAACCTTTTTTACACCATTTGCATTTATATATTAAAAAGTTTGAAGCTGAAAAAGACAGGAATTAAAAAAGAGACAAAAAAAAAAATGACACATAAATGAAAATACACTGCCCCATGCTTTGCAGTGTGCAGAGCTCTCATGCTCGAGCACAGCAGAAAGGCAGCATTAGAAGCAACTGCTGCTGTATAGCAATTACAGATAGTGGTAAAACTATTGTGTGGTGCTCCAATCATGTTGTTGAAATCATTTAAAAATAGGATTCAGAATTATTTCAGAAGGAAAAACAACAAATGCTTAGAAATGTTTGCTGGAAGGCAGCAAGGTTAGATTACTCTTAATATTATTCTGTAATTACAACATGGTATTGGTGCACCACTTAGAATATAAAGTAAGCTTGGGTAATTGAAATATACATACTGATGGCTGTGGGGATTGAAACAAGAGAGACAGAGAGAAAAAATATGTCAGGATTTTGTGGAATTCATGAATTTATGAAGCTCTGAGACAATAATGTAGGAGCTCTAAAATAATCAAGATAAATCAGACAGGATTTCAGAGTTTAGAGATCTTACGATTGAGTTTCAAGTTATTCATTTGTTTGCGGAGCCTACATTTTTAAAAGGTACAAAATGAAGTGAGTAAACAGGAAACATACAAACCAATTTTGTCTCACAAAAGCAGTTCAATATCAAACATTCTTCAGGGCAATAGTAACACAGTAATAGATCTAACTGACTATTTCTCACGGTAAATGTTTAATAACCCAACCAATAAGGAAGAGGCAGTGTTCCTCGAGGCTGAACAAGCCCACATAAGATGTTGTACTTTGTGTGAAGTTGTAAAATAGCCAATAGTGAGGAGCTTTACTGTTTTTCTCCGGGTCCTGGATCATGTCATTGGCTGCTTTGACGGTGTCCTCCAGATCGCTGTAGTTACTCTGGAGGCCATGGAGTTGCAGGTTCAAATCCCCGAGGCGCTCCAGGACGTCGATGGCGGTGGCGTTAGCATCTGCTGCTACAGCCTTTGTGGCTGCTAGCTTAGCTGCTGTGTCTGTAAAATGATGACATTTCATAATATAAGCATTACGTGTGGGATGCACTAATGTATGCACACGAGACAACTACTTCAATGTTCTATCATTTGCCTAACACCATACATAAGACTACTGAAACACTGTTGGCATGGGAGCTTGCAGTATAGATAGTCGATGGTTGCTTTCATTGCTTTTAAATTGTATAATGTTTTGTTGTTTTTATTTTTGTTTATTTTGTGTTCTTATCTTTATTTGTTTTGTGAGCTGCGCTGTCTTTGTATTTCTCTATACATCACTTTGGTCTGAAAGGAAGATTCATTTCAGAACAATCACCTATTTATCGGCTACTGAACCCCGCCTCAAAAGCAACTCTTTGCTCACCTTCTATTACACAATGTGTTCAGAACCACGTAGATGTCCAGCATGATTAACAAACTTATTTTTGATATTGATTCATGTGTTATTGATGTGATTGAATCTTGAAATCCATTGCAAAAGCTAATAATCATTGCTGAGCGCTAACCAAAATATCAGATTTTTTTGCAGTTTGTGAAAATCCAGTGGAAATTACACTAATAAGGATTCAGTTTCTTATGATCTGCCCGTGGACATGTTACCGTATTGTGTTCACTCACTCACAGGGATTTTAATGGGAATACAAATATGTTATATTAACCTACTGGTCATATAATTTACAATATGTAGTAGCTGCATTTAATGGTTTTCCGCGAGTTGATCCAAACGAAGCCGTGTGCATCACTGAAGTTCACCGCCCTCGCTCACTGCAGAGTATTTCTGTGTCTGAGAGTACTGACATGTGTCAAGTTGAGTTTACCAGAGCAGCTGACCTCCATCGACACTGTGATATTGATCCACTCTGCCTTTATCTCGCTCCCACGCACACACACACACTGTGTATTTGTGCAGTCATACCATTGGGGATAGAGTTGAGCATCGCCATGGTTCCGTTGACAGCTTTCAGCAGGTCTTTGGCCATGTCTCTCGCTGCTTTGACTCTGCCCTTCAGCCCGGACACACCATCTTCATTCTCTACACACACGCACACGCACACGCACACGCACACGCACACGCACACGCACACGCACACGCACACGCACACACACACACACACACACACACACACACACACACACACACACACACAATAATCAAGGTTTATTATGAAGTCAGACAACAAGTAGAAACACGTCCCTTACCCTCAGTAACCCACAGTCAGTGACAATGATAGCAGTTAATCTGTTTTAGCCTTGTGAATACTGCAGGTATAATGTCACTTTATAATACATATATTATCTAATTTTACATCAATTTTTAGCCTAACTATATCCTGATATGAACGTTTATACAGAAGGGCTACCAGCATTTTTAATTTAGGTTGAAGTGAGATTTCATATAATCTTCATTAAACATTTTTTTTTTTTACAAAACTACCAATATACCCACACCGTGTACTGTACTACATTATTACACTGTTACTGCACTGGTGACTATGCAACTATGATTATCGTGTCTTAGTATTATCACTTCATGTAATATCTTTTGGACAGACTACTTACCTTTGACATCATTTTGAAGTTGTTTGGCTTCGTTCAGCAGTTTGTGGCTCTTCTGCAGGGCTTGCTGAGCGGCTTCCTTCACTGGGACCTCTGGATCTAAAGCCTAGAGGCACAATTAGTACTTCAGTAAAAGTATAAAGACTTTGGACCAAAAATACTCCATAACCAGTAAAAGTCCTGATCTGAACATGTTACTTAAGTAAAAGTACAAAAGTATTAGCATTAAATATATTTAAAGTAGAAAAAGTACTCATTCTGCACAATGACCAATTTCAGAATAACATAAAATACAGATGTTTTGGCAGCTAAAAGTACTTTGAGTATCAAAAATAAAACCACTTATTATGCAGAATGGATCTTATACAGTATTATGTTATTATGGTTATTATGTTATCCTGATTTTATACATGTAAGAGCATTCATGTTGTCAATGTGGACCACATTTAGATACTAAAAAATACTCTGCAGATTAGTAGTTAAGTACTGCATTATACCATACGAGCATCTTATGTGTTTTTATGTATAAAAGTAACTATGACTGTTACAATGCATATAGAGGATTAAAAAGTAAGATATTTGCCTCTGAAATGTAGTGGAGTAGAAGTATAAAGTAGCTTTACTTAGAAATACTCAAGTTTAGTACAAATATGTCTAACAAAAATGCACTAATGTAGTTACTTTCCACCACTGACTATAAGTACAACATCTGTAACTTTCCACACCTTCACTAAAAAAGCTTCCAGAATAATTAAGAGCACACAGGAAGGTGCAGAAATCTGCATAACACCTTTCTGTAAGATCAAAGCTCCACTACTTTGCATTGCTAAATGATATTCTAAGAAATACATTCAGCAGTTTTAATTTCTCCTTTCATTCTTTCGCCACCTTCAACCCTTCTTTCTTTGCCTCTTTCAAGGTCTTTGTAGCCCTTTCTCCATTTGCCATTTACCTCTTTTTTGTCCAAAAGAGGAAAGAAGACAGGTGTGAAATTAAATGAAAACGAGGGGTATGTATGAGTAGAAAAGAAAAGGGTAAAAAAGAAAAAAATGATGAATAAATGAATTTAGATGCAAGAGAAAATAACCAGAGGGAAGTATTACACTTTGAAAGGATACAGGGAGAGACGAAAATGGAGAGGAATGTAACCAAAACACAATGAAACACAAGCAGAATGAAGAAAAAGGTGTTTTAAACAAGAACAGGGGGATAACATAATAGGAAAAAATGCAGAAAAAATTGAATAAATTATGAAAATAAAAGAAGAACAGAGATTTCAGGTGTGTGTGGTCATGATAATGGAAAAGCAAAAGGGGAAAAAGGAAATAAGCAGAGGGAAAGAGAAGTGCTTTGAACCCACAACCATGACTAATGGAGAGCCCAAGCTTACATTACTGTTACTGCCACACACACACACACACACACACACACACACACACACACACACACACACACACACACACACACACACACACACACACACACACACACACACACACACACACACACACACACACACACACACACACACACACACACACACACACACACACACACACACACACACACACACACACACACACACACACACACACACACACACACTGCTTGTACTTGATATTTACGATATGTATGCAATATGTGAGGTGGATTACATATACATGCACAGTTCACAGTGAACATTTACAGTCTACCATCTCGCAAGAAAGAGAGTCTTGGTAGACATGGAAACGGAAAATGATCAGGCACAGGATGTTTTTCTCATAATATATTGATAACAGAATAACAGAGAATGAGTCAATAGGGGTGTTTGTGTGTGTGTGTGTGTGTGTGTGTGTGTGTGTGTGTGTGTGTGTGTGTGTGTGTGTGTGTGTGTGTGTGTGTGTTGGTTCCCACTCACCAGAGCCAGAGCCTCACTGGCACTCTGTTTGGCTGCCTTCGCATCTCTCTCCGCTGCATCAACGTTTGCTTTAATGTTGCTATAGGCCTTGAAGGCAGCTGTTGCATTGAAGGAGAGGTTTTTAGCTTCAGCCAAAATACTGTGACGAGAGAGAGAGGACAAAAAAAGAGAGATACTGATGTCAATTTCGATAATAGTATTATTGCAATGAAACCCGAACATTTAACATGTATGCGTCATATACAGTTTGTTATTGAACTCGTTGATTTTTAAGTTTATTCCCAATTTTCTGGAGGTATACATCTATCACACTTACAGTTTTATGTTTTAAATAATAAATGCATATCCGAACGCATTTATATGTACCTATCCAAAATGGCAGCAGATTCATTCAGCTGCTTGGCGTGTTCCTCTGCATCGTGCACGTGATTGGCCAGGCCGCCGCCTTTCAAACCAGTGGTGAGGTGATTGACTTTATCATCCAGCTTCACATGAAGAGGATCCAGCTCTCTGCCCATCTCCTCCAAATCCTGCAGACAGGAAACAGACGAACATTCACGTCCATTGTAACATCCTTGCTTACTATTTGAATGTGTTACTTTTTAAATTAAGAAATGAAACAGACACAAGCGTCAACAACAGGGTGATATTCTTCTACTGCTATAATTCCTCTTTCCTGCTGCCAAAAGACACAGAGTTGAACTCAGTTGGAGGATTTCAAAGAAGACTGAGGTTTCAAAAAGACACAAGTTTTTACAGCACTACTCTAGGTTGAGTGAAGTACCTCTATCTCCTTGTTGATGTTTTCAGAAAGTTGGTTAGCTTCATCCAGAAAACGTTCTCCTTCTCCTAGGACTTCCTGTGCTTTCTGTTTCACCTCGTTCACTGCAGAGCTCTTCCTCTGCAAAAAAAAAATCAAGTTCAACATCTGCAATAAACTCTGATGCGCTCCGTATGTCAGCCAACTCACAATGCAGAGTGTTTCTCCCCTCCAAAAATAAACCTACTTAGTTACTTGTCATCAGAGTTACCCAAAAGTGTTCACAATCAATGTCCTTGTCATCTTTAATCTGATCATATATTCACCTATTTGTCGTTCGCTTGCAACAATAAAAATCAAGCATGGCAGAATTCAATTAGTAAATCACTTGAAAGGCAGTTAGACTAAACACGATGACAATACAGTGGCCATGAGAGTAGAAACTATTAAGCATCAAATTAAATGTTAAGCTTCAGTTTGCACGTACTACTTTAAAGCAGATGTGTGTCTCTTGGCGTAAAGAAGTGGAATTCTTTGCAGAATTATTTAAAGGGCTGTAAGAATATTTTGATGTTTAAGAAATTGTATAAAGAAAGCGTAATTAGACAGTATGAAGTTGACTTTTGATTGTGTAATGTTTCAGTATTTGTAAGCAACTGTGACTGAAAGAATATTGCTTATATTTGACTTTTTAATGGTTATTTCATTTTCTTTAAGAAGGGGCAGGTAAAATAAAATGTTCTTCTCCCTGCTCCTTTCTACCATGCGCTATACATTTTTTATAATCACTTCTTCTCTCTGGCCTTCTAGTCTGAGCGGAGCACGACTCCTGACATTTCCCTGTGTGTTATTTTTGATTTGTGCTGTTGTAAAGTGTTTTTATTGTAAATGTATTTGTATTATATGTACAGCACTTTGGCTCAACCAAAAATCGTTTTAAAAATGTGCTATATAAATAAAACTTGATTTGATTTGATAAGTGTACATGTTTTGTTTTAAAATAACTGCCATGTGTGGAATAAACAAATACACTTCTAAAAATGGCCTTGTGATTGTTTGTGTGTGTCAAACTGGATGAGTGTGTAGCAGTGTATGAGCTTGTTGTACCTCCAGAGATGTGAGGTTAGCCTTGTTCTGTTCAGCCAGTGATCCAGCCTCCCTGGTCTTTCCCTGGGCAGAGTGGAGCAGATCCTGGGCCTCCTGCAGCTTCCCCTCATGGTCTGAGAGCTTCTCTTTTATCTAGGGAGGCAGATGGGGGTAGCATTAAGTTAATGTCATTAATATAGAGACATGGAAGACAAAAGAATAAAGATTAGAAGTTATAATTACCTCTGCTTTCAGGTCTTCTGTGGCCTGATGGGGGTCGCCAAATAATCTCTTCACTCTCTGATACAGCTCCTCTGCTAATCTGTGAGAAGAAAGGAGGAGGAGATTTTAATCTTTATGGATATATGTGCGTGTGTGTGTCTGTGTGTGTGTGTGTGAATGAGTGAGTATACTGTAGGTGAATGTAACAACGCACAGAGCGGAGAAGAGGAGATTTATTGCGATGTGTGACAGAGCCTCTGCTTGTGTGAAGACAATAATCACTCCTTATGACTGAATGTTGAAATGCCGGAATGAAATTGCCGATTTTCTTCTATTGATCCCTCAGGCTGAGTTGGATTAAATTGTGCCAGTGCAAAACATTTCACATCGTCACACTAATGTGTCTGTGTGGATTACTGTATGTGACCCAGTGAAGCAACATGTGCACCATATAACGAGACTCTATAGGATAACTCAAATGTCTGATGAAGATATTCTACAGGATAAATGTAGCATTGTATCCACTCAGTTTAATGCAACTAATACCCAGAGCTGTACAAGCACCGCAAAAAGAACTTCAAGCTGGCATTAAGCTTTGTTAAAGGGGCGTTACCTCCATTTTTCACTTGTTTGCAATGCTGGTCTTACCCTAACTATAGTCCATTTTAGGGATGCCAGAAACTGACCATGATCAAATTCGAAAATCGGACAGCCCTGGCGAATATTAATCGATTATTCGCCGCCGCCGCCGCCTCCAAGTTTACAGTAAAACAAACTGGTAGTGTGACCAATGGCCATTTACAATTATTAATACTATTACTATTATTAGCATTAGTCTATATTTTGGTTGAAACTAAGCCAGGAAAAAAAAGAAAAACATAAATAATAATAAAAATATATATAAATAAAATCGAATTTTAAAAATAATTTTCGATTATGGAGACTGTAACGAATATTCGAAAAATCGAATAATCGCTGGCATCCCTAGTCCATTTAGCCAAGTCATGTGATTATACACAGCTTTTCATATGAGGTACCTAGCTGAGCACAGCTGGGAGTCAGAAGTGACGATCATTTTCCTCATAGGGAACGCTAGTTTTCAAGAAAGAAAAAGTGGCATATCCCAAAAGAATAACCAGGAGCTTGTTAGATAATCAAACATCTTCACAAACCCTCCCAGAGGTATCGGAATTGACAATCCCACATTCACACACACACCTCTTGGAGTAATTGGTATTAACTCTTTTCACTTTGTGCACAGCTGAGTGCAACACTACAGTAGGAATGGCTATTGAAAATGAGTACTGTTATGCCCAGATTGAAACTGAATATCGCCTTGTTACTGTATTTGAAGACAGGATTTTTAGATCACCTTCAGGTTGGATGATATGTTGTATAAACTAGTTATTTGCCAGCAAAACCACGTGCTTATGTATTGGACACCACCATTAGGAAAATAATGTGATAGATAAACGTCACGGTAAATAACGTATGCCATGTGAATGTCTCTCAGGAGCCAGGTAGATTGCCTGAACTATCTCGCAACCTTCGCTTTAATTGATCTGCCTCATCAAGGTTTACAACTCAGCCTTTAGTTCCTTCCACATTTTCTAATAACACGTTGCTTTAACATGTTTTTTTAGAAAGGCTCGTCTCTTTGGAAGCATTTAAAACAATTTAATAACCATATGTTTACCAGTGTCCCTTAATGAGCCTTATTTTCCACCTTCAGCATTAATTAAGACAACACGGCTCCAGTGTCCTCCAGTTGACATCACTCAGAGGACGCGTTCACACAGTTTTTGGGGAAACATGCAAGGTAATGATTGGGTTTGATGAAACTTTAATGAACCCTTTGGGGAATAGCATGACATGAACAGAATATAACTAATAAAAACAAATGGGAGAGGTGTTTGAACTGTTATCTTACTGACTATTACAACATAACGTGCACTATACGAATGAAAAGTGACATTTGCAGCATCAACAACCTTTGAGGCAAATGGCAAACTGAAAACATATTTAATTAAGAAACATATAAAACTGATAAAAGGTTGCTAGCGTTGTTCTTTTTTACGAAATAATCCTTTTAACATTTGTTTTCCTCTGCTGCTCTGGTTGAAATCTCCCCTCAGGGTTCAGTCTAGTAATCAAACGCAGACTGACAGACGAGTCATTTAGAGGAGGTTTGTCTCTCTGATTCTCAAAGTCTCTCCCTCTACAACTCCCTGTCCATCTGTCAGTTGTTCCCCTCTCCCTCTGTGACTTTCCTTCTCACTACACTTTCTTTGTATCCCTCTCTCTGTTTCTTGCCCTAAGGCGATACATTGCTTTTAATTAACTCATCGACCTCATCAACATTTACTGCTGAAAGACACAGAGAGAAAAGAGGGAGAGGGGATGAGGAGAGTAGATTACTAATTCCATCAAGTGCCTTGAGAGGGAGAAAGTGGAAACAGTGAGAAACACTTTGGTAAAACAACTGCAGAGAGCCGTGGCTTTGGGATACGCAGCGATCACATATCTGCTCAATGAGAGGTGTTTACTCCTGATGTCTCATGAGTCAACAAAGAAGCAACGAAATTAAAGACTAAAAAAGAAATGAAGGGCCTGTGATTTTATTTTTTGACGTTATGAAAATCAATCAGACTACAAAATAAATGACTAATTCTATCAAGTGCCTTGAGAACGAGAAAGTGAGAGTGGAAACAGTGAGAAACACTTTGGTAAAACAACTGCAGAGAGTCGAGGTTTTAGGATACGCAGCGATCACATATCTGCTCAATGAGAGGCGTTTACTCCTGATGTCTCATTGGTCAACAAAAGAAGGAAAGAAATACAAAAATATGTAAGGGTTGATGCATAATTGAACCCATTGAATGTGCTACATTAATGTATAATCTACACCCCAGTTAACAATTTAACAAACACTTTTGCAAACAAGGCTACGTGTAGTTGCTGCTTTTTCTTCTAAAATCAGCCTACTATCACCTAAAGAACATATCTAGGATTAAAAGACTAATGTCACAGCAGGATTTGGAAAAACTTGTCCATGCTTTTATCTTCAGTAGACTCGACGACTGTAATGGTGTCTTCACAGGTCTCACTAAAAAATCTATTAGAAAGCTGCAGCTGATTCAGAACGCCGCTGCTCGAGTCCTCACTGACACTAAGAAAGTGGATCACATCACTCCTGTTCTGAAGTCCTTACACTGGCTTCCTGTGTGTCAAAGAATAGATTTCAAAAATATTGCTGCTGGTTTATAAAGCTTTGAATGGTTTAGGCCCAAAATACATTTCTGACCTCCTGCTAAATTATGAACCATCCAGAACTCTCAGGTCTTCTGGGTCTGGTCAGCTTTCTGTCCCCAGAGTCAGAACTAAACATGGAGAAGCAGCGTTCAGTTATTATTATGCTCCAAATATCTGGAACAAACTCCCAGAAACCTGCAGGTCCGCTGCAACTCTTACTACTTTTAAATCCAGGCTGAAGACTTTTCTTTTTGCCGCTGCTTTTAATTGAACTATTCACATCTTAAACTGCACTGTAACTTTTATCCATGTATTTTTTCTTTTAATGTTTATTTTATTATCTTTTCTTTTTAATGACTGTTTTGTAAAGCACTTTGAATTGCCTTGTGTTGAAAGGTGCTATATAAATAAACTTGCCTTGCCTTGCCTTGCCTAAAATATATTATAAAAATCAATTAGACTAAAACATCAAGGTAACATTAACTGTTGTCTTGGTTACATTGTCAAAATCAGTTGAAAGTGCATCATTTTCATTTATTTCTGCATGTTTGATGTCTACATTGATTTATTACACAACTGAAGTCTGCTGTGTAATATTAATGATGTAAATAAATTAATAGAAGCCATTGGTTAGCCTATTTCTGTATAGGGAACATATATCCAAATAGCTTAATTTGTGCAACCTGCAAATGTTAAGAAACACAGATTGTATTACTATAGTTAACATTGCTGCATTTGTATTTAGATATATTAGATAGTAGATATATATTACTAAGTAGCAGATGAATGTTATGAAATTGTTTCAGCAGTTCAATTGTTTAACAGGCAGTGAGACTGTTAAACAATTGAACTGCTGAAACAATTTCATAACATTCATCTGCTACTCAGTAATATGTATCTACTATCTAATATATATCATTCCAATAACTTGTATATAGACTCGTACTGCACTATTCCACTTTTTTTTTTTCTCTCTTACTTTATTTTAGAACTATTTTTCTTTTTGTATTACTTTTACTATCTGTATTATTATGTTGCATTGTTGGAGAAGCCTGTGACCTAAGATTTTCAACAACATAATTACTCTGTAGCTATGTTAGTTTGACAATAAAGAACCTTGAACTTTGAACCTTGAAATGTGTCATTTTGCTAGTGTAAAAAAGTTACAAATGTACATTTCTATAGTATGCAGGTATGTTTTTTGTCATATTGACTTAAGATGCATTTGATTTGATTTCTCCTCCCTCTCTCTCATTGTGCAAGTTCAGATAGAGAGAAAACGTGTAGTGGGGAAACATCCCGCTGAACAACAAGCAGGAAGACCGAAAAGTGGGATTGAATCCCAGCAGGGACGGACACTATCTAACACACACAAGGCGAATATATTAGAATACTGGTCTGAGTGAAAACAACAAAAGAGAATAGAAAAAAGTGGGTGAAAAAAGTGTGTTTCCATGCAAATACCAATGGGTTTCTGGTCAACTCAACAAAGAAGACTTAAAAGTAGAAAGGTAACACTATTCGTAAGACTGAAAACGCTATAAACACAAAACATTAACACTAAATAAAGTGCTTAATAGCAAAGAGGCTCAGTTTGTTCCTGTCTCTTGGCATATTTCTTGTTTGTTCATTAAGAAATGTACAGCTATGGTTTGCTCATCATGTGTGTGTGTGTGCTCCCTCTGAAACACAGACGGTTTGTTTGCAAAGTATTTCTTAAAAATCTGTCTTTTTCTTGTATGTGGGAGTAAGATACATGACCTGTGTGTGTGTGTGTGTGTGTGTGTCCAAGTGTGTCCATACTCCATCTCTTCGTCGGCGATGTTCTTCTTCCCTCCCAGCTGTCGTTTTCTCATCTCGTCCAGCATGGCCTGGATCTCCTCCTTCATCTCCTCCAGGCTTTTCTCTGGAGTTCCATCGTTCCGAGAGAGAGTTTGGTTCAACTCGGCAGCCTTGGACTGGAGGTCTGGACACACACAGAGAGACATTGCTGTGAGGACTCTACAGATGGACAGATCCAAGTCATGTTCTTGCATTGACACAAAACAAAAAATGAAATTAGACTTCAGTTCCAGTAACTCTTAAAAATATCAGTGGAATTGAATTTGTATATTTTGTTGGCTGCAGTTAACTGCTTTAATCAGGGTCGAGGATAGAGGTGAAAGAAAACCATGGAGCGAACACCCAGGAGAAAAAATAATAAAATCATGAGCTTAAAGAGGCTAAACAAGTGATATAGAGCTGCAGAGCTAAAAGCAACTACTTTCATTCATTGGTAATGAGATAAAATAAGAGTCTAGATGTCAGGCTGTAATATATTCAATGTATCTGGAAGGAATACATGTTTTGTGTTTAATTCATTGTATCATTTATGGTAAAACAAAGAATAAAAAATAACTGAAGCTAACATTAGGTTTGAACGAAAGTTGATTATGAAACACTCTGACTTAAAAATGTAAGCTAGCGACTTTTTCTTTGCTCAGAGGAAGTTGGGCACAGAGGCTTGCGGTGAAAACAGCCATTTAAGTTTTATGTTACTAATGTGCGTTTGCTGTGGAGAAAATACAGTTTTCTGTACAGTGGACAGCTATAAGCGCATCTAGATACTTTGCACTGTGCGCTATTATGGTGTTGTTTTGTGCAGGCATTTATGAACATGGAGAACTATATTTTTCATTACTAAGGTTGGAGCTGAAACAAAAACGTAAAGTGAAACTTAATGGTTGCTTGCACTCACCATCACCCTGCAGTCAATAAGTATTCATCTACATAAATCCCAATGCAATGATTGTATTACAATATTTAACATAAATACAATGTTATGCAATATATGCACAACTGGTTAGGCCTTCACATCTTATTATTACATTACATGTCATTTGTTAGACGCTTTTATCCAAAGCGACTAACATACATTCAGTACTGTGGACAATCCCCACAGGAGCAATTTGGGGTGAAGTGTCTTGCCCAGGGACTCAACGACATGCTGACTGCAGTGGGACTCGAACTTGCTATCCCCTGATTCGAAGTGCATCATACTATCCACTGAGCCACAGCCGCCTCTTATCAATGTGTATATCAACATTCAAACATGTTTCCCACTTGAAACAACATTACAAACAGAAATAAATAATATGTGCACATACAAACATATACTAGCAGTAAAGATGCCTGATGGACATTCTTGCAGTGGGCGCTGCTGTGATGTTAAAGTTTTTATGGCTCAAACAAAATCACACCGCTTGATCTTAACTCATTTAAACACAGACACACGCTGAGAGACACACACACACACACACACACACACACACACACACACACACACACACACACACACACACACACACACACACACACACACACACACACACACACACACACACACACACACACACACACACACACACACACACACACACACACACACACACACACACACACACACACACACACACACACACACACACACACACACACACACACAGTTTTAACACCATTCAAAGCCAGTGATGTTGGCAGACTTCATGTTTGCCCTGCTTTTATCAAATTAAAGGCAGTGAAATCTCAAACCAATCAATGATGAAACTGCACTAAAACACTCCAAGGCTCATTTGAATAAAACTGCTGGAACTTAATGAGGAATGTGTGTTAGTGTGTGAGAGTGTGCCAGAGCAAAACAGAGGAGGGCACAGTATTTTGTTGAGCTGTTTGTGTGTGTGCAGCGGTGGGTACTTCCCTCATTTGAAATGTAAACATTTATATGATTAAAGTTGAAACTTGAAAGTGTGTGTTGGTGTTTGTAGGTGTGTGGGTGGGCCTGTGTGTGTGGTTGTGGAAATGCAGCTCTTCCTATCATTTGAAATGTAAACATGATGTGATTAGAGCTAAGACCAAGCTAAAGCCATCATGCTAATGAACAGCTGTACTGCATGTGTGTGTATGCTGCATTTTAACGTGTGTGAGTGTGTGTGTGTTACAGCCCTATAATTACATAGTGGAATTTAAAAGCCAATTAAACACTTAAAAACTTGGATGGAATCATATTATGGTATCTAGTAAACACTGGTGCACACACAGAGCAAAGAGTGTACAGTATTTTCTTGCGTCATTGTGTGTGTGTGTGTGTGTGTGTGTGTGTGTGTGTGTGTACATGGCTGTGAGTGCACAGTTGTATGAAATTGTGCACCACTGCATCAGTGTTTGAGTATGTGGTGTGTTTGTGTTGGTTTGTTATAGCCAATAATTAAGTCTCTAATTGCTACTCTCAATCATCCAGTGAGCCACACACTCTCTTTTTCTCTCACACACACACACACACACACACACACACACACACACACACACACACACACACACACACACACACACACACACACACACACACACACACACACACACACACACACACACACACACACACACTATAAGGATAAGGCAGAGGGACAATTTGCCAGGAGCAACAACAAGGAGAGAACAGTTTCATCACATAACTTTCCTTTCTTCCCAGAAGCCACAGAATGTTTTATAATGCTTATAAACATAACACAATTGAACTACTGTGTGTTTCATAGAGCACAATTGTATTTTCTAGCATCAGTGTGGGGTAGAGGAAGTTTTTTTTAAAGAACATACAGTATATAACTGCAAAATCCAAGTGGGACTCAACAAGAGCTATCCAAGGTAAGTGATTTAAAGTTGGTAACAGAGTTGGCCATTATTGACATTTACAAAGACGCGTATGTGCCGTATATCCACCAACATACTCCGATTGTATTGTCTTCATACACTGACATGAGTACATAATAGTATAAACAGTATAGATGACAAACTGGCAGGTACTGTAGACTATTATTGGACTCATGTCCCCAGGGTTTCTTCAAGTGTGTTTCATTAAAGGTGGGGTAGGTAATTTTGGAGAAACCAGCTCGATCGAGTGTGCTAGAATTTGAAAATACACAGCCGGAGAAAATCTGCCACTTCCTTACAGAGCCCCTCCTCCAACACACACGAACGCGCACATGACCAATGAGGGCACGAGATAAGTTTGTGCACAGATGGAAGGCTGACAGGCAGGTAGGCCATCCAGTTATTTTAGCCGGGCCGGCTCAGATGATTGGTCGTGCTTTTTACAGTACTACGGCTTCCACAGATGACATTTTTTTATGGATTTTTTGTCAAAGCACTTAAGATATTCATTGCTATCGGGATGTTAAGAGCATTCCATGGAATATAACAAAAAGTGTATCTCGAGCCGGTTTCTCAAACTTACCTACCCCACCTTTAACTTTAGTTAGTGAGTTCCAGATCATGTGAATTAGTTTATATTGAGGGGAGGCTGTTTTATCAACACCTGTTTCCAAAGACAAAAATGAACTTTTAAGCTCAAATAGAGGAACTAGTTTATACAATCTCATCCAGGACACACGGCACCATACAGTACCTTTCTTCCACATTTGGTTGAAGAATGTTATTTTTAAGAGATAATGGTAAACACAGGGATGAGAAACAATTGGCTAGTTGGGGCAGAAGGAAAGGGAGATAGAGCTGTGATTTATTTTCTGTGGCAATTATTTTCAAGAGCAACCCCAGCACAGAAAGACAGTGACCTGCAGGATCAAAGATGGGGGGAAAAGACAGCTTGAACAGAAGGTCTGCACATCGCTTGTCCGCTGATAAAACACAAGATCCCACATAGATAAACACGGACGGCCTGGAATCCCTGCAGGAGAAGAACTGAATCTCCCTTTAGACTTCAGAGATAACCTTTCCAGTGGAGCGTGTGTAAAGGCTGTGACTGTGATGTCGCAGAAGAAAACACACATCACAAGCTGGTAACACAGCAACTGATGCAGGGCTGAGGGAAGAGATGCTGTACCCTCATGACAAAAACAAACTGAGCTGAAGTGAACAACGAGTTACACATGCAGAGAGAGAGAGCAAGACACTGTGTGAAGCCAGGAGTGAACAATCAGGACTGTACCGCAAAGTCCTTCCAGTGAGATAATGGTTTACACCAGAGGGGACATATCCTCTTGCCTGAAGGAAGTATTACAACCTTAAGCTGTGGATACATCTTGTTTGTGGCTAAACAAAAACACGAAAGCATTCCAAACTTTAAGTGTTATTTGCTAACTAGCTGCAAACTAAATAAAACAAACTGAATCATTGCAGCCTTTCATCTTAGTGGGTGACTCTTTATCGCCATGGTTACTGATGCTGCAGCCTGCTGGATCCGTCTTTATTGTTAGAGCAACACTTTGCACCAGCAGCTGGCCGTCGGCCCACAATCCATTGTGTCTGAGCTACAGTTTCCATTAGTGAGCTAAAGAGGAGACAGAGAGGTGTTCAGGTTGTCTCACTCCAAGGATGCCTCTCCTTCAAAAGGTGGGCCTAATAGGATTTTAATCAATTAAGGCCGCAGTCAAACAAGGTCTCTGATTTGTGTTGATCTTGGGTGGCAACACATCAGAAAGGCAACACAAGTCTGACACTTTTCTCATCAAAGTACTGCTTTTAAATCCAATTCAACGTGTTGGTCTTTCTGAAGATGCTACAGTTACACTTATTTGCTGCTTTTTATTTGTTCTGCCTGTATACTTTTTAATCTTTAATATCATAATCTATATATGTTTCTCTTCTGTCATTACCCACATTTCCCACATGGATTGCTTACATTTAATTCAGAGTGATGCAATGTGCTCCGATGACAAATACAAACAACAGTACACAGATAAACCTGGAAATTGTGGTTTGCAGGATATGGAGGCAGTTAATGGAGGTGGTGTTTGTTTCGTCTACCTCGAGCTCCCAGCAGTGTGTCCCTGATGAACTGCTCCAGGTCCTCAGCTCGTTTATGAATCCTGTCCGCATCGTCCTCCACCTGCTCTCCGTCAGCAGACACCTTGGTGGCCTAAACACACACATGCACAAACACACGTCGTAAAATAATAATACACAAGTGTTGAATAAGTGAACATGTTGACTTCTGTCTAACAAACGAAGGGAAGAGACGGAGGAAGATGGCAACACGTACACATATACAATCAATAGTATTGCGTGTGAGCAGTCTGGTCTGTTATCTGTCAGTTTTTCAATTATACATGTGCACTCACATACTGCAACGTACTGTACACACATAGATACATGAATTATTGATCTACAAAAGAAAACATATAAGTCAAATATTAACGCATACACGGACAGGGAGATGGATGATTCTTTGACAGATATGAAAAAGCATCATAAGACACACACACACACACACACACACACACACAGAAAGAAAGAAAGAGATGGTAATTATTGTTGTGATTTGACAGGACCAGGCTGTATCATTTTCACTGGTGTGTGTGAGTGAGTGTGTGTGTGTGTGTGTGTGTGATGGGCCGTGGGTGATAGCGCTGCTGTCAACAAATGTCAAGGCCCCGGTCCCTAAAAGGGTGTAGCTTGACAGCGTGAATGTGAGTGTTATTTTTCTCCACTTGGCACTTGTCGACCCCCTGCACTCAAGAAATGTTTTTCCATTTTGGTGAACTCCTCTTAAGAGACATAGCTGTGAATCCGAGCATTGTAAAGTAGAGGAAAGAAAAAAAGTTGATATAGTTTTTTTTATTATTCTGTATGAGAGTGAAGACATAGAATTAGTTTTGGCTGGCTATACTTTTAAGATACTTTCAAGCATTAATGGGTTATGCTATGACCAGGGCCCTGCTCAGATGTTGACAACTACTACATTACAATGGTGTTTCTGATGTGTTTTATACACGAGGGTGAAATTGAGCACAAAGGTGGTGGGATTCACATCCTGTTTTTAACATTATTCTGCTGATTGACAGTTGGAGGCGTAAACAGATAAATGGCAAAGGGACTTTTATTTGGTATCTTTACAGGATACCTTCTTCAGTTCATAATCCAAATGAGGGGGGTTCGCTTTGCTTAAACCGAGTTCTCAGACAATTTATTAGCAATGATACATATATTAAATGTATTTGTGTTTGGTCAACTGACCACAATGCAAACCTTGGGTCCAGTGGTATTGCAGAGAAAACTGAGTAGTAATTGGGGCCAAAAAGGTTATGTCAACTTTTAAAACTAAAATAAAAGGCTGATGTTCAGGGTTTCATTGTGTCAGATGATGTCCACTTTCTATCGGGTTTCCTCAGGTTTCTGTTAAAACTTTAAATATGTTTCTGACATTTTATTGATATGTTGGAAAAGTGTATTCTTTTATGTCAATCAGCATGCTGCAGCAAGCTACTGGCTGGACTGGTTTGTGTCTCTTGTGTCGTTGGTGTACATTAGTTTTGCCGTTAACTATGATCTCACTGCAGGCCATAGTCTTTATTTGCCTTATCTCGTTATTTTACAGACAGAGGGCATAATCCGAATAAAGACAGAAAGGAACACAGACTTAAGTTGAGCCAACAGGAAAACCAAAGTGTGTACCCTGCTGTGTAGCTGGTCCATCTCAACCACCAGTGATCCCATGTTGGAGTCGGCCAGCTGCAGTAATCTCTCCGGAGCTTTCTGAGGTGACAGCATGTGCTGCAGGAGAGAAACAGAGATGAAGGAATTACACGGAGCAATGTCTGACACATTTTGGCTCAGGGCTAAGCTTTTGAACTGCCTGGCTCTGTGCTGTAGAGCCGGAGAGAAAAGTAGAAGCAAGGCGAGAACGGAATAAAGAAATAATTAAAGAGAAAAACAAAACATACTAGGGCTCTTGGAGAGAGAGCAGTCAAGGCCAAATGCCATCTCTAGCAATGTTACTTAAAGTGAGAAAAAACTGTGGGTCAGCCATGTGATCTGATCTGCTCCAAAATCTAACTGTTTTTTAACTGGCCCACTCTCACACTCTTCCACAGAGTTTCATAGAAAATCAGACGAGAAGTTTTTATGATATGTTATCCATAATCCAAAAACTAACCTCTGTGGTGATAGAAGACAAACTATTTGAATATGTCACAGCAAACATAGTTAACAACGTCAATTGTTTAAAAATATGAGCAAATGATCCCGTTGTATGATATCAATTAGTTCTATACACTGCAGCCAATGGTGGTGATTATCAACACGTCAATTGAGGAAATTCAATTGAAAGTTATGAAAGCCTTAACTGTATAATAAGGACATGAGTTTCCAAACATGCTAACAGTTGTTACCTTTAGTTCCTCCGTCATGTTCTCGAAGCGGTACAACACCTTATAAGGTGGTGGGAGGGGCGACGTCAGGGTGACCTCAGTGATGATGCGGTACAGGCGGTCCATGTCACTGATCAACAGACCCGAGCACTCATCATCACATGCTGCAGAAACAAACGTAAACACACAGTTAGACACAGCTAGAGGCAAATGAGGTCAACTGAATCTATTAGAGAGGTTTGCTTGGTTTTGTGTGTGTGTGTGTATGTGTGTGTGTGTGTGTGTGTGTGTGTGTGTGTGTGTGTGTGTGTGTGTGTGTGTGAATGTCTTCTGCAGTTTGACTAGGCAGAGAGCAGTGAGAGAAGAAGAAAGGATGTCATACTGTATGTGTATTTTAACTTCTGAGTGTGTGCGTGTACGCCTTATTTGTGAGTCTGTAAACACATCAGTGTGTGATCGCAGTGACTGCTTGTGTTTTGTGTTTAAGTGAGTGGCAACAGAAAAACAGGGCTGTCGATGCATGAAATTCAGCGCACAGAGGAAAAATAACCTATTATGAGTTCACACTGCAGGCTAAACACACACAAACCAACGCACAAACACACGAGGGAATTCACTTCAAATGAGCGCATTCACATTTTCTTTCTTTATTGTGTGTGTGTGTGGAGTTTCTCTTCTCTTCTATAGCCCGAGGCTGATTTATTGCAGAAATTAAAATTTCTGACAAGGGAAATCAAAGATGAATTAAATAAAATAAAAACAGTTTTTACTCTATCAATCTCTGACAAAACCGGAAAATACAAATGCATTGATGCAGTCACACGCAGGTACAGTAACGGTGCAATAGCAATTTATAAAATCCAAGACATTTTAGAATCCCAGTTACAAAGGACTGTAATCACTAACTTCCACAAAGCGTGAAACCTCCTGATCACACTCGCACAGGGTGTGATTACACACAGAAAGCCTCACTTCCATCACTGAGGGCTCTCTGTGTGTCACTGCTTGTTTCCTACCTCTACAATGTTTGGCAAGACAAGCCAGAGATTCTCAAATTAGCTCCGTTCTGTCCTTCTCTTCTTGTTTATAACAATATGGTGAATGTCTCGCTACTTCTAAGTTTGCTTGGAGAATTACTGGGTTGTTCCACCATGCTAGGTTTTTACACATTACTTTAAAAAAACAAGAAGCATACTGTAAACACATTTAACTAGAAAGACAATTATAATTGTAGTGGATAGGCAAGATCTCACCAGATTGACAAACACAACTACTTTAATTTCAAAGCAATCTATGACATGTTACTTGGTCAAAGTTAAATGGATTTAAAATGTGTTTGCCATTTCAAAAGCTCGGTTGAACAAACGGTGTCCCAATTATCTCACTGGAAAAGGTGACACTGTGAGTTTTGATTGCAGTGCCAAATCTCTATTTTATGTCCATTAATGCACATCATCACATTTTTACTTCACAGCATATAAAATATATAGAAGTTTATGATAAAGTATCACAACCATGAAAGCTCAACGGACGCCCAAAGTAAGCCTCAGTGAATGTCAAGGATTATTTCACACTCAGTTTAGTAACCTTATGCTCACACAGGAAACTCAAACACACATGCACAACATACAAGTGCAATAATACACACCTGTTCTCCTTAGTGAGTCACAACTCCTATGCATTTGGTTTGTTGCAAGATGGACTTGTAACTCTACTTTCTGCAGGGATTTATTTGAGCATCATCATTGTTACTGTGCAGTGTATGCCTGATATGCTCCTAGTTACTTTGCATCATGACTATACAGAAAAGTCCAGTTTTCATTAGTCCAGGTTGAGATAAAGACACAATGCTGTACACTTATTTTGACAAAGGCAAGAACAATCTGTTTGGTATATACTGTAGGAACTGCATTTTAATAAGAGCTAACCATGTAGTTTACTCACATTTAAATCTTTGCACGTTTAAGTCAGATTGCAACTTGTGCCTCAAAATATTAAATTAAACAAATATTAAGAGGGGACAACATTTTCAAATATCTTATGGCTATGATTTTGTTTCTGTTTAAAATATGTCTAGCCATTTTCTGAGGTTATTAAACTTCCTGTATGTTTCATCCAGAAATAAATTCATTTTTCTTTTGCAATGTGGATTTAGGTAACATTCAATAACGCCAGCCAGGAATTCACATATTCAACATTTGCTCAGTTTGAGTGCAAATTATGTTATATTGTACATTTGAAATGAACCTGAATTTCCTCTTATTCAAGTGCCGACTCCCTGCTTGGTGGCGTTTGATAGGACGGCAGAAAGGGCAAAACGCAGAGCAATCACTCTTCAACAAGTGCACAGCAGTGTGATCGCTCCACTCAGTAAACCATCAGGACTTGTGATTACAGTTTTGACGTATAGCGACCGGTTTGGAGTCCGGGTGCACCGCAGCTCTCGCAGTGCCAATTTATGAACACGCTTTGTGTCTGGACACATAAAGACCTGAGCAAGCAATTTCCTCCCTGACCTGACAGCAGCAATTTCACACTCAGTCTTAAAACCTTTTTTCCTCTATATTCTCTTAGCTCAAGACATGCTAATGGCACCGAATTGGCCCTGCCATTATGGTCATATTAAGTCTCAATTAGCTCTAAATTACATTGAATTTATATTCTAAATGACTTCAATCTGACTTCTGCCACGACTCCCTGGCTCCCATGGCAACCGGAGAAAATGGGCTCATTTTCCATTTCATCGCCAAAATAAAAAAGCACAATATCAGATGACAATGCTGGGCCGTTAAATACAAATGAAATACAAGAAAGAGGAATGTCTGTGGGCCTGATCAATAACCTAATGACACAAAGAAAATGCATAACATAAGATTTGAGTTGTAATGCTATGATTGGGCGTGGCAAAGGTGAGCTCTGGGCACCTTTTGGGGTTAGTTTCTTCTTTAACACATTCTTCTTCTATATACTTCCTATTAAAACTATTGGCATTAAGATTTATGTTCTCATAATATAGACCACTTTGTCAGTAAACTTGTAAGTTTCAAAGCTTAAGTATAGGCTCCAAACCAGAGAAGAATGAAAGAAAGAAAGACAGAAAGACAGAAAGGAAGCACCAACAATAGTTTAAATATAAATGTGTTAGTCTTACAGATGATGCCAGCGGCTCCACACACATGCCGGTCCATGCACTGGTCACATGACGTCCCCGATGCCCCGACCCTGCACCGGCATTGGCCAGTGACCGGGTCACACGGTCCGGGCAGCGCCCCCCACACCGAACACTTACACTCCTCGCAGTGGCCGCCTGGCATCCGCGGGTTACCATGGTAACCGGTAGAACACCTGGACAGCGGGGAATCACGGGAACGAAAGAAAGGGGTGAGTGCTATTGTTGCTAGCATTTATAAATTGTCGTTTTTGGTTGAACACATAAATGAGGACTTTTAATGAGGACTGGGAACCAAGGAATCTGGTCGCAAAACAAACTTAACTACATTCTACACACACCTCCGAATATGTTTTACTCATAGCATACTTTCACCTTGGTTGCACAGTTCAACATTTGCATTGTCAACTTTTCCCTATGTCATGGGCATTTGATTCATTCCACGTCCTATATCAAAATGTCAACCTGTACTAATTATGATAGGGAGATTATGATTTTAGTGAGTGTTTCTTACCTCTCACAGTATTTGCCCTCATATCCCTCAGGACAGGCGGTACATCTGTAGTCATCGTATCCCTCTGTTACACACGTTGGACTGAAACTAGACATGGAAAGATTTCCACAGAAAAAGCTTGTATTACTTTCAGTGAACATATAATGAAAAAAAGTCTACATTGCAAATTGCAGCAACAATAACCCGAATTTACATTAGAAAGGAGAATGACCAATATAACTATGTGATACACGATTGATACAACATCCTTTCAAATTCTCATCCTGCTAGACATAAAAAAAAAAGATTAATCAGTGAAGAAGTTTACTTGTTCTCTGGGTTTGTGAGGGGACAGGCGCAGGGTTTACAGTCGTCATGGAAACCTCGGACCACACCATAGAAACCCGCAGCGCAGCGCTCACACCGATCGCCCTCTGTGTTGTCTTGGCACTTCTACACACAAAAAAAGAAATTAATGTTACATTTGTGAAGATATTGCATCGTCTTTCATTTATTCTCCAACCCTACCATGACTCTAACCCTGGTGTGTGTGGATGTTACATTTTCCCATCATCCTCAGCTCTTGGCGTGTATGCAAAATGTGACCGTGTGAGCAGCTGGACCATAATTACACAAAAAACCCTCATTCTGCTTATCCTCAAAAGCTTTTCATCTTTAAACTAATTTTCAAATTAAATTAAGAGCACACTTTCATCTGCATGTTGTATTTGAATATTGCCACTGGCACAATGAAAGCGAGACACCAGATTTGTTTGAGCATAACAAAAAAAAAAAAATATTGGAGGAAATTATTATAACGTGTACAATCCCTTGTATGTGTCTACTTGTCTCAATTTGACAATGAGTAATTGAAAAGACGACAGACGGGGTCACCCATCACCCCCTCCTTCATTACTGACAAAGTGGCATAGGGGAGGCTTGTTTTTTGGCAAGTGAGATAATTATCCTGGCACCGCTGGTTGATTTACATCGAGATTAGATGACGCGTATAAAAAAGAAAAATAGTGGCATGCTGGTACTGTTACCCGCTGTCAGTTCACTTAACAATTTTGGATAGTAGCAGTTTTAATCACTGGTGTGCTTCGCTGTAAGGTGGTAGCCTACACTCATTGTCAGTGACACAAAAAGTTATTTCAGTTTCAATCTCCTCAAAGCTGTCTGTTCCCCTAGATTTTCAGACAAATAGATGAAAACAACTAGCAATCAGGTGACTTTTTGTTATCCAGGAGAAAGTTGATTGAGCGGCCGCTGTTTTTACATGCATACAGATTCACACATCTACACTGTCACTGGAAAGTACCTGGTGTGATCGCAGCTGCTTCTGCGGTGCCGAGCATCGCTAGCAGCAGGGAAGTGGTTGTTCATTTCTTTTTCACCTCCTACAGTTTCTAAACCATTCTAGTACCTTCACACACACACACGGGCATATCTAGCCTGGACTATTTCTGATAGAAAATGTAGTCGACACAGTAATAAATGTCTTTTGGGCTCAGTTCCACTCCTGCATGATGAGGAGGTGATGTGAGACTGTGATCCGCAGCGGCTAGCTAGCTGTTAGCCGCCAGCTAGCGATCTCACACGTCAAAGAGTTTCGTAATCCTCCTTTCTCAAGTATTCGTTTACTTTTTAAACTTTTTTTAAGGATAGCCACAAGGGTACAATGACAACATAACCTTATCCAAAATATGTTCAGTTTCTTTTCGGCTATGCTTATCACACAATGTTCAAACTAAAACAGAAACACATTACCTTTTTCTGACTGATACCATGCAAAAGTGCAGAGTGTTCAAATATATGTACAGTACATTTCCACAATATATACACCCTGCATAGTAAAAAGCACAACAATACCCACACATACACACACAGTCATAAAAGCACAAACAATGTACACTCACACAAATATATTATATACACTACACAAACACGCAGCCCTCTCTGTTTAATATCCCCGGGGTTCAGTCTTATGTGTTCGCCTTGTTTGTTGAAAATGGGAACTTCAATCAGTGGAACAGGAAGTTGCCTTCTAACGAGGCAAGTCATTTCCATTAACTTCCTGTGTTCCTCGTTACCACTAATTACCACAGAAACAAACTCGTTTAGCATTTTCAATTTAGCCTGCTCGGATAGAAAATGCTAATGACGCCGTTATAGAGAGCGAGATGGAAAAGGGCGAGGAATAAATGGCTGGGAGGCAGAGTGAAAGAAATCAAACGCAAGGGAAGTAAGGAGGGAGAAAAACAAATTGGCAGACATAGAGAAATCCGGGAGAGGTGAGAGAGAAAAAAAGGGAGTGCAAAGGGAGATTGGGGCAAAACAATTAGAGAACTGAAGGTATAGAATAAAAAGAAACAAGGACGTTACAAGGAGGAAGAGTCAAAGAAGTGTGTGTTAGAAAGAGAGAGGAAAAGAGGGTATAAACTATAAACACAGGAAATAAGCAAAATCAAATAAGGTAGACAGTGCTATTTACACCCTAATCCATTAGGTCTTTTTGGAAATGTCCTTAGTCGTTGATAACTAATTGTGAATGTTGCTGTAATTACAAATAAATAATTACAAAGCTTTCTCTGGTGTGGTTGAACACATCCAAAGACTTTGAGGTGGATAACAGCCAACGTATGTATATCAAGACAGCGCTAATACTTATTTACGATTATCATAAATATGATTCTATTGAAAGTTCATGAATTATTGTTTAAATCCATACTTTCAAACAAAGTGTCTTTAAGAACAAGATTCAAGCATTTTACATTAGGAATGTTTTTTTATGCCTGTACTGTAAGTGTTTTTTTGATTATGAGTGGAATAAATGATTGAACACTTTACATCATTCCTGATCCTTTTAGTTGTCATGTTTATATGTTCTTCAGACAGTAATCAGTCACACTCTGTCATGAGCGAACAACAAATCCCACACTCCACCTAGAGCAAAAGAAAATTGACAAATAATTGAGCTACATTGGACACTTAGTTGTATTTCTTGTAAACAAATCTGCTTTCCAAAAAGTTGTAATAATACCGCAATTATTAAATGAAGAAAGGTGAGCCACTCGTACTACCTGCAATATTTCAAGTCTTCAGAAAAATACTAATCATAAAAAAAGGGTATCAATTTTCAGAAAAGGCTCGAAGAGAACGCAGCTGCCAGCATCTTCTTAGAGTTTGTTTACAAGTGTGTATGCCAGATAATTAAATGGGAACTCCAATTTGTCCAAAATGAGTCTCTGAGATGGATTTTTCTGTTTCGGTGTGAACCGTTTTTCTCTGTGGCCTTAAAATCATGGGGAAACAGTGAATTTATGTGAAGGCTGCCAGTTTTTTTACAGATCAAATATGAGCGCTGACCTGTGGGCAGCATGTGACCAACTTCTCCCCGGGGTAGAAGTCTTCAGATGGGGAATCAAAACAAAACTGACCAGATTGTGAAAAGGCTGGAAGTGACTAACAACTGGCATGTGCAGATTTATCCCACAAGCCACCAGTGTGATGTACGGAAAACAGGCAGGCAGAATATCATGGAAACACACACTCTCCAAACATCCAAGTGTTTCTCTTTTCCAAGTGTTTTGCATTAAGTTTATTTGCACTGACTAAATAAATACAATGTCAGAAGGAAAATAAGAGACATTTCAGAGCATTTAGAAAATCAAAATACAACAATTCCGTTGATCTGTCACTGTTGAGTACATGTTGTGTTACACTTTAAGGGTTGGGTTTCTTTGCCTTAATGTGGTTTAATCTCCTGATAAGACCATCCTCTCCACTCTTTCCAAAAGTGAGGATGTAACTTTGGGTCAGATCCAGAGAAGAGGAAATTAAACAAAATATGAATGAGCCCCGGGGTCGTTAATTATTGCAGGGCTAATTACAGAACCTGACATCCCCCCCAACACACACACATACACACTTTCTTTCTCTCATCTCACTCTCTTCTCCAGAAACTACCTGGCATATGGCAGTATGAGGGTCTCCAGTGGCCGAGCACACATACACACACACACACACACTTACCTGGCATATGGATGTCTCAGGGTCACAGGTGGAAGAGTGCCCACTGCATTGGCATTGAACACAGCTGCCCATGCCGGCAGCGGTTGGCACTCTGGACGCAGGAGCAGATGCTGTGGAGCCGGAGCGAAGACGGTAAAAACCTGCAGCGCACTCCTATAGACAGAGAGAGAGACAGAGAGACAGACAGAGAGACAGGAGACAGACAGAGAGACAGTCAGAGAGACAGACAGAGAGACAGGAGACAGACAGATAGAGAGACAGGAGACAGACAGAGAGACAGACAGGAGACAGACAGAGAGACAGTCAGAGAGATAGGAGACAGACAGAGAGACAGGAGACAGACAGAAATAGAATGAAAGGGAAAATTAGGGTAAACGATTAGATGTAGTTTTTATGGGGCCCTATTCTGCTCATTCTCAGGTTCATATTTGTATGTTGTGCCTCTACTATGACATGTTTACATGCTTTAATGTTCAAAAGGTCTTTATTTTTCTCATTTCCACCCTCTGTCTGAAACCAGAGCCCAGTCTATTCTAATTGGTTAACTGGCCGGCTCTGTTGCGATAAGTAAACTGCTCAGAGATGTCCCGCCCCCTTAGCCTATCTTGTAAAATGTGTTGGAGCACTAGCCAATAGAAGTATGAGTGTTACATAGTGATGTCATTATGTGATGGAAGGAGCAAGAGATGGCATGTGTTCCAACAGTTATTCCACACTTTGCCTGATATTGGAGCACACACACACACACAGACACACACAGACACACGCAGACACTAGAGAACTACAGAAATGGACCCACACAATTATCCCTAATTGTTATTTCTCAAGGCAACTGTTGACCACTCCTCTCTCTCGTTCACACACACACCCCCACACACATACAATTAAGAGTTATTCCCTTCAGTAACTTTTGATCACACACATGCACACACCCTCCCAAACCCACTCACTCAACGCACACACACAAAAACATGCAGATAAACACGCACACACAGAGGCATGCAAGGTAACTCTCTCTGCCTCTCTCTCCTGTTCAGTAATAATTAATGGAGTCCATTTAAAGAGCCATCTGTTCCCTCTGCTAGCGCTAAACGCCCGTTTAAAAATACTTTATTAACAACGACGGCAGCTACATATAGAATGGCCATCTGTCAGCCAAGACCTCTACGACCTGAACATTTCAAGTTTAGCTGCCGCTTGCTATTTAGCTTGCATTTGGCAGTTTTTCAACGGTATCTGTAGCTCCTAAATTATGTACACGGCTAATTTTTTTCTATGGCAATATAGATGTCTGTGCCTCTGCCCTCCAAGTTGCTAACGCCAAAGTGAAACAGAGGTTGAAAAATATAGTTAAAAGTTTGCTGGCAACTCATGTGTCCCTTTAAGATTAACACAATAATAATACTTAAAAAAAAAAAAATAATAATACTGAGTTCTGGATTTGAGTCCTGGATTTGAGTCCTGGACTTCGAGTCGTGGCTGAACCTGTCACTGTGGTCCTGCCTGACTCTCATCATACTACTTCCCTGATGGCTCCCACAGGATTGTTGACATCCTCGTGGATTCATCTTCTTATTATAGACACATGCATTTCCAAACATTTGGACTACCTATGCTGTAAAATGTATTATCTCTTCGATTTACAGACGGCATCTATTGCACGTCTGTCCGTCCTGGGAGAGGGATCCCTCCTCTGTTGCTCTCCCTGAGGTTTCTCCCATTTCCCCCTTTAAACTGTGGGTTTTTCTCTGGAGGTTTTTCCTTGTACGATGTGAGGGTCTAAGGACAGAGGGTGTCGTATTGTCATACTGATATTCTGTACAAACTGTGAAGTCCACTGAGACAAATGTAACATTTGTGATATTGGGCTATATAAATAAACATTGATTGATTGATTGATAATACCTGAATGACTCTCAGGCGCCGCCATGCAGCAGAAATGCCCAGAACTGTTGCCTTTGTGTATCATAAGCTGCCACTACAAAATCCTCATTAAACTACAGATTGAGTGACTGCTATATGCTTTCTGTGGCTTAAGAGAAGGAGCTGGACGCAGCTGAAAGTCAATTGCTTTAACAAAATCACAACTGAGTGGAAGAGACGCTCAGTGAGGCTTAATCCTTGCTAAAGAAAAAAAAACACATGAGAGTCTGAAAGGCGTCGCAGAGGCTTAAAACTCTTAACTAAATGTAAATTGGAAACTTGAGAGATAGTATTGAAAGCGGAGTGTGTGACCTCCATGTTTACATTCTGAAGGCAGCAGACAGAAAGCACCCACTCCTCTGAAGTACTGAGAGAACTCGCTCTGTAATTCATGTTTGTATTGTTAAATCCTGTTTTAACTTCAATATGAACACTATTTATTTTAGTTTCTGCAATATTAACACTGTTTTCATGACTTGAATATTATGTATGTTCCAATTTTATGTAGTTTGCTTTCGGCTGCTGCATTAAAGCAATTTCATCAAACTAATTATTACACAGAAAGTAATCTACAGAAAAAGGTATTGACACAGTTATATGCTGATATTCACTGGCTATATTGCGAAAATTCACCTCTCAAGTCTCCCAGTTTCATCCAACAGGTGAAAGTTGATTTTAGATTTTATTGTAAGAACATTTCAGCTTATCGAAGACTCTTGTTGGCCGATAAAAATAAGAACTTGTAGTACAGAAATGTTTAGAGCTTTTTTTAAATCCTGTTCAAGTACCTGCTGACTCCTGCAACAACTGATAACTGATTTCTAAGGAACACCTTTGGAAAAGTTTTATAAGGACTTCACATGTGTGCAGTGTTGCGTGTGTGAGGGTGTGTTCAGTAGAGCACCCACCTCACAGGAGAATCCGGAGTATCCGATTGGACAATCACACTTCTCTATCTGATGGGCTTTCAAGGTCTCTTTGCTTGGTCTGCCTTCCTCGGCCACCGTCAAACTGAGTTCTGAAATACTGGGGGAGAAAAAGTCATCATTAAGCATCCAATAATACAGTGAAGTATATGATAACAAGTATTTTATTTTGAGTTTTTGTTTGTTTTACTAACACTGGTTTGTTGGAAATTGCTATAATTTATTTAATTTCCTTTCATTATGTCAAAGAGGATACATGCAGGTATTTAAACACAACTATATATGATGATTTGCAGAATGATGTATCACTGTGGAAATGGCTTTTATTCTGAGATACAAATGAAACCTGTATTTAACACAGGTTATCCTATTTCATATTTAAGTGGCCACGCTGTGTGGAGGTGCATGCCATGCCATGGAATGTGTGTGTGTGTGTGTGTGTGTGTGTGTGTGTGTGTGTGTGTGTGTGTGTGTGTGTGTGTGTGTGTGTGTGTGTGTGTGTGTGTGTGTGTGTGTGTGTGTGTGTGAATGTCTTCTGCAGTTTGACTAGGCAGAGAGCAGTGAGAGAAGAAGAAAGGATGTCATACTGTATATGTGTATTTTAACTTCTGAGTGTGTGCTTGTACGCCTTATTTGTGAGTCTGTAAACACAGTTTGTGTGTGTGTGTGTGTGTGTGTGTGTGTGTGTGTGTGTGTGTGGGTTTTACCGGCTGTGTCTCATCAAGTTTCCGTGAGAAGCCTTAATGAGGATATATTCCACATAGAACAAAACATCCATGAAGTCTTCTCGAGTCATGGACCTGCCATCTGCGTACTTCCACTCGTGCTGTAAATACAAACGCAAACATTAAACACAATGACAAATCTATTTTATTACTGCAGTCTATGACCAATGTACCAGACCCTGTTTGTATGGACTGATAGACCTCCCAAAATGAAGTGCCATTAACTTTGATAGTTGGTATTTAATAGAAGAAAATAATTCTATAAAACAAAACTGGTGGATGTGCTAATAGATTTGCACCACAGAGAGCTACCCTGTACAGACCTTTCTTTCTGTTCCATAACGCAGATTTTTCCTTCATTTATTTGAAATATTCCACTTTTATCCAAGCGTTCTTACCTCTGTCATGTCGATCTCGTGGCGGGTGAGCGTGCCAATCTGCAGTCCCGGTATGTGCCGTGTCATCAGGATATTACGGTTAGGACCGCCTTTAATGATGACCTGAGGCTCGTAGGATGAAGGACCGGTTTCCTCTCTGGCCTCAAAGTACACAGCATATTTCAACTGTCCACCATATGCTGTGATCTGGAGAAAGATGAAGGGCATTGATTGAAATATTAATTAAGACTGCACTGATTGTATAATGTTTCCACTCTGACAAAGTTGGCTTGATTTGAGATAGATGTGTTGAGAAGAGTTGAGAGTTTCCTACCATGGAGCCTCTGAACTGCTCGGGTAGTTTCCAGTAGTACGGTTCAGAGAGAGTTGAGGTGAGCACGTCTGTGTGAGCGATGATCTCCGGATGCTGGAACGTCACTCCTCTCCTCGTCTCCACGGTGTTGGCTTTATCCACCAGAGGGAGCACCGTCTGCTCGGGCCTCAGCGCCAACTGGGACGCACAAAAGCAAACAATATTAAAGGTCACCTATTATGCAAAATCCACTTGTTCATGTCTTTTATACATCAACATGTGTCCCCTCTGTGGAAAGAGATTCTGAAAGTTTCAGGAAAAAAGATTTCATCTCTTTTCGTCCTGATCCATTTAAATAAAAACCTGTCTGAAAATGAGCTGATCAGATTTGTAGCCACTTTATGATGTCATAACGATTTTTTGGCTTGTGTAACCATTAGCCAATCACCAACCAAGGTAACGGGTTATTTTGTGAGGTAGTACCTTTTAGACACAGCCTTATTTCACCATGTACTTGCCACATATCAGGTACATTATGTGAGAGTATACAGGTGTTGAGAATGGTGTTATCATTCATTTGAATACATTTAAAGTGTCATACAATATCAAAGACCTGTAAATGAGGTGTAGGAGTCATGTGTGTAGCATCAGTGTATTTCTTTTTTGTTAAGACACACAATCTTCTACTTTCCTCACACACAAATGACACTCCCACTCCCTCGTACTTTGAATTTGGCAGACATACTTTTCATTTTTAGCTGGGTTTTCTATCTTGTTACAGAACATTGGACGTCCATGTTTCATCTGTGGACACTGAGGATTGTGAAACATCCCAACTAATGAGGATGGATCTATAAAGCTTTAAAAACTGCCAAAATGAAGGGACCTTTTATGGAAATATTTGATTGCAACATGACTAAATGCATTTCCAGCTCCAAACACTGTCAAGCTGAATGTCTGAATGCAGAAGAAAGCGTTCTGTTGCAACCTTTTTTTTTGACAGTACAATTTCTGTAGGTGAGAAAATCGGTCTGACAACAATTTTAGCTCTTCAGTTGAATCTGAAGGCATTTATTAGCAATTACGTTACAGTACATAATGCGTAACCAAATACCTCTACTACCACAGCTTTAGTTCAGTCACACCTGAACAGTTTAATGTATGATTGTGTATTATATGTATTCCCAAAATTGTGTGACATTTCAGATATTATAGGCATTATCAAAACGTTTTTTGCATCAAAATTGACTTTCCCACAAGGAATGTTATGAATATCCTGACCCATTATTTTAATATGTATACATTACATATTCAAACATATTGTTAATAAGTCAACCCTGTGGTAAGTATATTTCAAGTTGATTATGTTGTAGTTGTTTCTTAACTGATGAGAAACTACTTTCAAAACATTTAAGTATAATTTCTTTCCATATTTGAGATTTAGAACATCCCTCCCTGTATGTTGTGTCACATTTCCATTTCATGACATACTTAAAGTTCTTGTCATTTTCTTCCTGTTACTTATTATTTCATAGCTGTATCAAGCAAATTTCCCAAGAGAAACCTAGAGTATATAAATGTTGGAACTCAATTCATTTTAAGTTATACTTCAGACGGAAATGAGCTTTTTCTCATTCCACGTGTGACTGCCTCTCTATTATGCAGTCCGTCCAGGCTAAAGTAACTTCATATATTTCGTTTAACCAAAAAGCACTCTTCCATAATGCCTCAGATATTATTCACACAATATCAACATCAGCTCTGCTGGACGACAGCACCACAGAGACAGAGAGATCCAGACTGCAGCGGATGAATCTATTTTAAAATCAGTCCACTCAGCCACAACCTCAGTCAATAATAAACCCTCATATTATTCAAGTGATATTAAAATTACCAACATAAAAAGTGGGAGATAGAGAGAAGGAGAGGAAGGGGCTGGATTCTCTCCAGACTGTCTCTTACTCTCCACTATGTGATCATATTTGAGTTATTACTGACAGTGTCAACATCAGTTTCAAGATATATTGAGAATGGAAAGACGTTTATATCAGAAATAATATCTCAATATCAATCCTTGAATAAAAGAAGACAATTTGGCTTGAGCAATTTCTTAAGGAGCCCTAAAAAGTGAATTGTCAGGTTCATATTTATATGTTGTGCCTCTACTGTGACATGTCTCCATGCTTTAATGTTCAAAAAGCTCTTTATTTTTCTCATACTGCCTCTTTTCACCCTCTGTCTGAAACCAGAGCCCAGTCTGCTCTGATTGGTTAGCTGGACGGCTCTGTTGTGATTGGTCAACCACTTAAAGATGTCCCGCCCCGTAGCATATCATGTACAATGTGTTGGAAGTTAGCCAATAGAAGTGCAAGTGTTTCCTAGCGATGTCAAACAAATCAGAGATAGACATTGAATACATTGCTGACCTTATTATCTGTTTCTGTTATTTATAAGTATTTGTTTTCATTCATGAAGAGTAAAGATATCATATTCGTATAAAGCTTGATTAACAGATAATAGTAAACCATTTCACATGTTTGAACCTTTCCTTTATTTCTAACTCAGTCCTCTGTGACCGGATGAATTAAAAATGTACACAATAGTTTTAAAGAACATTAAGAAAATCCTTCCATATATCCATCCTTTAAGAGTAGAGTGCTCTTGATGTTATTTTACGTTCTGTTAGCTTATCAGTGCTTTCATCTTATCTCAGTTCTTGAAAGATTTGTACTTCATTATACTAGTGCAGATCTTTACTGCAGTATTTAACAACCAGTTAATAGTCGTCCAATCACACAAAAAGTTCTGCTATCAAAGATAAATATCACAAAATAGGCTGTGTGTGTGTGTGTGTGTGTGTGTGTGTGTGTGTGTGTGTGTGTGTGTGTCTCCTCTAACCTCCATGTAATCCACCTAGTGTGAGTTTTTGTGTGTTTTGGTATGTGAAGGCATGTGTACGTGTTTATATAGTGTGTGTGTATAGGGTGTCTACTAGATATGGTGTGTGTGTGTGTGTGTGTGTGTGTGTGTGTGTGTGTGTGTGTGTGTCCCACTCCACTCAGTGTAATCTCACGATTCAGTGGTTCAGAGAAAATCTCCCACTTTCCAATAAACTCTATTTTCCCTGTCTTTCTCTGCCTGTCCAGCTCCCCCTCTCCCTCTGTCAACAATAAATGAAGTGAATGTTTGTCGTTCAAATGAAGCCTCTCGCCACACTCCATCACAAAACACCACGGTTACCACGGAAACGGCAGTTAACCGCCGTTGGCAACCGTTTCTGAGATGAAGGGCCTTTATTAAAAAACGGGTTGCCACTCACCGATCGAATAACTTACTGACATGGTGTGTGATGGTGTGTGTCGCACTTATGTACGTCTGTTTCTGAATTGCAGCTGGTATCTGTAATATTCACCCTCTGGTTTTATCTTGATGTTTAGAAGCCATCAGATCCATAAGCCAGGCTACGATAAGGCCTACTGACTTTGGCGGTCACCTGACTTTTTCTCAAGCATTCCCAGATTCTTTCAGTTGCACACAAACGTGACATGTCTACCAGATGGATTAAAACCACCAACTTGACATGGATTGTTGATCTCCTGAGTTTTCCTCTTGAACCATCATGATATTGAAATGTGTGCTTTTGAGTGAAAACAATTGTCTTGATTACCATGACATTTGCTATAGACATTCATGTTGACTACAGGATCAATACAAAATAACCTTTTTCTACTTATATTCAAATGTTAGCTATTAGCCTTAGCTTTCTGTTAATCCAAATTAGCCAATGTTAACATATTTGTTTTAGCCATCAGGATAGTGATACCATGTTAAAGCTCATAAAATGGGCTCCTTTCAGCTCCATTTTTGTGCCAACATGTTTTTATAGTATGGTTGGATGAACAGTCTTGAAGCATCATTTTTCAACGTTTAGCAATTGACATGAGAGACATAGTGAAAGTCACACTTAATGATATCAATAAGTCACACCTCTCTCCCTTCCTTTAGGGAAATCCTCTTGAAACCAACATAAGTAGAAATCATCCCATGGTGTCCCACATTTATATACAGCATTGAATTGGATGCAATAGATATTTGAAAGGGTGCCAATATTCACAAATACAGCACAACTATATAATCGCCGCGGCTTCAGTTTTTACTGGGCAGAAAATCAAGTAAAATTAGAACTTTAAATATTTGAACAAGCCTCTAATTATCCATAGATAATGATTAATGAAGGACATGAAGTTCACAACGTTGGCATAATGCAGAGTCAGTTGTAGGCAGCCAGCTGTCAAATGTGTTGTCTCAGCATGAAGCTGGCACAGAGAGTGTGTTCAGAGAGTGAAGCTAATAGGAAACTGCTGGTTAGATCCACAGATAACACATCAGAGACAGGAGGGATCCAGACCAGGAAACACTCCTTTAAACTTTCATATATTTTAGGGTGTGGACTCAATAAGGGAATATTTCATCGACCAGTTTAGTTTAATTACCATTGTGTATGCAGCATTTACATTTGCGGAGTCTAAATCTAATTTTCCAATGGTTGTTTTGCAGCAGTCCCTAAATTGTCTCTAGTGCCCCTTTCACACCAAGGCTTTTCCCGTTCTAGCTCCGTGCTAGAACTTTTCTGGTTCGGAACCGGTTCTTCGGGTCAGCTCCCGCTCTGTTCACACCGCTCAGAGCCCGACTGGTGCTGCGTCATTGCGTCATCGTTTGCGTCATGACGTAACCGTTTGCGTGCCTGCTTCATAAAGCCAAACCGCCACTCCGTCCGAGGTCTCGCTTTTGGTCCCGATAATCCTTCTTGACTTTTTTCAATTTGTTGCCAATCTGTTCAACGTTACGGTCAAAACCAGCGGTTGCCATCTCTTGCTGCAATTGTTATAGAATTGCTTTGGACCGCGTGCTCCCCTCCAGCTTCCTCTGTACCTCTTCGGAAGACCAGATTCCCAGTAGGTAGCTGGTCTCTTCAGTGGACCACTGCTGCTTGTTAAGTTTGAGGTTTTCCATCATTGTGTACAAACTGGATAAAACGCGGGCTTTTTGTTGTTGTTAGAGGTTGATCCCGCGTTGGTGTGAAAGGGGCATTAGTGAATGTACAGACAGATTCATCCAGTTTCATTTTCACTGCAGCCAATGCGACCATCTCTGTCTTATATTTGTCCAAAATTAAAACAAATAAAGATAAAAAAAATAAAAAACAGTAAGGTGTCGCTGACAGTTACCTAATACTTTAAAAAAAGATATGTCGGTAATATAGGAAAGTCTTTGCAGTATATACTGTATTGCTTTTCTGACACGTGTCTTTGTATGTGTGTTTGAGTGTGTTTGAGTGTGTCTGATTGTGTATTTGTGTGTTTATTGTTAGGGTTGAGAGGGCAGTAAGTGTGTTTTGCAAGTAGTAAACACTTGTGTGAGTGGAGATGAAATATCTGTGATGACAACCGTTTTTTAACAACTGTGCTTTGTTCCTATACTTTTTTATTTGCCTATTACTTAAACCTACAACCGATAAAGAAAATACAGTGACAGTAAGGAATTAAAAAACTAAGATGTACTTACCCACATCCTGATGAGCCCCTGAGCCTCTGAGCAGGAGCTGGTCAGACCGTAACAGTAACAGTTGCTGCAGCCGTGAGGGTTTTGAACAGACAACCCGAACGTGTCCGACTTACAGCCCTCACAGTTGTGTCCTTCCACATTTGCCTAAAACAACAAACACAGGCAAGCACACGGAGTTGAGGAAAGCTTTTGTGATTTCTTTTGTAAACATTTTCAAGTTATTTTAAACATATTAGTGGTAGTGGGGACAACATTTAAAGGACCTATATTCACTCAACTGATAATCAATATCTATCATTTTGTGAAACTTGATCCTGTGAACTAAACATAGTCTGAAAATAACCAGAGCTCATTGGACATTTACCAGTTATGAGAAATTAATTGTTTTTTTTTAAATCTTTTTATCAAAGCATCCCACTTTACTGAGGATGTTTGTTGTCCCTTGATTTCTCTGTTGTCTTAGATTAATGAATCCATAGCTTCTTATTACACCAACACATTTTATATATATTTAATAAAATGTGATGCTTTCTATAGATTTGTTACCCCTGCTTTAGGTCAGAAAGCAGATAGAGCTTAGGAAAAGCACTCCTGAAGAGCTTTTGGGATTGAATACCTTGCATAGGGAAACTTCAGGAGGACATAGTAAGATTAAAGTCTGAGCCTAAAACCCTGAACTGAAAAAGTGTCTCTCCAACATCGCGTCCACACACCTGTTCATCTTGCCATTAACATTCATTTTGTCCATATTGAAATAATTGGTTGCTATTTTCAATGTTCTGCATCACATATTTGAGCTATTCAAATACACGTAAGCAATACTACATAGAGAATGCATTTTTGTTGGTTGCATTATGTTGAAATAACTGTCTCACCACACTGAATTGTTTACATTTTGAGTAAATAAGCTGAGAGCTGACTGGTTTAAAGTGGGATTGTGGACAGGTCTGTGTGTTAAGCCTTCTCTCTCTCCTAAGGAAAAGCTCACAGTGCTGTCAACAAAAAATCATCCAATTAATGTTGAATTCTGTCAAAAAGTGCTGCAGGTTAGTGAGGCAGGACCAGCACCAACAGAGGAGAGTAAAGCTATACTGAAGGACCTAAAACGTCGACTTCAGTACTTTTTATTATTAGCATTTGTTACAAGAGGACATTGTGTTTTACTACAGTAGCAACTCATGATCATCTATTTAATCATAAAGTATTTTTTAATTAATAGATTTTTCTCCTGGGCTCACATATTGAAGAGTGACATTTTTCATTTTTTTCTTAAAGTGTATTACATTTATGATCGTATCAATATATGAGAGGCTAACATGCGTGAATGTTGTAGGTGTTTTAAATCGGGCCTCAACACTGAGAAGAAACAATTTGATTTCTTGGATCTTACATTTTTATTCTTTTAGTGATAATTTTAGAAATATGTTATCCACAAAAAAATCCAGTAATGATATTTTTTTTTCATTTTACATCATATTCTTCCTTAGATAGAGAGACAGACAGACAGACAGACAGACAGTTAACATGCATAACACGTCACAAACAGCAGAAAAAAACATTGAGCAGAGAGACAGGCAACTGATTGATTGACAGGCAGTGCACCTCCTTCCTGTCTAGAGTGATCTGAAGCCTCATCACAGGCGTGTGTGTGTGTGTGTGTGTGTGTGTGTGTGTGTGTGTGTGTGTGTGTGTGTGTGTGTGTGTGTGAGAGAAATGTTGTTTTAGCATTTGTGGCTGTCGTGATCAGCAAGTGACAGCAGAGATGAAAAGTGTCTTCAGTCCTAGGCGATACATATATTACATTTGTGTGTGTGTGTGTGTGTGTGTGTGTGTGTGTGTGTGTGTGTGTGTGTGTGTGTGTGTGTGTGTGTGTATGTGTGCGTGTGTGTGTGAGTTGTGACAGCAAGCTACTGATGAGGTGTGCATGCCAGATATGTGATCAACTTGTCACGGAGAGGTGTGAAATATACGCTTCATTTGTGTATCAGTGTGTACATAAGAGTGTGTGTGAGTGTGTCTATATATGATGTTTACACCTATAAAAATCCAGTAATGATATTTTTCAGTGTTTTTTTATTTTGTTTGGATTGCAAATTTAATAGGGATTTATAGTGTCTTTCATCTTGAATGTCATGAACCAGCTCTCTCTCTCTCAACTGTCTTCTTTCAAGACAAGATAGAGGTAAAAAGAGTGTGAATGTATATGTACAGCATGTATACATACATGTATGTAGCATTCATTAATCTATTTGTATTTGCCAGCCTAAGGGGGATGTCATGCAGAGATTACCGTGCAATCAGATCTCGGACATTTACACAAATAATGACACGCTAACACACACATAATATGTCTATCTAATACAAACATGCATAGACTCTTACTGAATAACAATTTAAGTACATTTTTAAATCTGCATTGACATTTACAAATATTAAAATGTATGCCCTGGTAGGTTTCAAACTGATAAATAGCTGTTTTTCTGTTTCCAACACATTTATTCACTCTTAAGTTTCTAAGACAACTCTCAGTGTAAGTGGTCACTGGATAGCCTCAAAGACTGCATCTCACAAACTGACTTTATTTCCAGTAAATCTTCAAAGCATGCTTTGGCAGTATGATTCAACAGCATGGGCTAATTTTCGTGGCTGGTATAGCAGGACAGCTGCCTTGTTTTTCTAGCTGGAAACAAAGACTAATGACAGTGTATCCAACTTCATGTTCAAAGGGTTCCTGTTGAAGTACAGACCTGTCAATAATCTTCTGTTTCGGCTACTTGAAATGACACTTGGAAAAAATACTAATATGTCATTTTTCGAGGAAGCTAGTTAAAAGAAATTGATTCAAATTGATGGTTGAGGGTTGGCATGAAAATACTAGAACAGACCTGTTTACTTCAGGGATAATGGATTTATTCAGAATCAGCTCAATGATTCTCTGTGACACAAAGATTTATATTTAAGCATATTCTTACATTTCATGTTTAAAACTGCTTTGTTAATGAAGCATCTACACATCATATGTTGTGCTGTTTTTGTATTTGTGACACTCAAAGTATAGGAGGTTTTTAATCAGTTCACAACTTTTTTGCATGCTCAAAATACCATAATCCCTTTTTAACATCACATAGGAAGTCAAAGTTAAGTGTATTTTGTGAGTTTGTGTACCTTGCAGCTACACTTCCCCGTCCGATCGGCGCAGGCGCACACGGCCCTCTCCAGGTCGCAGGTCTGGCTGTCGGACCCGGCGACGTCACACTCGCACTGGGTGCACTGTGGGAAACACGCAGACACGCCAAGATGCTGTTATCAACAACACAACAGGCTGAGAGAGGAACCAGCACAGTGTGTCCAAGCTTTATGCTTCACCAAACCATTAAACCTCACTCCAAAATGAACATGTTGCCATTATCTTCTCACTTCTGTGTCAGTGGAAACATCACTGAAGTTCAGACAAACACCGAACACAGAGTAAGACTTAGTTTCCCATTAGACTGAAGCTTAAGAGATCCAAAAAGTGTAAGAAAGTTTATATTTCGATTACATTTTATGAATAATTGCTCCTCAACGGGATCCCTCAGTTCTTTATTGTTTTGCCATGCTATTCATGAATGACATTTCACAATTCCTTGAATAGAACCAACAAATGCTATTGTACTTTTTAAAGTCTAATTTCAATCAATTTGACTAACATGCTGGTCAGAAGATGACTGAAGTATAATTTAAGGTGCACTGTCTTAAAAATGTTTACCATTACCATATGTTGTTTACTTTTACACTTGAACATATTATCTGGAAGTTTATTTAATGCACAGCATGGTGTTCATATTTCAAGTGAGGTACCGTTGGTGATGAAATGTGAACAGTAAAGAGAAGAAATAAAAACTATAATAATAGCAATATCATGTCTATAAAAATCTCTCTTCCTTCTCTTAGTAGAGCCACAGGAATAAGAGCTTATCTCAAGTGCCTCCTCTCTTATCTAAATAAAATGAAAGAAGCTTTATTATAATGATAGTAATACTTGCGGTTCATTCAGATCAATTACCTGAGGAAAGTCTCTGTATCCAATTTGACATTCAATGCACTTCTCTCCTCTGAAGGCGTCTCGACACATGCAGCAGCCTGTGTTCATGTTGCACTGCTGCGTTACCGCGCCGACCCCGCTGCAGCCGCACGCCTGCACACACACACACACACACACACACACACACACACACACACACACACACACACACACACACACACACACACACACACACACACACACACACACACACACACACACACACACACACACACACACACACACACACACACACACACACACACACACACACACACAGTGTTGCATCTATGAGTCACAATGATATGAACTTTTTCCAGATGCTCTGTTTTGTGACAACCCTGAGATTGTCCAATCTGAGGTGTGTTTCTTTTCATTGATACGAGTTGCTTTGCAGAGTGCCTGGAAGCAGAGTCAGGGCGTCGTTACTGCAGATTGTGGCCTATATGTGTTTGATTTTTATGTTTAAGGATAGCCGTGTCCAAACTGGGAACATGGGAAGGTTCATGTACAGAAAGCATCAATGGAGTAAGAATACTGACTGTAAAAGCTCCACCTGATTACACCAACGTGACGTGGCAGTATAACATTCTTATCAAATCCAATGCATACAAATATTGGAAGATATTGCAATTGATACATGTCTTGATCAAAGATGAAAACATCTTATAAAAACTGATGGTTTAGCAAGTGTCAAATATAATTGCTATGTAATCTTGAATGAGTTAAAACTGAAGTATGTATCTATTTTGCTCAGATTGTTATTTCTTTTGTTGTACTTCACTGTTGTTAGTCGGTACCTCTCTGCTTTGTTGTGTTTTCTGTTGTCTTTGGTGCTTTTTTTGTTTGTTTAAAACAACTAAGATCCACAGCATCCCTATTTGTTGTCTTGATGTTCCCTTCTGGATCAATCTGCTGTTAAACTGAGATTTCCTGTGCTTCCATGTTCAAGCCTCTAATTGCTATTACTCTATTGCTACTTCTAATAGTTCATTGATATTGCTGCCTCGCGGCCCTTTGTGGAGATAGCTTCAGAGCAGAACAATGAGTCTTTAAACACTTTCAACAAAGTTGTGTTAAGAAACAGAGAAGTGGAGGAAATGGGAATGTAGAGTCACTGAAAGAGATGTGATAAAGAAGAGAGAATAAGGATAAATGGCTTTTCAAACAAGCAATGTGATAATGAGAATTGGAGGAAAGGGGTTAGAATAGAGAAAGGAGAGGAGTATGGGAAATAAGAATAGGAGAAAAGAGGGAATTAAACTAAAAATGAGAGAAGACTAAGAAGTAACACACAAGATTACACTTTAAAAAAAGGTTAACCAGCTGAAATATAAAAAAGGCAAACTAGAATAAGACTTATTGAAGTGAAAATTGTGACTGGAACTAGAAAACGTTACGTGCTTTTCTTTGATTATATGTATTCACTTATAAGAGTTAATATGGTAAGACAATTATGTTAAATTGAGTACGCCCAAACTGTTAAACATATATAGTTATAGGTTGCTACTAGAAATAACAGAAGTCAGGATCTAATTAGCACTGACAGCATCAAATAACTCACAAACAATAAACTTATGTTGTGATTGTCTTGTGTTAAATACAGTGAATTCATGTCTTACTTTTGCATGCCTTCCCTCCAGTGTGCTTAAGCCCCTCCAAATGTTACTACACATACTTTAGGTTACTCATATTGCTCTTTTAAAATCCAGTGTTCAGCCTACCTTGCATCCGGTGGTGATGTCATGGCCCCAGTGGTTGGGGGCGCAGTTGTCGCACCTCTCTCCGATGGTGTTTGGAGGACAGATGCACTGCCCCGTGGTAGTGTCGCAGTTATTCCCCACATGACTGCACTGACAAGCTGCACGAGAGAAAGTGTGTGTTCAAATATTTTTGAATAAACTCTGAAGACAATTCAGTGTTTGACAAACTGATTGTTTTTCTTTCAAGTAACTTGTTTCTTCAACAACAATACCGTTTGACTTTCACATCATGACATGCTGACAACGCTTGGATATAAGAATAATATGTCTGGGATGGAGACAAGGAAAGAGAGCTTGCCATGTTTCTTTTACTTTAAAACCTAGGGGAACATATTTTGGTCACAGTGAGTTTTTAGTTCTGCAAAGGAGGTTTTTACGACAACAAAGAGTTTGTCTTTTTGAAAGCAGGCTTACAGAAAAATGACTGTAAAAAGAAGGAATTTTAAAGGGTAATTGATTGAGTTAGTGGAAGAAAGATTCAGTTGTTTAAGGTAACACCCCAAACCCCCCCAGTGCCATTCATTTCAATTTATTTTCCCAACCAATTAACTTATTCAATCACCCACACCCCATAGAAAACACTATTTCCACTGCCAGAGGACTCTCTTTCTCATTCAGCTCACTGATTGAATTGAAATAATAATACTCATGAAATGGAAAGTCATTTTTACAGGAGAGTTGCATTATTTTGTTATATTTCAATTTAATGAACATTCCTGAAATCTAATGGAATAGCACCTGAATAATTCATGTAAATTGTTAATGAAAGTTATGTGTCATCAGCTAGTCCTGGCTCTTTCTGTCATTTCCGCCCACAGCCTGAAACATATTTGTATTCTGACTTGCCTTCAGTAAATTCCCTGTAACATGAAACACAAGGGAGCATATTGTTTCTGTAACCTGACTGCTGCACTGAGCTGCTGATCTGAAGATGAATCAAACAAATAATTCCCAGTCCTATCTTTTCTTTCTTTCTGGCTAACTTGGTTCTCTTTCTCTTGGCTGTTATTGGTGGTTGGCATCAATTATACATTGCATAAGCAGATATGTGGGAAAAGCTTTTTATAGTTTAGGTGTCTGGATGCTTAATCCTCTTTTTGCTCAGCTGAAGTTCGCTGCACCTGCGGCCTGCGGTGCCAAGTTTGTAGGGCATATGATTAATAATGTCAACTTGTTCCCATATATTTAGAGGCATTTATAAATGACTAAAGTATCTTCAGATGATGTAACACACCCTTAGGGGATGATAATGAAAATCCTCAGCTCTGACAACAAACAGATCATTGTTTTCTGATGTAAACTTTTTGTTCACTTCACCGATCAATATTGTGTTTTAATACAATGAACAAGATATGAAAATCAATAAGTCTTCCCTTTACCAGGGATACTGTCTTTTATAGCAAAGCCTCAAACTGAATGATACACAGATGTTGTACCTTAGAACATTTACAAGAGTAACTCCATCTCTATTTCCAACATATCCATTTCCGGCTACTGCAAGTTTGAATTTAGAGACTTGCTTTACAACAATTTGGACACATTTTGACCTTTAATTTGAGGTGTGAGAACAGACTGTGTTTGGTGTTAAATCCCTGCTGATTTAAATATGAATCACTGCTTCCTGGATCACTGTGAAAATTGAATAAGCTAGACGTTATGTAATTCTACATCAAGCACAAATAAAGAAACACGATGGTAATTAATTAAAGTGGACCTATCATGCTATATTTGAATAATATAGTGTAGGACCATACCTATATACAGTAAGGCATATTTATACTTTTTTTTTTCTCAAAATACCAAACAGATCATGCATTTTAGCCATGCCTCATTTTGCTCAATTTGACAATTTTTAGCTCTGTTTTAGCAAGGGCTGATTCAGTGAGAACAGCACCATCTAGAGGCCTGGCATATGTACTACAGCGTCTCCAGCGCTTTCGAACGGCAATGGCCGTGGCTGCCTCCTCCTGATTGGTGGAGTTGGCCCAATAGCCGTAGCGCCACTGTCCTGACGTCAGGACAGTGTTCAAATCTGGATCAGTTTTTATCAGATCCGTTGCAGCCCCTTTTTTAGAGATTTGGGTATGGAGGAAAATAGAGAGGGTTGTGTTTTCTGACACTTGGTGAGTTCCCTGGAACACCGGGGACACATATTCATGTAGAAAAGACGTACAAAAGTGCATTTTGCATGATAGGTCCCCTTTAAGGAGAATAGTTTTGATTAATGTTAATACAAATACATCTAAATGCCATGCTGTAAACTGACAATTACCCGTCTTGTTTGCAGACAACCTTCACACACAGAGTTTTATAAAGGTATCTTATGTCGGGTTTTCCACCAACCATTAATTGATAAACAATTACTTTGGGTCAAAATAGATTTCACTGTAATATTGACTTACTTTGATTTGATTAACCTAATGATCTCTTCCCTAAACATTATTCAATATTACAAATAATGAACAGCTGTTTTGCGTGTTCACCATCCAAGATGAATAACAAATCTGGTAGCTCCATAATTATGTTGTCCTATCATTATTTTTATGTGTGTCCAAGCTTCACAGATGTTTCTATCAATCAGCAGCCAGTTTCTCTCGGCTACATTTACTCTTTGTAGTTAAACTGGAACAGAAAGACATGCCTGCACAGACAAATGCTCTGCTTGTAGGCACAACGATTTTTGCTATGCAATAATTACAAAACTGCCACCATGATGTGAACGAGTACACACGCACTTTTAAGATTACACAATAGCTTTTTTTTAAGTGGAATTGCACTGCAGACAATTTGTGTAAACTTTAAATTAAAAATGAAGGAACAGAGCAGCGGTTTAATGGGGAGAGCAATTTGTGTCTGCTGACATTACATTCATTGCAAAACAGTTCAAACACAAATACTGTATGAAGTGCTTTGATGTTGTCAGTGCAGCAAACTCCCCTGAAATGTTTAAAAGTAATCTTTTTTTAATATGGCTTTTAATTTGGGTTAACTTTCAATTCTCACTGTTATCATTGTCCATGTTTTTCTATATTTTTTCTGTTTTGCTTTGATTTGATTTTTTTAAACTGTTTTATTTGAACCTATTTTAATTTCTTGTGAGCTTTACTTCAAGGGAATTTCATTAGGATCACTGCTGATGTTTTATCTTGTTCTCTATTTATTTTAATATTGTTGTTATGTTTTCTTCTTGTTCTGTAAAGCACTTTGGGCTGCTTTGTGCATGAAGGGTGCTATACAAATAAAGTGTATTATTATTATTATTATTATTATTACTTTTGTTCTGTCTGTTCTGTCTGTTTTTTTAAGAAACACCTCCCTCTTTATGGGACTCTCTAACACCTGCACTTTTAAAAGAACATCCATAACATTCATCTGTTTGTAACTTATACATATCAATATTCCAATTACTTGTACATAGACTATTCTGCACCATTTCTATTATATTATATTTTATTGTATTTACCTGCACTATTATCTGTGTATTGTGTAGCACTGTTGGAGGAGCCTGTGACCTAAGATTTTCAATGTCATAACTACACTGTAGCTATGAACATATGACAATAAAAGCCTTGAACCTTGAACCCTTGAACCTTGAACCTCGATGCTTACGTGTGCAGCCGCCCTCCTGGTGGTTGAAGAATCCTCGAGAGCAGCGGTCACATTTGGGTCCGGAGACGCCGGGCTGGCAGCGACACTGACCGGCTTCATCACAGTCGAACGACTTGGACCCGAACGAGTTACAGTGACACGGGACACACACTCCTCCGGTGCTGATGCCGTGAGTCTGAGGCTGGAGAAACACAGAAAGACGGGGTTAAAATGGACGTGGATTTAGGGTAAGACAAGTTGCAGACACACTCAAGCTACTTAGACACACAGAGGTTGTGAGTTTTGAATGAAAAGAGCAGGTGGGGGAAAATGAGGGAATATTTGTGAGTTTCAAGAGTTGTGACCCTTTTGAAGGTATTATTCTTGAATAAAGAAAGAAAATCAAAGATGAGTTGTCTCGATGCTATTCATTTTTTTATATTTGTATTTGACTTGTTTAAATGTAGACTAAAAAGCTATCTGATAGTTTGAAAAGGCCTCCTTGTGGCTGCTAAAGAAACCAAAACAAAATGCCATGCATGGTGGTTCATCAGCCTGGACAAAAACATTCACAAACTGCCCCTGATGCCGGATAAAAAACATTGAATTAGTTACAGTTCATCTGAAAATGACTGGAGAATGTGGATATCTTGGGCAAAGTCAGAAGGATAATGATTGGCCTAAACATAATAACAGTTTCAAAACAAGTTCAGCAACAACAAACACCTTGAGCTACTTAAAGAAGTGACATTTTCTAATGATCTCATTGTAACGTTGATATTAGGACTTTGTTCTTCACTTGGAAACATCTTCAAACCACTTCAAACCAAATGTCTCTCAAAATAACACTCCGTGCCAGTAAAACTCTGCATAGAACACGAGATGAACACCTCACTTTCCATGCAATGTTTAACAACTCTAACCTCTAACCATCCCATCCACAAACACAAAGAGCTTGATGCACATGAAAAATGGGTTTTCAATGTCTTCTTCAGCAACACCGATATTTGAAAAAATGTCATCAAACCAAATGTCAAACCAAATTTGTTTCACAGAATAACACTCTGTGCCAGTAAAACTCTCCATAGAACATAAGATGAACACCTCCCTTTCCATGCAGTGTTTAAAAACTTTAACCTCAAACCATCCAATCCACAAACACAAAGATTTCAATACTTGATGGACAATAAAAATTGGTTTTCAACGTCTTCTTCAGCAACACCAATATGTTTTAATTCACATCAAATAAACACACCCATACTTAAACACACCATGCCCGGTTTAAAAACTTGAACGTCAAACCATCCCATCCACAAACACATCGAGTTAATGCTTGTTTCATTTCTTTGTCTTCTTCAGCAACATTGACATTTTGAAAAATGTTCACACCAAGTAAACACACCCATGCTACTTAAACACACCATGCCCGGTGTGTTACCCCTGTGCTCGGCCTGTACGCCCCCCTGGGACACCCCCCCGTGCGGGAGGAGCCCCCCCATCTCTGATGCACGGCTGCGAGGGGAACACGCTCCACCGGCCTTCGGGTCTCCCGCCTCTCGTAACCTTGGCGACGCAGGTCACAGTGCCGGCCCACAAAGCCGGGCCGACAGATGCAGCGGCCCTCGACGTCGCAGCGCTGAGACATGGAGCCGGGGGGGCTGCAGCCACAGGGGACACAGTCCTGCAGCTCAGCGTCCCACCAGCAGTTAGGCTGGACCAATCACAGCGCAGAGAGGGGGTCAGCAGGACAGAGAGAAACAACACACTCAAAGTACAAGGAGGAAAGAACTCAAAAGAAGATTACAAAAACGAAAATACTGCTGTTTTGTGGAGAAAAATACTTATTCAGGATCATTGTATTATTGTCACAAAAAGAGACCACAAACTTACTTTAGAAAAGAAAAGAAAACACTTGATGACCTTCAATACTTCCCAACTTATCAGTTTAAGTGTGAAACAAAAATAAATGTTTGTGTGACATTTTAATATAATGATGCATCTTCTTTGTCTTGCAAAGCTATACATGTGTGGGTTTGCCATCACAGCCTAATTACTGCCATTGGAAAAACTGAAGTGTAGAAATAAAATAGTCATAACAAATTAATTTCTGCGGGTAGTGATGAGAAACAAGAACTTGGAGGTCTCTATATTACCTGAATATCTAATATTCAAGCGTGGTGAAATTGTGCAAATGGGGTTACAACACTTACGGTTTACATGTAGTCCATTAAACATTAAGCAATGTGATATTGCAAGACACCAAGAAGAGAAAGGGGGAAGTATATGTGGAAAATAGTTGAACTAATAGTCTATAAAGTAAAGGTGCCAATACAAAATACTTACAATGCACTCGTCACACTGTCGTCCAGCCACATTTTGTTTGCACTCGCACCGTCCAGTCTCCTTGTTGCAAACCTCAGATACAGAGCCATTAGTGTGACACTGACAGGCTGTAAGAGAGGAGAGGAGAGGAGGAGAGGAGAGGAGGGGAGAGGAGAGGAAAGGAAAGGAGAGGAGAGGAGAGAGCATATTTAATCAATAATCATTTACTAACGGCCTCATTTCTACATGAGTACATCAAATAAAACCTTAGTTCAACAACAACACTGGTTGATGAGTGTTTCCTTCACACTACAGTCTGCTGGATGAGCTCAAATCCTACTTACGGTCTTCTTCAGGATTATCTGTCAATATGCATTTTAATATCCCTCTGACTGCACTTTGGAGAAAATCTGCTCTCGCCCAAATAGACTCTTCAGTCCAGTGGGCTGAATTATTTTTGACAGATTAAGTTTTGTATATTAAAACGACACCCAGTTTAAGTTTGAGTCTAATGACAAAGCAATGGTGCAACAGAGGACAACATCAAATGTTCTTAAAATTCAGAATGTAGATTCTAAAGAAAAGCTGGTGTTTAGTGTGTGAGTGTGAGTTCTCTGTCTAGACAAAACTGCAATCACAAAGATTGAGCGAAAGTCCACAACAAACCAAACACTGACAACATGAAAGATGACTAGAATGATTTGTTTATTATTATATTTATTTGTCTTCAGTTTAGATGCCAACTTAAAACCACATTAGGGCTTTGAAAGCTGTCTGAAAAGGGTTTTTTTGTTGGTGCTAAGGGAAATAAAACACTGGACTCAGACACTCACAAACTGTCCCTGAAGCTACGAAAAGCCAGCCAAGACCATTTAAACGTATCCTCTGAAAAGTTGCCAGATAAAAAAATAATTGAATTAGGTAAAGTTCAGTTGGAGTGAGAGGAACAAATCGGCTTCCTGCAGCCACACTGAGAAATCACCAAGATATGTGGGTCTTCAATGTTCAATGATCAGCACATCTGGTTAAGAAATAAATAGTTTACCACTAGGAAATGGCTTAGGCATCTTACTAATTTAAACAACATCTCCAGAGTCTATTTGTCACAGCTCTCTCCCTCATGTCCTGCCATCTCCACTGTCAATATAAAAGACTAAAAACACCCACGAGATCCTAAAATGTTTTTTCTCTCAGTGTCTGTCCTAAAAAGTAAGTCAAAAATAAAGCTTATAAATAACAAGGAAGTACGCACTACTTGGATCTGATGGTGAGGAAACAGTGGGGTGCTTGTGATGATTGCTGAGGCTAAAAACGGTCCACACACACAGGATTAAATTCCCATTAAAAGACAACGTACACACACTAACAACGATTACAGAGACCCCTAATATGCTGGTTGAGTTTTCCCTTTCCTGTAGTGTGTTATATCGTTTTGTGTGCATGTAAACGGTCTGCAGCGTTTAGCTTTAGAGTTTAAAAGCAGCACGAATGGGTGAGTTACTTTATAACCTGTCTCTCTTTCTATCAGTGATACTTCAACTTTATTTAACTTGTTTAAATCCTATGGGAAAAGGGGGGAAAAAAGACACACCTACACACACGCCAATCAGCCCCTTAGATAAACAATTAAAAGCTTGAACAACACGGCTCCCATCTGCTGGATGGGCTGTCAGAAGCACACACGCATACACATCAAAAACACACACGCCTTTCTCAAGAAATCAGTAGCACACTCCACATCACATAGACACACACGTGGACCAGTTTTACCTCGTGTTATTCTCTACTATTACATGTAAAAGAGACAGAAGGACGGACCTGAGTGTGCGGTGAGGAAGTGAGAGATAGAGGGGTACAACAGATGTCCACACACATGGACACACACACACAGAAACACACATACGGTGGAAGATTTATCTATTCCTGATTTGCACATGAATGCAGAGAGGCACGCATGTCCTCCCACACACACATACGCAACCACATACATTCAGATTTACAAACACACACATGCCTGATTAATCATAGAAGAAAAACCTGCACATACATGTCCGTCTCTTTCTACACACACTCCCTCACACACAGTCTCTCACCCCTCTAGCTTTACCCTTCGGCAACCATCTGGACACTGTTAGTCGCTACAATGCGAGCCTTGTTGTGTGATAAAGTGTTGCTTTCTGTTGTGTTTTTTGATTTTATTCAGCGCTAGCCTTGATGGTGAAGAAAACATTTTTTTTTGCAACTTGAAATACATTATTTTCTGTTAACAAGAATCTGTCGTACAAACAAACCGTAGGAGTAGCTATTGTGCATTTATTTTATATCATTAGCTCTACAATGGTGCGTTGGTGAGAAGTCGAGGCGCTATACAATCTATTAGGTGTCATACAAAACACACCGAGAGCAAATTGAGTCCACACTCTAGGTAAACACGTAAGCATAGAAGTGAAACATTTCTGTTCTGATGAGATTTGGTGTTGGACGCCTTGAGGGGAAACAACAGAAACAGAACATTGTGTAATACAAGCATGAAAACATCAATTACACGCTCAAAATATATTTGTTTGGCTACCGCACAGAGTAGATTATGAAATGTGATTAGTAATGTTTTATGACTAACTGATGCCTGAGTTTGTTTTGGAAAGGGTAAAAGAAGTCTTTGAGAACCACTCTTACTAGAACCCTATATATACCAAATCGTAGTGTTGAGGAATCAAAAGATTGACAGGCCAGAAATGCCTAGAGGATATTCTGTATTTGAGAGTGTTTTTTTCTATAGATTCCTGATTAATTGAACATAGTAGGATGGTCAGAGTGGCAGACATTTTAAATTGTAACATTGAAGAGAACAGTGACTGTTGTAGAGAACCTATTCTCTTCCAATGCAGAGTTCTTGGACCATTTTATTTTGGACTATAAAGTACCACAGCAAACAGATACATGTCCATTCCACTCTCAATTAATTTCTATGGTTTTACCAAACATCACACATTTCCTTTAGGTTGGGTTTTAATCATTTTGTGTCCCCTAAATCAAGCTACAGTAATGTATTATGTTAAAAAAAAGAGCCATCTGCACCCATATGGGATAGTAGAAGAACTTACTCAGTATGCATTAAATTATAAATGTATTTACTTTAGATAAAAAATGTGTTAGTGTGTCCTCCACTATCTTTTGATGCAAGAAAAATTGACATGTTGAGTGAAAGTTAATCAAAGTTATGATCATAAAAAGAGACTGATAATAAACATGTTGTTATTGTTTGTGATTCATTAAACGCTGCCCTGATTTGGGAATTACCACACTGTTGGTTCAGACTCTTTAAACAATGTGTTTAGGCTTGTAATTGTTCTGTTTGAGGCCTATTAGTTGAATAAAAAGCCAGAGCATCAGCACAGAGGACTGCACCACACGGCTGTCCATTAGGAGTGGATAAATTGTGAGGTTTCTCATCATCGCTGAAGAGTTTATTGATTTATTGTATGACGTTTCTACATAGCATTCATTAAGGGTCAGACATAGAGGAAGCATAATTACATTATTGAATTACTACACATCCACTTTGTTCCAGTGATTGGAGACAGTGTGTGACAGTGCAATTCTCACATCTTTACAACGACTTTTCCCCACGTGAGGAATGGTCAGAGGAGTTCATTTTCCTGAATGTATTCCTTATACAAATTGCTCTGTGGTCAAGTTTGCTATCAACATCAAACTATGTTCTATTCCTCTACTGAATTACTCTGAACCGCTATTAGGGGGGAGGCAGCAGAAAGGCCCACAGATGGGGGAACAAAACAAGTTTAAAGGATTTTTACAGTCTAATAGTGCGCAAATGGACTCGGCCTGAACTCTCCTGCTCCACTCAATAAAATTCATTAAGACTGGGAGCAATAGGAAGAGCAGACAGAAGGGCGAGATATATAGACTGACTGAAGCAGAGAGAGAGAGAGAGAGAGTTGTTGTGTTTTAATAATTCCTGGTGGTCATTCGTACAGGATCAATATCAACCCTCCAAGACACGAGCAGCCGATCAGCACTGTAGGAGAGCAATAGATCAGGCTGATTAATCAATAACCATTTAGCTGGGTGGAGAGGGAAACAACTACAGAACAATGAACTATCAAATACACATTAATACCTCTGTCAGCCTGTCTCCCTGCTCCTGTGCTCGTCTCAGAGTTTTATCTGTATATGTATCGCCTGTCTCTCTCTCTGTTTATCTGTCTTTCTGCCTGTCTCTCTGCTTGAGCCACAGTTTTCGTCAACAGCACAGCTTTTTAATAAAGATCTTCCCAAACAAGCGCCATCTGCACGTCTGTATTTGCTGCCATCCCTTCCTCTCTTGTTCACTTCCGTTTTTACAGGTATAGTTTTTTTTTTATGCTCACGCTTAAACACAGCTGGCAGTCAGTGGGCCGCTCCGACATCACACCTCCTACTAGCGCAGCTGCTTGCCGACGCAGAGTCACACACACACACACACACACACACACCACACACACACACACACACACACACACACACACACACACACACACACACACACACACACACACACACACACACACACACACACACACACACACACACACACACACACACACACACACACACACACACACACACACACACACAGCAGATGGTGCATCGACTCAGTGTTTTAGTAAAAGGATTAAAGGTATCATTTAGCTAAAATTGAGTTTCAGAGAGGAAATACTACTGTTAAGTTTAACACCCCTGCTGAGACACTAAAGCTGCACATTGGCTGGTTTAAAAATGATTTAGTTTTTTTAGTAGATAATGTTTTACCGCTTGAAGTCCATATGAGTTTATTTGTTGCAATCTGACCACAGCAACTTGTCACAATAAAACTATCACAATAAACTTGTCAATTTCCATGTTTCTTTTTTAAAAACAATTCTCAGGTTTTCGTGGGCTGGCAGTTAGTATAATATTTTATATACTGTACTATATTTATGCCTTAAGAACTCATTTCCAGGTTCATATTTGTATTTTGTGCCTTTGCAGACCATCGACATGCACAAATACCTTTATAAAAACACACTACAAGAAAAGGAAAACCCCCAAAACCTTACTTGGGTTCTTTAAATTATGTTTGTATTACTTTTAAAGACTGATTCATATATCGATTCTTCTGATCGAAGGATTACTTTTCACACTTTCAAATATATCATCTTATGTTGGTTATAATATTTTATGCATTTTCTTTTATTAAAGTGTTTGGCTATCGATAATGCCCGTTCAAATGTGAGATTAATAAAGTGTATCTAATCGAATAATCCAATCTAATCTAATCAAGTTTAATCACATGTTTTCGTCTCTTTTGTCTAGTTTTGACGCTTGTTTTGATTCGGTTTACTCACGTTGGCAGTTTTTCGCTGTGATCGCATCTCCGTGGTAACCGTCAGCGCAACTGTCGCAAGACGAGCCACCGTAACCTTGACGACAGAGCAGACACTGGCCTGTGATTGGATCGCAGCTGCCGGGTATGGACAGGTCCAGGTTGTCATGGCAATCGCAGGGCTCACAGGATCCCCCGGGCTCAGAGGGCCGGCCGAAGAATCCGTTGGAACATCTGGATGCAGCGGAGAGACAAAGTGAGGTCATGATGTTTTAAACTCAGTGTACTGTAAACATCATCTGCTGCGTGGGAAACAGTGGTCAACAGATCATAAATAGAGTTTATGGTGAAATGTGTTATGATTTAGTTTAATTAGCAATAAGAAAATGCATATCAACACAGGTAGCTACAGTAACTTTTTTTTATCATCAATGGGATTCAATTCAATTTAATATATTTACAAACAATTTAAAAATGCAATTCAAAGTACTATCAAGAGAAATAATGGAGATGTGTCAAATGGGTCATCCGGAGAAACTCTCCAAAGCTTTAGAATAGGGGCCAAGACAGTTAATAAAGTATTTACAATATATGTTATTAACACATCTAGATTTTGAGAGAGTTCAAGTGTTATACAAGCATAACAAGCTAAAAAATAATAATAAAAATGCACTGAAACTATCCAACCCTAACTACTAAATGGTCAAAAAACATTTATTTGATCAGACTTAACATTGTGTTTATAATATCTTACCTATTATAAACCAGACACATTATAAGGGAGACTATAGCATACATTAAAAGCATTTCAAAACCACACTAAAGTACATTCAAGTATGTATCTGTTCATGTATCGTTATTATATTTATAAGTAATATCAGTATCAACATATTCAGTAATGTGATCACATATTGTGTTTCTCATATTGTGTGGCCTTTAAGCCAACATGCAACATGAAGGTCTGTGCATCCTTCAAATGTGTTATTTATCTACAAACAAACACTTACACTATCAGAATAATCTGGAAGATATAATCACGCACAATTCCACACATAGGGGCTCTAAAGTACCTTCGAACTCTCCACCCTTTCATGCTTTCAAGTTGCAGCAACACGCCGTCATGCTGTTATTTTCTCTTTCAGGATACCATTTTAGGTTGGGATAATACTGCATCAGGTCTGACTGAATGTGCAGATAGTGCAACAAGGTCTCTGAAAATACAGATTTCATTCTCCTTTCATGTAGCAAATAATACTACTCTGCACGAAAAATATTCAGTGGCTCACCCTGCCTTCTCTCTTTTGTATCCAACAACTGCAGAACAAACAGCTCTCAGCAGGTAAATATGATCAAATCATTGTTTACCTCAGCTTGTGTGACAAGAACAACATACTAGATCACTAATTACAGCAGGTCTCATCTCGAAAGAGCTGGCAGCCGATATCCAATCAGAAAATAAACAAGAAATAAATCTCATCTAGCAGAGTCCAGGGGAATCATCAGCATTGCTACCGGTGTCTCTTTGACCAGAGAGACTGATCGCTAAAGGCTGTTATCATTTATATTAAACACACACCAACATCACACACGTACATTCACACAGACAGGCATTAAGTCAAAGAGTTAACCACAAAAAAGGCTGGAGGGCAACAGAAACCAAACATATGAAATGAAAGTTACGAAATAAATAAGCTTTACTAGAGATTTAAATAAAAAAATGATGTCTTCAGGCAAAAAGACCCGAAAAAGCTACTCAATACAAAGTCAATGTGATGCAAGAATATACATGCCTGTTTATGTGTTATTGGGCTATGGATTGATTGATTGATACATTTTATTTCGAACAAGTAAAATAAATAATAACAAAACAAATGTTGCAGTGCATACTGTAGTCATGTACAGTAAGATAAATCCAAACAAAAAATGACATTTACAACAACAACAACAGCATTAGCAACATAAACAGTGCCACATCTAGTGTTCGAAAAGGAGTGAGAAGAAGTATAATTTATTTAATCTCACCCCCTTGTCCCTAAATCATTGATTTATAATCTATAATCTGTAATAATTATCATTATTATTAATTAATATTGTTATTATTATGATTAATCTGCTTTACCTGTTGATTGACATATATACATATACACATATGTACATATACATACACACACATACACATATATACATATACACATATGTACATATACATACACACACACATACTGTATATACATATATGCACATATACATACAGTATACACACCTACATACTCACACATATACACATATACATAGTCAAACACCTTCCCCATCCCTGTACCTCGAGAAAATAATTTCTCTGTATTTCCTCTTGAACTGGTTGAGTAAACAATTGGCAAACAACTGGCAATATCATATGTATAATGGTACAGAGGTTAGACAATAATACAGCTAATTCAAGAAAAACTGTTATAGTATGAAGAAAACATCATATCGGCACAACATCTTATTGCATGTGCATTTGCAATAATCACTACTTTGTATGCAATCTGAGCCACTGTCTGTAACAAATTGTTGCATTTAAACTATTCATTTAAACATATTCACAAAAATAATCTGAGAAACTAATGTGGTTTGTCCTTTGTGAAGCCTATTCAAACAGATTCCAGTCCTTGAAATGGTCAAATTGACGAAATAAAACAAATGTAAAGACTCAAATAATAATATAAGGTTTCACACAACCTAATATGGCAATATCAAATTGTATAATTGTTAAAATCCCTTTATCCTTTTGTACTTTAAAAAAAAAAAAAATGTGAAATGTATAATTGATGTTTTTGTGGTGTCTGTGAATAATCATAAAAGTATGTTGATTCTGTAATGTTGTCTAGCTCGTTGTGTTTTGTAAGAAAATAAGTGGAAAAATAAATAGCATCCCTTTGAATGGTATCGTTGATTGAAACAAACATTCTCACGGAGAGATACCGCAGGTCTTTCGGAGAGATACCGCAGGTCTTTCCTTCCTGCAGCGGTCAGACTAGACAACCAGCACAGCCCCTAGTTGACCCCCCCCCCCCCCCCCCCGCACACACCACAACACAGACTATATCACCCCTTGCTGCTAAATACCAACAAACTATGTGCAATATGTGCAATATATAAATGCCGTTAATAACTGTGTAATATATATCTGGCTGCTAAATCCGTAGAACTGTTACAGGATGTGTATTTTTTTTTTATTATGTAACTTTTTATTTTTTATTATATATTTTTTATTATATCATAACTTAGTATTTTTTTTAATGCATGTCATATATTTAACATATGTAACATTAAGCTGTCTGTGGCTCTTTTTCCTGCTGTAACTACCCCTCCGTGGGACTAATAAAGGTATTCTGATTCTGATTCTGATTTAAAAATGGTCATCAGTCATCAACCTTGAACCAGAACAAGGACACACACTTGTTAACTGTCTCTCCATTTCAAAGATGTTAATTGTTGCTTTTCAGCCTCTTTTGTTTGATTACAAATAAAAGGAAGGCCAGATGCTGCAAAATATATGAACCTGAGAGAGGACTGTGCCGTGTCAAGAGCCACTGAAACCAAATAAAACAGGCCTGAGCTGAAATAACGCTCTACAGGCTAAAAGGGAATTTAGATGGAAGAGAGAGAAGAGAGGAAGGAGAGAGCGAATAGAGGAGAGGAGAGGAGAGAGGGGGGGGGGGAAGGTCTTCACATTGAAAACAGAATTGAATTTAGAGAGGAGGGAAAAGAAAGGACAGAGAGAGGGAGAGAGGGAAAGAGTCAAAAGTAGCCAGCCATTATTATCACTGACCCTCCTTGGTACTCAATAGAACTGGTTTATTAGCTTCTGTGTGTGTGTGCATGTTGCTGGAGTGTGTGTGTGTGTGTGTGTGTGTCCTTGTGTGTGTGAAGTGCTGCAGGTACATTCCTATAGTCAAGGGAAAAAACACACAAGCAGCAATCTCCGCTCTTGATAAAAGAGAACAGAAGAGTGTGTTCCTACTTGTGATATTTTGCCAGATTGATTCACACAGTTATTTATTTGTAACAGGAATGTTTTTTTACAATTTATTTGAATTTCATACAATAGTAACTACGTCATTGACACGAAATTCTGTCACGAAAACAACCGCTCATTGTATTGTATGTTTTTTATGGGGAATAACTTTATACTGAACTAAACAATTTGAAATCTTGAAGACTGTATTTGTCACCTTTGTCCTGCATTAAAGGGGCCCTATCAGGTTCATATGTATATGTTGTGCCTCTACTGTGACATGTCTCCATGCTTTAAGTTCAAAAAGCTCTTTATTTTCCTCATACTGCCTGTTTTCACCCTCTGTCTGAAACCAGAGCCCAGTCTGTTCTGATTGGTTAGCTGGCCGGCTCTGTTGTGATTGGTCAACTGCTTAGAGATGTCCCGCCCCTTAGCCTATCACTTACAATGTGTTGAAGTGCTAGCCAATACAAGTACAACACAGTGATGTCACTAGTTACCAGCAATAAACAAAGGAGTCCATCGCAGCGTTTCAGGCAGGGGGGGGGGGGGGGGGGGGGGGGGGGGGGGGGGGGGTTGTATGTGAGGGGGGGGACTTTGGGATTTCAGCCTTTGCAGACCATTAAAATGCACTAAATCCTATATAACAACCTACAGGAAATGGAAAACCCTAAAAAGCATAATAGGGCCTCTTTAAATGTGAAATAACTGTCCCCAGTATGGCCCCCCCAGTAAGATGTGTCTAGAACAACTACAGGTCCCTGTGTGTGTAGTTACTTGGACCTAAAGAGGAAGTGAAGGTATTTATAGTTTAGTGTGTAAAGGGAGATGTATTTGGGGGGGGGGGGGGGTCAGACACCTGGTCAGAGCCTTCAGAGAGCAGAGGAAGTGGAGGGTGAGCACAGCTGGTGGAGAGTTACAGGGGGAAGAGAGGAGCAGGCATACTAAAAGTTATGTTATTTTATTTTTAGTGTTATACTGCAAGTGGGGAGTCGGCGCCGGGGGGAGGGGGGGGGAGGCTCTGCTCCTCCCTCAGAGAATTATTTCACATCATTTTCCAAACATTTTTGAGAGTTTTACTGCATGTTAAAAACAGAATATTGGGGTAGGTTATTTTAGAGAAGTACAATTTGACTTTTATATAAATAAATTAATTTAATATATTTTACTTTTAAATGTATGTATGCTTATTAATAAATGCAGGGGAATAAGATCAAATAACTTCTTATTTGTTTCAGTAAGACTAACTTTTACTGCAATTTCCATTTAAAGCTGCAAATGCACAGCTCCCATAAAGCAGCTTTGAGTCTCCTTCAAAGAACAGATGTGCCTTTCTGCACTCAGTAAGTGGAGCTATGGAAGTATCAGCTCTTTTCTCATAAAAAGAGCAATTTCATACTCCTATCTCTTACTCTCTCGCTCTATTGAAGTTCTTAACATTCAAATTAAGTATCTACCTGGGGTTGCCAACAAAAAATGTATAGGACAGCTGAAAGTGCTGTGAAACCTATAATATCATTATCTCCCTGTGAGTAATGGGCTGCTACATGAACACAAACTGTCCTGCCAAAGTTTGAGCATAAGTTATAATTGGATGAGTTTTTTTCACTTTTTTGTCATTGATATTAGGAAGTTATTAAAAAGTTATATATAAAGAGTTAAGAAATTATGTTTTAGGGAATGTATTTGCCTTCTTCAAATGTCTAACTGTAAAGGCTTTTAAAAGTATAAACAATGTGACAATACACCACCTTTAAGTTCAATATGATTGGCCTTCACATTTCCCGTTTTATATTTCTCTATTCCAGATGCATGGTTTAAATTATCTCTTCCACAAATATTGAGTTACATAAAAAACACATTTCCAAACTACTTTTTTATTTCCTACCTAGTGTGAAGATTTCTGAAATTCAAGTTTACAACTTCCAACATCTTTATAATTCAATGTAGGATGGGAACAGTTGCTAAGTATTTGTTTTGTGTTCTTTAAAATAAAATTACATTCAGTGTCTTACCTCATTGTATGCATGTTTTTTCAGTACATTTGGACTTATGCCAATCCCCACAATCAAGTAACTTGGAACTATAAACCTCAATGCTGTTGTTTACCATGTTGCAGGACTTTGGTCTAGCCCTTCTATAGTTGTTAGCATTTAAATGTAAAATTCCTGTTGTCCACCATATGCACCTCACTTGAAAGAAGATTTTAAAGGTGTTTTCACCAGATTTATTCTCTAATGTTTTCCCCACCCTTGTATTTTTTGACATGTTAATGCATAAAGATTACCATCAATCTAGTCATCAGCACTGCTTCGTGTTTCATTTTAGTTGAAAATACATCTATTTAAAGTGTCATATTTATCATACAGTATTTACAAACAGTGTTAAGTCACAAAATCCAAATGAATGTGCAAAATGTGAAAAAGCTTTAAAAACCAATAACATCTGGATATACTGTCAAACCCCTGATGGCTCTAAATAGCAGCGTACTACTCAGCAATTAAGCACATAGACTTATTTGAAAGGCAGTTGCATTAAACAGCTTTCAGCTCAATGCTAAATGGCTGTTTGGACAGGAAATTGAAAAGCAGAATCACTTAGCAGCGACTGGAGAGTCTATTAGCATGGGGAGAATGGAGTAGCTTATTTTGTTAAAGCCCATAATATAGACAAATTAGCACATTACAATTAATTACCACTAACAATAACAAAAGCACTGTAGATAATGAAGTGTAATGGCAGGTAGCGCATGGCAGGTATCAATTAGACTAATAGAACAAGGAAGAACCAACTGCTGATTACCTCTTTAACACTGACATTAGCAATAAAATATTATTTTGCATTATGCCTATTGTTCTGTGAGTCAATACAGCAAGACTCTCTTTCCTTCTCATTTGTTTACCAGCTGTCCTCTCTCACTGACTGGAGCCACCATATGCACACACACACACACACACACACACACACACACACACACACACACACACACACACACACACACACACACACACACACACACACACACACACACACACACACACACACACACACACACACACACACACACACACACACACACACACACACACACACACACACACACACACACACACACACACACACACACACACACACACACACACACACACACACACACACACACACAACCATCTCTATTCGTCAAAGGCAGCCCTCATGACACTCTCTGATCATTTGTGGAGTTTTATCAGTATAAGTCGCTTGACAACGAACATTCCCTCTCACTAATTGGACATGTGAGGACATCAGAAAGATATTTGGAGAAGTTGACTATGAAAGATTGGGACCACATTATAGCGCAGTGCAGATGCCTCTCGGTGACAGACAAAGGTAGAAAATGGACTGACAATGAGTCTGTTTACTTTCCAGTGGCAAATGAAGTTTATAAAAAGACTAAAATGCAGACGGAGAGATTCTGCTGTGGACAGCGTGGCGAAGCATGTGGACTATGCATGCTCCTTTTAACTAGCAACACAGGGGAGGCTGGATACAGAGAAAACTATTTGAGGCACAATGTTTCAACATTGGGATTGAAATTGTCAACATAATTATCGCTCTAGATACAAAAAGGTAGTTATTGTAGGTCAGGAGCACTAGGACTTGTTTTTATCCCCACTAAATGTAGTTTGATAAAGTCAATTTCTTCCATCCAATGTACAATTAAAGTACTCTATTAGTTAACCATGAATTAAACCCATTACCTAATTCATAAATAATGAATGTATAAACCCTTTATAAAGACTGACTTACTGGGAAGTGGAGAGATGCTATACTTGGTAAAAAGTATACAATATGTGGGATTCTGTCCTAGACCTTCATAGACTGTAAGACTACACACAAAACATTTCTCTTCAAAAGGAAATCATGAACTGTGCAAGGTCACTTATTCATTTATGCAGCAAATCTCAAAGAAAACCTTACTACACCACATCGTGCAGTTTGACCTCCCTGAACACACAGCTCAGCTCACACATGTACATTATTAATATTACACTGTCAACAACAGTCATCTGACATTCAACATGCAGTCAACACACAATGCCAGCCAAAAGAAAAGCAAGGTTACATCTGGAATTGCTGAAAAAGTACAATTCCTTAGAGCTACAAGGTACAAGGTTTACTACAATTGTAAAGAGGGGGGGGGGGTATCTTTTCCTGTAGTGTGTTATATGCTGTAGGTTTCTGTGCATGTAAATGGTCTGCAAAAGCTAAAATCCTTAAGTTTCTCTCCCACACTCTCGCCTGGACTCCTTTGTTTACTTCTGTAACAAAGTGACATCACCAGGTAACACTCGTGCTTCTATTGGCTAGTGCTCCAACACATTCTACGTGATCGAATGACATCTCTAAGCAGTTGTAAAATCACAACAGAGCCAGCCAGCTAACCAATCAGAGCAGACTGGGCTCTGGTTTCAGACAGAGGGTGGAAAGAGGTGATGCAGCACAAGGCAGTATGAGAAAAATAAAGAGCTTTTTGAACATTAAAGTATGGAGACATGTCACAGTAGAGACACAAAACACAAATATGAACCTGAAAATGAGCATAATACTGTATCTATTTTAAAAATGTACTTGATAATAACTCATAAATTCAGCTGTGGGTGGTTGAAAACAGTCCGAATGTATTTAAGTGAGGCTGCATGGTGAAAAGACGATATTTACTCTGCGTCACCACATGACAGCTTAGCCTGAAGTTTTAAGCAGCAAGACAGAGAGGCTTCTCATTAGTGCTGGGTCGGTAAAGAAGCTCACAGCTAATGGAACAAGAATGTCACTCAGATAATAAATGTGCTGCGGACAGAGAGCTAGATGGACAGCGAAACAGAGCACTCTAAAAACTGTTAATGAGCATCGAGTTCTGTTTTCATTGGGGACGGGTGACCTGATTTATTTTCCAAATAGTCAGTTTTAACAATCACAACAAAAATAGTGGCTTTATTTTTAAGAGAAGAGCTTTTATCCACATATGAAATTGCAAAAATAAGGTAAAAAGTGTTGTTTTAATCGTGGAACATAGTCATACTCATCATGTCGTACTTATTAGGCCAAAATGCTGGTAAACTTTTAAAAAAAAGGTTTGACCTCACAAGATTTATGGAGGTACAATTCCATGTTTTGATAAATAATGATAGTTATTTCCATGTTTGTGTTCAGAAACACTGAACTTGGCAACACTTCCACATGAATCTGAAGCCAGTAACTTCAGCATATTGACATAAATAATAAGCATAGTTGTGCTTATCATCAGTGCGACGTTTCAGGTTCAGTATGTGTGTGTGTGTGTGTGTGTGTGTGTGTGTGTGTGTGTGTGTGTGTGTGTGTGTGTGTGTGTGTGTGTGTGTGTGTGTGTGTGTGTGTGTGTGTGTGTGTGTGTGTGTGTGTGTGTGTGTGTGTGTGTGTGTGTGTGTGTGTGTGTGTGTGTGTGTGCGTGTCTGTGTGTGTGTGTTACCTGTCACAGCGTGGTCCTGTGTACCCGGGCTGGCACTGGTCACACAGCAGCTCCCCTTCTCTCCCGAGATGGCAGGTGGGGCTGAAACTTTCGTAGTTGCCGAGATGATGTTGTTGTTGTTGTTGTTTTTGTTGGAGTTGTTGATAATTCCGGTAGCGTTGTCCCAGTGTGGAGAGAGGGATGAAGAGGAGGAGGAGGGAGAGCAGAGGACAAAGGCGAGTTAAGGCCATTGTTTGTCTACACACACACACACTCACACTTAAACTTGTGTCACTACTTTCACTTGCCAATCCTCAAATTCACACTCTGTAGGACACACACATGTAATTCCCTCCTCTCACACCCACATGTCTGTACTTCCACACAATTTGAAAACACTCTTCCTCTCTATGAACTGAAAACCGAAATGAACTGAAAGAGAGGGAGACTAAAACGATAGTCTCTCACCCTCGTTCTGTCGCCCTCCCACTTCCAGAAACTATAGATAGTTGTGCTGGCTCGGGTTCCCGGCCCCTCACTGACTCACTGGCTCACTGAGCTACAAGTGACACTGCTTGGCAAAAGCATGAGAACAACAAAAAACTTTTCAATAAAATTAAACTTTGGGCTAAAATGGGATATATTTAAGTATAGCTATAATCATCATGGGAAATTGTTAAGTCAAGCTGTTCAGTGACGTTTCTATATATCTAATTTGGGGGGGGGGGAGATGATGTGAAGTAAGAAAATGTGTGAGGAAAAAGGACACATTTCAGCCAAAACGATTAAATGTGATGAGACTTTATATGCAAAGAAAGTCAAATACATTACATGTGGAACATTGTTTTTCCAGTGTATGTAAGACGCTTTGGATAAAAGTGCGAGCAAAATATGTATATATATATAGATATATCAGGTGACAAATAGCAACACAATCTCAAACGACTAAAAAATCATTAAAGACTGAGACACAAACAGAACGAAGTTGAAAGGTGCCGCTGCCAAAGCGGCACAATCATCCAAATGAGTTACTCTAATAATAGACACTCTTGAATCGTTTTATCTACATCTGATCCAGATCTACATCAAAAGAAAATAAAAATAGACAATCATGCAGACTTTTGGATAATATCTAAATCCTGGGAGAATTAGGGCTTCTTACAGGGATTAATTGTGCACATTTCAAGTGATGAAGACTTGGATTTGATTGGGTACAGCTGAGAGGAATGCTCTATATTTATAGTATTGAAAAGAGACTGAGAAATAGATGCTATTTGGTATGAAGGGTTTGCAAAAAGAGTATTGTTTCAACCAGACTGACAATCAAAGTGCAAGACACCTCTGAGCAAAAGTTAAAGGGGACCTATCATGCAAAATGCACTTTTTGAGGTCTTTTATACATAAAGATGTGTCCCCGGTGTGTCGGGGAACTCACGCAGCGTCAGAAAATAAAACCCTCTCTCTTTTCCTCCGTACCCTCGGGGAACTCACGCAGCGTCAGAAAATAAAACCCTCTCTCTTTTCCTCCGTACCCAAATCTCTAAAAACGGGGCTACAATGGAGCTGATCCAGATTTGCGTCCGATATGACGTAATATCGGAAATGTAGGCTGGCTTCACACCCACGGCCCTATCAGAAAGTTGCTATCAGAAACAATGCCCGACTGTTTTGGAAGTAATATGGTCGGTGTTTACATTAGCATCGCTAACACTCAGAGCTAACCTGTACTGGAGAGCATGTGTGTGAAGAAGCAGGAAATAAAAAGGAACTCACCTTGTGGTATAACCGGCAAGAGAGAAAGCCTTTGAGCTCCATACTGTTTCAGAAAGAATCCTTGATAATCCATGATATGGCATTTCATCACCGCAGTATTTAGTTTAGACAGTAGCTGCCGGGTCCTGCATGAGCTCAGCCCCCTCCTTTTTTTTGTAATCAATTTTTTTTTTTTTTAAGCTTTATACCCCAATTCAGAACTTTTGAAACAGGAAGTGAAATAGAGGGATATGAGGCATGGCTAGAATGGGTGATCTGTTTGGTATTTTGAGCAAAACACTTCATAGACATGTTTTTTATATATTTTTATATATCTGAGACCTATGCTATTGCCTAAAAATAGCATGACAGGTGACCTTTAAATCAAAATACAAAAAGAAAAACTGGAAGCTTAGTATTGAAATCTGATGAGATTTAAATAGGAACATGTTAGTATTTCAGTGTCAAGTAAGGAATAATGCCTTAGACAAGATAGATTTAGCAGGTGTGTTGCTTTAAAATAGAGATATAACGTGAGTGTAGGGTAAACACTATTGGAATTAGATCAGGGAATATCTGATGAATATAATATCTGCTTCAAATCACAGTTTAAAACAATGTATTTTTGACCAATGAGTAAACTGCAGGGAGTTTAAAGAAAAACTACAGCCGTGCTTTTGTGGCTCAATAATGATCAAGAGTCAATCAAATATTAAAATCGACTCTCCAATGTTTTAAACAATGTGGTGACAATGGCTGAATTTAAAGTGTAAAATAAATATTTTGTCTGGATTATACTGTTTTAATTCATGTTAAAATAGCCAACAGGTGACTTCAAACTTTGAAATTGAGTACAAAGATGTTTATGTCTGAGAAGTTCGCTAAGAATATTATCCATGAAGTTTTTTCATGTGTAAAATATGACAGTATTTTTCCATCCTTTACAGTTTTTCTGGCCACAGTTGTGTTGATTCTGCCAGCAGAGATGACATTTCCACCAACAGGGATGATGTTTCTCCACTTATATTAATGCCTCTTCCTGTGGTGTAATATTTCTATTCATGCCATCACAATTATAATCCTGCCCACAGCGATGAAGCCTCTATCTGTGGTGATATTCTTTAAAGATACCAAAAAAAGGTAGTCTGAGTGTCAGGAGAAGAGAACATGTAAAAGAGGGCACTGGTGGGTCATACATTTAGTTTCAAGAAGGCAACAAGTACAGAAATACAGCTACAACTTCAACTCATTTTGTCCATTCAAGTATCTTCTTTAGCACATTGGGAAAGATTGGCTGACATTTTAGAAGTACAGTCTTGGAAACGTTTTTACAGTCAAATCTGTATCGGTACGAATCATTAGGATCTTTGTTAAGGGATAATTGATTAAGTGTCTATAACTATACTACCCTAAAATGTTAAGTAGATTTAGAACTAGAAATGGAACAAAAAGACTCCTTGAAGTGAAGTTACTCAGCCTGAATGTTTATAAAGAGGAACAGCTCTCCAGAACGAAATGGATTTCTGCTAATCTGCTGTAAATCAGATTAAATGTTTAAATTCATATATGACTTTATTAGATGTTTGTAAGAGCTTAACCCTTACAGCTAACTGGAGCAGTCTGACTGTCTGGCTATTCCAGGGATTCGCCTCGGTGAACATAACGGACTAGGTGGCTATTTTGAGGGGCTGAAAGGCACGGCACCTTCAAGCTATTATTACTGCAGGGGGGAGAGGGAGGGGGGAGGAGGGTAGAGACAGAGAGAGAGGGAGGGGGGGGGGAGAGGGTAGAGACAGAGAGAGGGAGGGAGGGGGGGGAGAGGGTAGAGACAGAGAGAGTTGTGTCTTTCTTTAGCTCGGAGAGTTTAGGACAGGGCGTGTCATGACTGCAGGAGGATTCTCAGCTGCTGCTGCCTGTGTGTGTGTTTGTATGTGCGTGTGTGTGTGTGTGTGTGTGTGTGTGTGTGTGTGTGTGTGTGTGTGTGTGTGTGTGTGTGTGTGTGTGTGTGTGTGTGTGTGTGTGTGTGTGTGTGTGTGTGTGTGTGTGTGTGTGTGTGTGTGTGTGTGCGTGACATCTAATTCAACCAATGATTATATATGGCTCTACTGGTGACAAAAGACAGATTTCCATCCAATCATATTGCACATTTTAAACAAATTTCAAGTAAAATTTGAGAAAGAAAATTCCAATGAATGCTTGTTGCTTCTTTATACTTTTACCTTTTGACCATTGGGAAAGAGGCGTCTGTAAATCAGCAGATTTTTTTTGCAAACAATGTCATAGCCCTTATTTAAATAATTTGGGTCTAAAAGTTGTAAAATGCGCTAAAGCCGAACCCTTTTTTTTTCTCTTTGCATTTGACTGACCCGAGAATGGGAGATTGAAGGCGGAGCTTCAGGGAAAACTCAAATGCGCCCTCTCTATGGGCCAACATACGGGTACTTTGCTCTCGAGAGGTCGGCCATTTTGCCTTCATGCGCCACTGAGAAACTTTCATAGGAATGAAAAGGGTCCCGCCTCCAAGGCTGTATTGAGTTCTCTTCATACATCCACGAAATAAACCTGGTGGAGTGATTTTTTTCCCGAGTTAAAATATAATAAGGGGCAACAATGACCATCTTCCATGCCAACAAAGGATTCCCAGGACAGCAATGGATAGACAATGAACACAATGGGGTGTTAATTAGATGACTTCTGCTCAGCAACGGTTTGAAAATATGTAATGAGTAGAAAACATGTTTTTGCACAGCTGGCACACACCAGCCTTACACACAAGGTCTGCATACTTCCTAGATGAACCATAATCACCTAGAGCCTTGCCTCTTACCTGGGCTGCTTCTATGATAAACAGCAGATTGCTTCTTTTTTAGAAAACGTATTTTTGAAGATACTCGCTGTCACTTGAACAACCATAATTTGAGAGAGTGAAGCCTGTACAGCAGCACGAGGGGTATGATGAATGATTTTAAATACCTTAATTACTTGTGGGAGGTGTGAGTTTGCTACTGTGTTAAGTTGTCTGGCCGCAGTGGTGAGATTTCTACCCACAGGGATGATGTTTCTCCACTTATGGAGATGCTTCTACCTGCGGTGATAATATTTCTATTCATATCTTGACAATTATATTCCTACCCACAGTGATGAAGCCTCTATTTGTGGCGTTATCCTTTATAGACGAGCAGTTTGAGTGTCAGGAGAGTATGAAGAGAGAGGGGTCGAGCGGAGAAAATGGGGGCCAGCTGCAATAGATTGAGGTGTATTTTATTAAATTGTGTCGTCACGGCACCATGAGACCTGTAACCTACTTGTTACTAGGAAGATTGAGCGGGCAGGCGCAGGGCTGGCAGTCCGCAGGTGACCCACGGGTGGCGTTGCCATAGTAACTAGGTAGACAGGTGTCACAGTGAGGGCCATAGGTGTGGTGGGAGCAGTCCTGCAGGAGACACACAGGTTAAAAGGTCATTATATATCAGGAAAACCAATACACTGTTAAACAAACAACCCAGATCAGTTAACCTTTGTGTCATCAGAAGATTTTCTTTGTGTTAGTATTGTCTTCATTCATGTTTTAGGTAAGAAAGAAACAATATACCATCAAATGTGTTTGTGTTTTGTTCACATAAGAGTTTATTTTGGGCAGTGAAGTTATCTGTCGGTTCGATTGTATTGGTTTCATAAAATCTCTCAGAAATAGAAAGTTGCCCTTTTTCCTGAAGATTTTTATTTTATTTTTTATTCTATATTTTTGTAAAGTGTACCTTGCAGCATATTTAGCGTAAAAATGCTTAACATAGACAGGTTCATCAAAAACACCATTCAATTATATATATATTAGCCTTTTGTTGAAATAGCCTTTTCTTTAGGGCGGTGAAGTTATCTTGGTTTAGAGAGATTTCATAAAACCTTTGCAACATACTAAAAAGACAGAGTTGCCGGGTTTTATTTGTTGTATTCTCTATTTTTAAGTACAATGAATACGGTATACTTTTTTCCCCTGTAAGTTAACCTGGAAGCACCAAATGCTGAATACAGACAGGTTTAGCTCCATCCGAACAGTAAAATGAGCCACAAATAAAATCAATTTATAGATAAGTGTAGAATGCCCGTTAGGACCGTAAAAATATATGCAAAGAGCTAACGATTGACCGGCATTATTTTAGAGTAATGAGTGTCACACGTTGCTTCTAGAGGGTCAAATACTAAATAGGCTCAAGGGTTACGGCACTGCAATAAGAAGAGCAGACACTGTGTGACACATTTCATAACAACACAACTGCTCTTATTAAATAAAGCTGTCACATCAAATCATCGTCAAACAGAGCGCAGCAGGAGCAACAATCTCCACCAGGTCAAGGTTAATTATATGGTTCAGGATGAGCATCACATTTTGTTGCCATAGTAACCAAGCACATGCTGTTTCACAGGTAGATCCTCGAAAAAACAATAATGTCCCCGAGAACCGTTTTGACATAATACCTACTTTATAGCTCAATATGCACCATGAGAAATAATACATTTAAAAAAATACAATGAAAGCAAATAGTCATAATAAAGAAAAGTTAATCGTTTTTTGAAAATGTGTAAAATTGTACATTTAAATCTCACATTTAACAACATTTTCAGACTGGCTTGCAGCACTGCTTCCACCAGTTTATAAATAATTCATAATTAAATAATGTCAAAGCTGCATCTAAAACTAATTTAATTAAAAACATGTCTTTAACATAACTTTAAAGGGGTCTGATACAGAATAAACAATAAGTGTGTGTGTGTGTGTGTGTGTGTGTGTGTGTGTGTGTGTGTGTGTGTGTGTGTGTGTGTGTGATCCTAACTGACAACTTAAGCCTGAGGCAATGTGCAGTCTTGAAGATGTAGAGCGACTGTGTGTGTGTGTGTGCTGTAACACATGAACAGGTTGGCATGTATGTGTTTACACATTACACTAAAATGTGTATTGGACCATGTGCATTTCCATGTGTGTGTGTGTGTGTGTGTGTGTGTGTGTGTGTGTGTGTGTGTGTGTGTGTGTGTGTGTGTGTATAAAATCAGGACACGTGTTTAATCCTACATTTCCTTTGATGACCACTAGATGGTGGATCCAAGAACATTCTATCAAGAAGAGACTTTACGTAATTTCAGTGTAGAACAATATTCAATATTTCAATATGTGTATTTTTCCACATGTATTCATGGTTCAAAGGGTTAATTAATGTTGCTCTGATTTCAGGCATACAATAACATAAAGAGGAAGGGTCCTTTTTAGGCTTTTATGGAAGTCCACACTGGTTAGCGCTCATATTGCACCAGTATCTGGCTCAGACACTACTATATTTTTCAACAGTTTTTGGGAACTCTCAATTATAAACTGACCAATACATGTGAGCAACACAGGGTTTTCTAAACAATGGATTGAAATTGTTTAAGTCGTTAACCCGAAAATGTTTTATTTATGTCAACATGGGCAAGATTACTGTTTAAAACATACTGTAAAAAAGAAATGTCAGGTTGTTTAGTCTGAATGGACACATGATAATTATTACAGCTTAATTATGATGAATGGCAGCTTTATGAGTTAAAGGGAGCTTAGAGAGAATACAGTGTTGCATTCAATCACAATACAGGCATGAAAATATAATGCTGTAACTTAACATATTCTAACATTTTTCAAAGTATGTTTTTCTTTCCATCTTGGTATTATCGTTTGACATTCTGAAAATATCAAAAGTAATCAAGCCTTTTCATGAAAGCTTTTACATGTTCTGCTCCCAACACTCGATGTCTGGTACCAATTTTCCTGGAATAAAAGACCCCTTTTTTTATGTCAAAAAACAATTTATGAGACAGAATAAAGCAGAGTAAATAACTACAGTACAGTGTGGTTTTGAGCACTGATTGAAACACATAACAAGTGCCTTGAACGTATTGATCATCTCACCAGGCAGTGTCCTGTGACCTCATGGCATTGTGTACTGTGTCCGTGGCAACGACAAGCTTCACACACACCGCTATACAGATTCCCGTTCACCCTTCGGAAACCAGGAACGCATGTCTGAAACACACACACACACACACACACACACACACACACACACACACACACACACACACACACACACACACACACACACACACACACACACACACACACACACAACACACACACACACACACACACACACACACACACACACACACACACACACACACACACACACACACACACACACACACACACACACACACACACACACACACACACACACACACACACACACACACACACACACACACAGAGTCTTAAAGCTGCTGTAGTGTGAAGTGTTTACCCTGTGATCCTCTAATTAGCACCTCAAGTGTGTGTGTGTGTGTGTGTGTGTGTGTGTGTGTGTGTGTGTGTGTGTGTGTGTGTGTGTATTATTATTATTATGTCTGTTTGTATGCTTCAGTTTTTAAAACCCCCGATGTGCATTTGCGTGTCAGTCAATAATAACATTCAGCTGCAGTCTGACACTAAACACTTTTATGATGCTCGCATTTCATGTTCAGCTTTGCTTAAGAGGCTTTAAAAGAAAACTCGGATGATCTTTTACTTCATCCCATAATCATACAAAGTAATATAAAAGAGAATCTGTTATACTTAAATACAATAACACATACTGGTGTGTTTGTATTTGTATTTTAAATTCAAAGCAGCACGTTTCAGCTCAAAGTCTACAGCAGATCTGTTTCCAAAAACAAATATCCCTCCAGGGAGACCTTGGTCCCCTTTCTTTATTAAACTATGGGATACAATAAACTTGCAAAGACTAAGAAGTTGCTTGATGTTTATATAGTTTAAATTAGACCTAACTCTAAAGCATCATCAAAGGATTTGGGATTATTCATACTGTATGCACTTGCAGAACAATGTGATTGTTGTGAAAGAGAGTACTGCAGTGCTTACTGTTTATACTGTCTATACTGATTATACAGGCATTTTAAATGTGGCTTTATCCTGTAGGAGTTTTATGTATGCACCTTTTCCAGGACAATTATTTAGTATTGCTTGATGTAGAGGAGGTTTTAAAGGGGCCCTATTATGCACATCTCCAGGTTTAAAAAAGCTCTTTATTTTGCTAATAATGCCTGAGCTGCAGCAACTCTTTTCATCCTCTGTTTGACCCAGTCTGCTCGTTGGGATTTTAGCCACTGTAGACCATTTACATGCACAAAAAGCTATATACAGTAACACACTAAAAGAAGGGCACATCAGTCAGTGTGTTTCGATGTTTACCTCACAGGAAGTTCCAGCATATCCAGGAGGACAGGAGCAGCTCTCCACAGCCGCTGCCCTCCTCTCTCCTCCAGCAGAGGGATTGGCTACCTCCATAGAGAATGAGTGGAGTCTGCATGTATACAACAGAAACACACAGAACAACTATGTGAAATATCAAGCATGGAAACATTGAATACATACTTTACCCCTTGCATAGGCACTAGGCAGGGCTACTTGGCTGATTAGACAATTACAAGTTTGACAGTATGACCTGAGTTCATTCTCTCAGGCAGAATTTACTCAGAGACAGCTGTGAGTTCTATAAATTAAACTGCCCCCTTTATGGTTTGTAGAAGAAGGTTAAAGTAGGGTTATTCACACAATTTAACATTTAACTACGATCTGTGAGACTCAACTTAGGGCAAGTTGTTTTCTTTCATAAAGCCAATACTAATGTGTCTGCAAGTTTACATTTGTTTATAATAATCAATACTTAATATATTACGTGTTGTAGCATTGTGTAAAGCAGGGGTGTCAAACTCAAATACACAGTGGGCCAAAATAAAAAAATGGGTACTAGTCGAGGGCCGGACTGGTTCAATGTTTATTGCAGAACTTAATGAAATGAACTTATTGCACATATTAACCTGGAACTCACAAAGCTTAAATGATTGCCTATAAAAACAACATTAAACATTAAATAATCAGTTGCATTCATTCTTATGGCTCTATCTGCAGCTTTTCTGGAGTCATTTCTTATGATTACATTTTTCCACAGGCCAACAACAGCTTCAACAAAACTATTTCCCTCAAAGAAAAAACAAACATGCCCTGTTGTCGCAAGAAAAAAAGTGCAGAAGGAAACATCCATTGAAACTCAGTGTGCTGCTCTGTGATGCTAGTTCAAGCCAGATACTTGGCATCTTTCATTTCATTTCATTTCAAATCTTTATTTAACCAGATGGTCCCATTGAGATCATAGATCTCTTTTTCAAGGGAGATCTGCAGCATATAGGTTCCACATGAAACATAAAACAATAAAGGACATCATACATTATATTTACAGGATACATTCACATAGTTATAGACATTTACAAGTACCCATAGTATCAACGAGCATTTCATTTAGCCTAGCTTTAAAAACATGCAGAGGAATAAGATTACTCAGTTTCAATTCTTGCTGAAGATTGTTCCAAGCAAGTGGAGCTGCGCACATAAAAGCTGTCTTACCTAAGACAGTCCTTGCTCTTGGTACATCTAACAATACTACATCATGCGATCTCAGACAATAGCTGCTTGCAACTCTCTGTGTTATCAGAGAGCAGATATAATACGGGAGTTTACCCAACAAAGCTTTATAAATAACGGACCGTCCACACAGCAGCGTTAAAAAATCTTGAAACGCTTCTGCCCATTCACTTTGAATGGGGTGACGTCACTTTGCCTCACTTTTCGCCGAACTGCATTGTGGGCAGCAGAGCGGAGATTTTCAGGATTTTCAGGATTCAAAGTTGAACAATGTTCAACTTTTGAGGCTGAGGTGGAAGCGTCAGCCAATCAAATCCCGTGTACGCAAATCTGACAGTTCAAGCTCTAGCCAATCAAACCGCGTGTATGCTGGGAGAGACATACCGCAGGTCATTTCCTCATATTCCAAAAAATGGAGGAGAAATTAGCGAATCAATCACCCGGTGCTTTATGACCAGTCCCTATTTACCTACCGGGATACAAACCGGAGGAGCCAGGCATGGAGGGAGGTGGCAGAGACAGTGGTAGGTTTTCGCCTGTTTGGGGAGTTTATATCCAGTTTACTTCAAACTTTTTTGCTTTGTATGTCGCGGGCGGGAGATTCATGTGATTGGTTGTTGGTGCCTTGCTCGCAAAAAATCCCCAAGCTTCAGATACGCCCACCTCCAAGATTTTTTTAACGCTGCTGTGTGGACGGTCCGTAAGTGATGGCAAACCTGCCTTGGCATACAGGGTACAGTGATGTACTCATCTCGGGTGCAAGTTCATCAATCCTCAGGATGGAGTGAAGGTGTGCGTGCAATATACCGGTGGGCCAGATCGAATAGTAATTAGAAATTATCCTGCGGGCCGAAATTAAATCCACCAAGGGCTTGATTTGGCCCCTGGGCCTTGAGTTTGACACATGTGGTGTAAAGGCTGTGTGAAATGATCCTATCATTATGAACATTTGTTTAGTATTTAGTAATAAAACAGAAGAGTTATATTCACAAAAAGTCCACAAACTGCTTTTACCAAATGTTTATTATGAAAGTAAATACTTGCCATGTGACAAAATCAAAAAAAAAAAAAAATCTAAAACATAACCTGCTGCTTTTGACCCCTGATAATCATCTTTGGCACTCGAAAAAAAAAAGCAGTATCACATCATATTACATTTGTTGGAATGTTACAGGTACAAATAACAATAATGAGTTTGTCCATGACCTTTGACCTAATGTACAGTAAGTAACTATGCCATAATGCCTGTCTGTGTGTGTGTGTGTGTGTGTGTGTGTGTGTGTGTGTGTGTGTCTACCTGTACACAGCGCTTGTCTCTGTGCTATAAGAGGCCCGCACCATCACTCTGGTCACGTTGGCCAACACCGACAAGAAATCCCTGCGACCGATTGGCTGAGCGCTCTCTGCAACCAGGAAGTTAGCGGGTGAAAGAGGAATGTGATTGGTGCTTGGCGATGACGGGTACACCGGTTGGCCGAACCTTCTGTCAATAATCTTGATCCCGCCTCCCTGGCAGAGAAAGAAGAAAAAACTTGTGTTCATCTTTTTCTTTGTTGCAGATTATTTTTAATTGCATACATCTAGACAGGGGAAATTCTCCAAAACATAAATAGAGTATGACACTTCCTTTAGAGGAATATGCATCTGATCTGCAGAAAAAGAGACAGTGAGAGTGAATGATGTGTCATTAGGTAATGAGCAGCAGTCTCTATTGACATTTTGAATGGACTGAATGCAAAGTGAATTGAGCTGGAGCCTGGTATCTGACTATCTCTTGTTGAGAACAGATCAATGGCATGTAGCGGCTAACGCAGAGTGACAACTACTTATGGAGAGAGAGAGAGAGCTCACCATGCCAATAAACCATTAAATAAAAATTAATTGAAAGAGAGGCGATGGAGGGAGGGATAAAGGGACAGAAAGCAAGGCTGAGAGATGTCGAGATAAAGACGGAAAGAAAGAGAGACACAAAGAAAAAAAGACAAAGTCACCTCTGAGGAAAGTGTTTTCATTACGTTTCTGAAAGAGAGGCTTTTAATACCCATGTTTTATTGTCGCTTACTTCTAGTAATCACATCTTTAAAAAATATCAATTAAACGGATAAGGTTTAATTTGGAAGGAAATTCCAAGAAAAGACAAAAAAGCATTGCATTGTTGTCTGTAGCTTTCAGGTTAAAGTCTATTCATTCCTCTAAATTATGTGTAGTAAAATATATAATAGTTTTATTTTTAAAAAGGAAAGGTCACTTCCCAAAGCAGCTGGGCAAGTTTTAAGCAATCAATACTGACAGGAGTAAAGAGAACACTTGTTTGGGATTATTTTCAGCTGCGGATTTATACACATTGGTTGAGCATCACTGGGCCACATTTAATTGGAAACACAGACAAAGGGATACATTAAATGTTGCTTTTGGGCTTTTTGCGGTAAAAACTTTTGAATTAAATAGGAAATATTGAGTCAAACCTAAACGAGGTGTGAAGATAATTGTGTTTCTTTCAACCTGATTCTAAATGGTTCTCGAAAAAGCATTTTGTGGTACCAACAGAAGAACTTATAAGATTACTTTGCATTAAAATATAGTTTAGAAACAAATCAAAATCAAGTTTGTATCTATTATTTACAGCGAGAACTCCAGATGCAGTGTATCGGCAGTATTTATTGCTGTCGTGAAATGTTTGGTATTTACAGTTTTTCTTTGTAACTCAGCAGATGGAGGGCTGACGAAGTGGGAGAGAAAGACGTTGAAATCAACAAAGCCGTACAGACAAACAAAGACAGAGAGATTATTGTCTATTCAGATCCCGCATACTTACAACCAAGGCTCCTGCCTGCGCTTCACAAACCATGCAACAAACAATATCACAACTTGATGTAGATATGCGGAGAGTAAACAGTGGGGGGGGGGGGGAAATACAAGACAAAGACTGAAAGAGAGAAGTGAAGAGGGAGAAAGCCTGTGACAGTGTGTAGGTGGTTCATTATCGTCATCATTTGGAGAGGCTTTTTGTTGACAACAAGGCCGACACTTGTCCTCCTCTCCTCCCAATCTGTCACTCTGACTGACACATCTTTAAATAACAGAAGCTCATTGGTCTGCGACTATCCATCTCAGCAGTTTTCATTCCGTCCTCTTCACGTCTTCTCCCCATCCTCCCTTCCTCCCTGTTAATTTCCGTCTGTCTACCTTCATTTTCTATCTTTGTTTCCTACTGTCCTTCCATCCTTTCTCTTCTGTCTAACTTCCTCCATCATTTTCTCCTTTTCTTTCATTTACCATCATCTGATTCTCCTTTTCTCACTGCGTTTCCTTCTTCCTTCCATCCTTTATTCGTTTCCTTCTTTCCTCTCACTCTTCCCATTTTATATTCCTTTTCTTCTGCTTAAATGTGTGCATTTTTATAGCAGGTTTACTAAATAACAGGCACAGAAACTTCAACTTGTGACACAAATGTTTGCATTTCTGTCCTAATTTAATTTAAATGTCATATCTTAAAGACACAACTTTGTATGTGTCTTTCAATTATTTAGCAGTCAGTTCCAGAGAAGCTTATTTCCACATGTCATTGCAGCTTATTACAGAGCATTTATTTCTCAAACTTTTCTAATTAAAACATATTTTTCCTTTAACGTCATTGGTAGAAAGTTGTGCGTGTGAAATAACGGGATCATTTCTGCAGCTTTGGCACGCTTTAAAACATGCCCACACCCACACACACCAATTTACTTATATGCCTGTTTGTATTTGTGTGTGTTCTGTACACACACACACACAATGTTGTTTAGTGATGTTAGAGATTTAAGAGTTAACTAATAGTGTTGCTGCTGTGCTTATTGCTGCCATACATCATATCACAACCTGCTCATTATAAAGACATGCAGTACAGAGAGGGGAGGGAGAGACTATCTGCATTTTTTATTGCTAAGTTCAGCATTTCTCTGCCAGCTGTAGCTGCTTCTGTGTGTGTGTGTGTGTGTGTGTGTGTGTGTGTGTGTGTGTGTGTGTGTGTGTGTGTGTGTGTGTGTGTGTGTGTGTGTGTGTGTGTGTGCTTTTAACAGCTTTTATTTGCTGCTTCATTTAGTGGTCTTCACTGGTGCAAAAGTCAATGGCTTGTGGGAAGAGATAAATAATGCTGCAGACCTAAATGCATAAACGCACACAAGCGCACACACACACACACACACACACACACACACACACACACACACACACACACACACACACACACACACACACACACACACACACACACACACACACACACACACACACACACACACACACACACACACACACACACACACACACACACACACACACACACACACACACACACACACACATTCACACTTGTGTTTTTGTGGGTTTCCTCTGGTCATGACCGTTTCCTTAACACAACAAAGTCATATATGTGTTAAATGTTGGAAACACTCACAGCTGGAAATTAGCTGTTTTGAGGAATGTAACCGTCTGCTCACAATGAATCTCCGAAATGTACCCAAATGGTTTAATAAAGCAAGTATGCATTACAGTTAAGCTGCTCTTAATTAGAGTTTAATATACAGTATGCCTCTGTATTTGTATCAGTGTGTAGGGGAAGGAATCTGTTTTGGGTTTTCATTGAGTGTTACAGTTGGTAACTGGGTGTGTGCTGTGTGGAGGTGTGTCTATGTAACCGGGTAAATGACATTACTTCTGCACCTTCTGATCAATACTTTTGTTTGTTAAGGGGAGGGGGATAGTTCAGGGGCACAATATTTATCACAATGTATCGCAATAACGATTATGTTTACAACTTGCCGCTTTGCTTTGCATTGAAATACAATTCATGGAGATTAATTCAACTTTAGACTACTACTTAGCCCTCTCAGTGGTTATGTTTGTGAACGGTCGCTACAACAATGTGTTTAAAATCTTACCTCTATGATCAGGTCGGGTTGGGAGGTGACTCTGATGGCCATTGGCTCTTGTTGGTCTGTAGTATAGGACACAGTGTAGACCAAACTCCCTCCATACGCTGAAATCTGAAGAAAGACACAGACAGATCAGTATGGACGCACATACGTGTATACAAGTTACTCTATACATATTACTGGCTATGGTATGACATTATAAAACTTGATCTACAGGTGGTGGTTATGCACCAACAAAGGCAGGAATTTTGCAAAAGCACCACTTGAAATATTCTGTTCATGTAAATAAATCCTTCAGCATGCAAAAGACTAATCAAGTAAAGAGTTGTATTCAACTAAGACCATGAAGTGGACTGATCGACCCGATTGAGTTTATATTATGTGGATATAAAAGTACCAACATGTTACGTTTTTTTAAAGGCATATGTAAATATTGTACGACTGTGGTAGTAGTGTGCTTACTTCAGGAACAGGAATACAGCAAAACAAAAACAACTACAGCTGCTTCTTCAACTTATGATAGTTTTCCTAAAAATCATTTCAAAATGTTTCAAAAGTAAGGAGAAAGAGATTATGCTACAATCTTTGTTGTCTTGTGTTTCCATGCAGTGTTTCTGTCGAGTCCACAGAATGAGCTTCAGCAGGAGAAACGCTGCGTCGGCATGATCCTGAAATTTATTATTCTGCTCCAACCTGAACAGTAATGGGTGGGAGAGCGAGATAATAATGCCACCATAAAAACAGAGAGAGGGGGACATCGAGGAAGAGGGGAGGGGGGGGGGGGGGGGGGAAGAAATAGAGCCAGGGACTGAGAAGAAGAGAGGCAGAGATAGAGAGGGAGTAAGAGGTGGGCTTAATGCCTCTATAAACCTCTTCCATTCTACATCATTACCCTTGGTTCTTAAACCGGGAGGAGGAATCACCCATTTCACAGCTGACTGAAAATACACACACACATACACACCATAGTGGGCATGGAGGTGTACTTGGGTGGACGTTTTATTGACTAACACTTATTCTCCATCCAACCCCATTTGGTGATTTGGAGTCTATAAGGCAGTCAAATCATAGTTTAGACCCTCACTACACGCCCCACACATATCGGACACTTTTCCTACTCATCCTTCTTTGTTATTAGGTCTCTGCATCCCAGTATGGACTCGCTTTATTCACACTTTAGTCCCCTATACAGGAAAAAGGGTTTGTTCCATGGCAACATAACAGCCAACATGATGAAAGCAAAGGACACCAAAGAAAAATAAAAAGGTTTTACAGAGACTCGTCAGAGCTGAAGTATTTGTCTGAGAGAACATAGTGCATATATGACAGATATTGCGATAATGGACTGCAGCAAAGGCGTACATTTTACTTAATGCACACCTCAAACCAAATAATTCTTTTTGAAAAAATGTATTGTAGGATAATAAAGAAAAAGAATAGATAGCTACACACCTTGAGTCTTGAAATGATAACTTAACAAGGGTTTTAACTGAATTTATTTTTGACACTTCCATCACAACATATAACAATGTGTTGCAACTTCATCTAGGCAATTTCTGTACGTATCACTTACAAATATTTGAAGCCGTACAATATAGTTCTCTTATTGAGAGCTAATGTGGCTTTTTGAGTTTGTCTCATCATGGTTTATTGTACTTATTGTAAGTTAAATGTAATTTTATATAATGTTTCTAGCAACCTGGTTGATCTTCAACACCAACTCATGACAGAAATGTCTGGCAGAAACTGCTTAATGCTCTTCTTTGTTCATCAGACTGTCCGTTTTCTGTCCGTCTGCTGAATAATGCTGGGCTCAGGTTGAAGAGAGTGGTGAGACTCAACCAAAACAGTAAGGTTATGGGCTGTAAGTCAACTTTGCACAGAGTGGTTGTCTTTCAAATAATCAAAATTAAAAAAACACCATAAGGTTGCGGTCTATATGTGAGCAGTTTAACCAAATAGTTAGTTAGTTCTCTTCATTTGGATATTATTTATAGAGATAAATATATCCTTGGTTTCACAAGAATGAAGCTAAGATGGAGAAAAAAGGGAAAGAATTGTTTTGATGCAATTTTGTTCTTCTTTTTATCCATAAAACATCTCATGACCCTTGAGATTTGTCAGATGGACCCTTCAGGATGGGAAGTCGTGGTTCAGAGGTCTTGCATAAAAAGCGTATTTGCATGTTTTTATTTGGTTTCTTCAACTGTTAAGTAACTACTTAACGGCACAGAGAGTGAATGCTAAAAGAAAAGGCTTGGATGTGAATTATCAGGAACACTTTCCACCTTTCGGAGGGTTCACTATCCACTTAGCACGCCTAAGTTAGGCTATTTACTTTCTTTGGAATTTGTGACATTTCCAAGAAAATATAATTTGTCTGACGCCACCCACTCCACCTGGATAATAGTCAAAGCTTTTGTCGTGGCAACCTGATGACACATGTTTAGCTTTGGGGAATAGGAACTAAAAGAGATACAACACCTCAGAGAGAAAAGACCCAGAGAATAGCACAGCAGGAAATTACGGGAGAGAGAGAGGGGAATTATGGGCAGTAGAAACTAAGGAACAATAAACACTCAGCCACACGGCTACAAAAGACATCAGTGGGATCCTCCTGAGAGCATCATAAGCCTGTTCTTAACTCTATCAATGGCCAGAATGAAAAGACCAAGACGTAATCCTCTCTGTTGAAACCCTAATCAAGTCCCCGACACAATCTTCATTAAAGTGAACATTTTGTGAGGGCCACGAGTAGACCAGTCATTAGGCTTAATATTTGGTGGTACAAAACGGCAAAATAATCCAATCTCACAGCAGATATAAAGAGAGAAGAGAGAAAATATTGAACTAGATATGCTGTTAAAAGGATTCTGCTTTACAGGTCCTGCTGTAGTTACAGGTGTTTTGGATGCTGCGATGCAAATGTACAAAGAAAAATCATTGATTAAGCTACTGATAAAAGGCGCCCTATGATGCTCATTTGTAGGTTCATGTTAGCATTGTGTGTCTCTACTGTGACATGTCTCCATGCTCTAATGTTCAAAAAGCTCTTTATTTTTCTCATACTGCCTGTGCTGCAGCACCTCTTTTCACCCTCTGTCTGAAACCAGAGCCCAGTCTGCTCTGATTAGCGGTCCTGCTTGAGTCTCATCATACTACTTCCCTGATGGCTCCCACAGGATTGTTGACATCCTCCTGGATTCATCCTCTTATTATAGACACATGCATTTCCTAACATTTGGTCTACCTACGCTGTAAATGTATTATCTTTTCAATTTACACACGGCATCTATTGCACGTCTGTCCGTCCTGGGAGAGGGATCCCTCCTCTGTTGCTCTCCCTGAGGTTTCTCCCATGTTCCCCTTTAAACTGTGGGTTTTTTCTTTGGAAGTGTTTCCTTGTACGATGTGAGGGTCTAAGGACAGAGGGTGTCGTATTGTCATACTGATATTCTGTACAAACTGTGAAGTCCACTGAGACAAATTTGTGATATTGGGCTATATAAATAAACATTGATTGGCTGGTTAGCTGGCCGGCTCTGTTGTGATTGGTCAACAGCTTAGAGATTCCCCGCTCCTTAGCCTATCATGTACAATGTGTGGGAGCGCTAGCAAATAGAAGCGCAAGTGTTGTGTAGTGAGGTTACGTTGTCGCGGAAGAAAACAAAGGGGTCTATTCGAGGTGATTTAGGCATTGTGGAAGAGAATTTTTAGGGGTTTTTTTTGCCTTTACAAACCATTTACATGCACAGAAACCTAAATAAAACACTACAGGAAAGAGGAAAACCCCAAAAAGGCAAAATAAGACCTTTGAAATTTTCAATGACATACTACTGTTTATTAGTAAGAGTGAAAAGACAGTGGACACATACAGAGGAAGAGAGAGGAGAGGAAACTGAGTGACTAAATAAAAGGAGAGAGGCGAGGAGAAGAAGGAAGGTGGCTGACAGAAAAAAATCTATGATAATATGGAGCAGTATAGTCTGAGAGGCACAAAACAAGAATACAATAAGAGGGAGGAGAGGAGATAGGAGGAAAGAGGGTCGTTAGAGTTTGAGGTTTTAATTTGCTGCCGATGCTGAGGAGTGGGTTTGTCATGGCGGGAGAAGAGGTGTGAAAATGAGTCACTATCGACCTCAGTCCTCCTCCAGGGTTCCCACCAGAGCCCTGATGTAAGATGACTTTTCCAAAACTTTAAATAACCAGAGCATTTTAATGAAGTACAAGTGCTAAGACAGTCCTGAATTTAATATAGTTGTTATTTTAGAAAAGGTCACACTTCTGCTACAGTTGGACTGTCTAGAGAACATCATTTCTTGTGAAACAAGTTGGAAAATGTATTCTGGCATGTTCTTGTAAAGAGACAGGTTTCTGTGCGTCCTCCTCACATCCACAGAGAATTACATTAAATGAAAAGATTATTTTGGGGATACATTATCTTTCATATGTTGAAACAGATTTTAGGAAGGGAATTACAAACCAGGCATTCCCTGTCATTTTCTGCCAATCACAAGTAAGCTTACTCACTCAAATCAAGGTCAATGGTAACAAAGGACTGACCACCTTCACAGGGTCAAAGCGGACATTTTGAGTGACACAGCAAGCGGAAACAAGTAGTCCGCTTGCTGTGTCATCTTGAATCAAACTGTGTTTTTTGACCAATCACACTCTAGTTTTAAAGAAAAGTGTTTAATAAAACTATTTACACATTGGACTAACACTAGAACCACCAGAGGTCGCTGTATACCTAAAACCGCCAACGGGTCAAATTTACCCGCTATTGATTTTCAAGGTACAATGTTCTTTTATTTATCATACAGAAACAGTGAGTTTGATCGCCCAGGGATGACACTTTATACCAATAGAATCTGTGGATTCTTCAGCTTTTAATATGATATAGTTTTGGCCCGGATAGCATGAAGTAGTAGAATATCGCTACCAATGTGATTTTAAAACGCTTGGTGTTAGGACTGTGTTTTGTTTAGGTACAAATCTCTATCTCTCTTATATCTATCTATAACTATCTTTAGATTCTAATCTGTAATGTTCTGTTCTATGGACTATAATTGTCTACATAAACAGACAATAGCAGACTACTTCTCTCATTC